TAAAACTAATTTGAACGCTAATTTTGGCCAGTGTTTGTGACGAAGTGGCTACTAAAAAAGACTGAATATACGCCATTTGCAATACCCTGGGTTGTCTACTATTGCAAATGGTATGTCATCATGGGGGTAATTTTCATTCCTGAATGAAAATGATATATATATTTAATCAATATCATTGTATGTGTATTTTGATTATATATATATATATATACACACATATACTTAGATCACATATATATGATCTAAGTATAATTTAATTTTCAACTATTTTAAACTGTTTTATTTTTATTTTTTTCAGACAGCAGGGGGAGTACCTGTCATTACAGGGACTCACCCTGCTGGCAATGCCTTGGACGGCTATGCCGTCCTTGTGATCGCGAGGTCCTCGCAAAGACCTCACGATCACATGGCCCAGGGGGGCCGAAGAGGGACTCCCTGAGCTCCCAGGTGAGTCTCCATACCGCAATAGATGGCATGGGATAGCCGGCGACCAGGTAAGTACATAAGATTGCAGGACATTCTATGCCGCCCTGTGGCTTTTAGAGCCATCTAAATAAGGACGGCATAGAACGCCCTGCGGTCTTAAGGGGTTAATGACACAGTATAGACAATAAAAACATAAATATACACTCACAAAGTGTCACGTATTCATCCGCTTATAAAAATGTGATTAATGGAATTTACTGTCCACACAGGAAAAGTTGTGCCGAGCAACAACCAAATCCACAGAAGGGTTAATGCTGAGCAGCAATTATGCAAATGGAAACCTGGTTACTGCCTTTGGGGTCAAAGGCTGGTTACAGCCTATCAGATCTAAAGGAGAGGTATTTAGGCCCAGTTCTCATCCTGCTCAGTGCCCTGTCGTGGTTTCCCTTGTGGTTGTCCGAGAGCGCGTTATTGATTCTGGTTATTGGACTCTGGCATTGTTTTTGACTTCCCTGTTTTCTGGCATCCCTGACTCTTGGCTTTTCCTTATCGTTGTGTCTCTTTCTGTATCCCTTGACCTTGGCTATTCCTGACTATTCTTTGGTACGTTAGTCCGGCCATTCTAAGCTCCGGTATACGTTACCTATCAGTCCTCTGTGTTACACAATTCTACGTGCTGGATCATTCTGTAATCCTGACACAAAGAAGATGGCACAAAAAGACATCTAATTGGGCAAAACCGCTGGTCAACCCCTCCTGGGTTAAGTTCCCTTTAAGTGCAGGTCCAATATCGATGCCTTCTGAGGATAAGTCCTCTCTGAGTCTGTATATACAGATGCACCAGGCAAGGATAGATGGTAAATGTAAATTCTTTGGGGGTTGCTGGCAAGCTTCTCCGCTCAACGTGTTACTTTTTCGAGAGCTTTACCTAGGGGACCAAGGCACACAATTTATAAACTGTCTTGGTGGTGGCGGCGTTAAAAATAGCAATATTTATATATAAATTTATAATTAAGTGGGGGTGGTGTTAAGGGAGATTTTTATCATTATTTCTGGTCTAGTGCAGACAAATAGTGAACTTTAACCCTTTCAATACCAAAACTAAGTCACGCACACTCTTGGAGTAGGGTGCATTTGTAACAGTCTAATGTCACTATTTCCACTAAAAGCCCATTCCACCGGGGCGATGGTTACTTGCTGGTTCGAGCGATCCAACGCTTCACCAGAGGATATCTGCAAAGCTGCAACCTGGTCATCGTTCAGCACGTTCAACAAACACGGCAGGCAAGACATCTTCTCCACAGAAGCGGCTTTCGGGAGTACGGCGCTCCAGGCTATCGTTTTATAAGACCCACCTTTTTGTTGCCATCATTTTGGGATCTTGCTATATCCCCACTGTATACTGCAACTAGATGTCAGGAAAAACAGAAATTTTACTTACCGTAAATAATTTTTTCCTTAATATAGTGGCAGTATTATATCCTCCCTTCATTTGATAATGAATTTATATGTTTTCATTTAAGAAGGTCTCTGGGGTATTCTTCAGATATTTACTGAGGGAGTAAAGAAGGATTCCACATTTATAAGGGGAAGTTTATATTTTTATTTTGCTGTCTGCTTGTCCTGCTAAGACATACCGACCCCACTGTATACTGCCAATTTATTAAGGAATTTATGGTAAGTAAAATATCTGTTTTCACCAGTTTATTTCCCTTTTTTCTTTAAACATGCACCTTGCCTTTCTGCAGGGTATTTTGTAAATCGGATGTTTTGCTTATTTTAGCAGTTTCACAGTTCAATAACCCTCCATGAAGGCCTACCATTTGTGAAAGTAGGAATTCCAGGGTATCTTATATGGTGTGTATAGCACCTTATCATAGCTCCACTTTATTTATGTCAACGGTTGTGATGACAGTTTCCTATACACAAGCTTTGCAGACACATTGAGGAAACTCTACAGCCTTATTGGGAACACCGACTAAAAGAGTACAAAGGGGAAATACCAAGAATCCGGCTACAAAAGGGTCTGGACAACCCCTGAATGGTCCAAGGAAGCATACTAAGAGAATCATAGTACGGTATGACTCTAATTTTGTGAGTGAAACTACTACTTACTCTTCTTATCTTACACTATTTGAATAGACATACTACGCTATTTTGTATATACCGTATTTTTCGCTCCATAAGACGCACTTTTTTTCCCCTCAAAAGTGAGGGGAAATGTCTGTGCGTCTTATGGAGCGAATGTGAAGAATTACTTACCTGTCTTGGAGCGTGGGCCGGCTTCACAGCGCGCTCCGCGGTCCAGGAACTTCTATTTCAGGTTCCGGTTTCCGGCGGGACTGAAAGGAGGTGCACACTCAGTGTGCACACTTCCTTTCAGTCCCGCCGGAAACCGGAACCTGAAATAGAAGTTCCTGGACCGCGGAGCGCGCTGTGAAGCCGGCCCACGCTCCAAGACAGGTAAGTAATTATGGGACAAGGGAGGGGGAGACACTATGGGACAAGGGGAGGGGGAGACACTATGGGACAAACACTATGGGAGAAAGGGAGGGGAGACACTATGGGAGAAAGGGAGGGGAGACACTATGGGACAAGGGGAGGGGAGGAGACACTATGGGACAAGGGGAGGGGGAGGGAGACACTATGGACACTATGGGAGAAAGGGAGGGGAGACACTATGGGACAAGGGGAGGGGGGACACTATGGGACAAGGGGAGGGGGGGACACTATGGGACACAGGGGGGAGGGGGGACACTATGGGAGGGAAAGGGGGGACACTATGGGAGGGAAAGTGCACTATGGGACAATGGGAGGGGGGGACACTATGGGATCAGAACACTAATGGACAAGGGGAGGGGGGGTTAAAGAACACTATGGGACAGGGTAGGAGGGGTTAACAATCACTATGGGACAGGGTAGGAGGGGTTAACAATCACTATGGGACAGGGTAGGAGGGGTTAACAATCACTATGGGACAGAGGAAAGGGGGGTTAAAGATCATTATGGGACAGGGGAGAAAAAAAAATATTCTGAACAAACTGTCCCATGGTAAGAAACACTATGGAACAGTTTGTTCAGAATATTTTTTTTTCTGGGTTTCCTCCTCTAAAAACTAGGTGCGTCTTATGGTGAGGTGCGTCTTATGGAGCGAAAAATACGGTATACCATTGTTTTTTACAGATCATTCAAGGTTTAAAGCGGCTACGCCTATTGTTTTGTATGTATTTATGGTGGTGTAGGGGATATCACATATTAGGTGTATCTAGAGCTGCTCACTTTTTTCTTTCTTCCACTTTATGTACAATTTTCTTTTACTCTGGCAGACACCACAATCACCAAACCGGAGAAGCATATGAGTACTTTTAAACATATGAATGTTGTATACAGCCGAATAGGAAAAACCATGCGAATAGGTTTACACTCCTAGCAGTCAAACTGGAACAGCATACAATAAATCCTCCCCCAATAATGAGACAACACTTCACTTTGAGGGTTAAGCAGGAACTCCACTGTAATGGCCACACACTGGCTTTTATGCAAGTCCCCATGCAAGGGAACATCCCACAGGGTGGGACACAGTACAACCAATCATTTACAGGAGAACCGTAAAACACATCCAGCACAAACATACATCCCTCCCCTCTGTCTGTGATATAATTACTGAACACAGTGGGTTAATGTAATTTATCACAGGCAGGAAAAATACACTTTTTATACATATACTGTAACTTTAAAAATATGCATCATATTCACATAAAACATACATATTCAGAATCAGCATACTTTAAATATAAACATAACCAAATTCAGCCAATTCCATCCAGGGGTTAAAAAGTTAAGGGAAAGTCCTATTTGACCAAATGAAGCATGGCTTCTCGGCCAAAAACCAGTTCCACATAGTCTTCTATCCTGGAGATAATTGGGAAGTAATCCAATTATCTCCAAGGACAGAGGCAAAACTCCATTAGCCACATGGCAGACAAAGGACAATAAAAGACATAAAAATACATACTGTTACATTTATCACATAGAACATACACATTGTACCTATCCCCAGATAGCTTAGATCTGAGCGCACATTATTACCGGATGGTGCTCAGATCACATACATACAGTTCAATCGCCATGGAGCCAAAGTCTTTCATACAGTCTTTCAGTATACGGCTGGGCTCCATGGCATAACAATCTGGGGTAGCATGGCTTTAACAGTCCGCAGAAAGGCACGAATAAACCTTTCTGTAGGTAAAATAAAAGCTTAAATATCAGGACCATAGTCTAAAGGGAGCAGGCGAGCAACCAGGCCTCTCCAGTGGACAGTGGCGAGGTTGGTTCCGCCTCAGGCAATATATGCATCAAGTCTCCCAAAGTTTTTCTGACAGTCACTAGATTGGCCAAAAAGAACTGTTTTATTTAGCAGTATTGTGGTGGAGGGGTGGGGGGAACAAATCTAAACAGGCTTTCTGTGTATCCAACACTTTTTATTAGCCTGGAGTGCTCCTTTAAGAAAGACAATTTGTTGAGACATCATAACTGGTAACTTCCCCTATGTAAAGATATTTAGCTTAAATTGATTAAGAGTTGTGTAATATTTTCTTTTTTACTTTAGTTTTGTATAACTTTGCTGAATGAATCTTCATATGCCTCAGAAGATTTGACATTTGAGAAAAGCATTTCCCACATTCACAACAGGAAAATGGTTTCTCTCCTGTGTGAATCATCTGATGTTTCTTAAGAGTTGACTTGCGAGAAAAACATTTCTCGCATTCAGAACAAGAAAATGGTTTCTCTCCTGTGTGACTCTTTTGATGAGTCTTAAGATTTGACTTGCAAGAAAAACATTTCTCGCATTCAGAACAAGAAAATGGTTTCTCTCCTGTGTGAATCCTCTGATGTTTCTTAAGATTTGACTTGTGAGCAAAACATTTCCCACATTCAGAACAATAAATTCTATTCTCTTTGGGAGTTCTCTTATATGTGTTAAAATTTGGTTTCTGCTTAAAACACTCATGTCTAGTGTAATCTGTACTGGTCAATGTATTGCCTCTGGTGACACGCTTAGGTTTAACAAGCTCTGAATTGGTAGATGAAACCTTAGCACCATCAAAGAAGTTACTATTGCCTTTGTTTTGTGTTTCAGTATGATGAGTGGGGGTAAGAAGGTCTAAAATGGTGAGATTTACATCTGAGATTTCTGATTCTACTTTAACATGAGTAGATACATACTCTGTCTGTGTATATTCTCGGGGTGTATAAATGTCAGATTCTCTGAGATTTCCTTGTTTATGTGAGGTCGATTCATTATTTGATGTATAGTCTATATGTTTATCTCCTGTGGCTTTATAAACCTCGGAGCTGGTGAGAGTGCTGGCTTCACATGACGAAGATTCTTCCTTAATAAGGTTAGGTAGATATTCTGCCTCTGTATGGTCTGTGACTGTATAAATATTGCTTATGAGAATTTGATTTTCATTTGATGCAGATTCACAGTTTGATGTATAGTCCATTTGTATATCTCTATTGATTGTATAAATGGCAGCTTCAGCAACATTTGTTTCTTCCAATGAGACTGATTCCTCCTTGATAAGTGTAGATGGATATTCTATCTGTGCATCTTCTGTGGGTGTATAAATGTCTTTTTCTGGGAGATTTCCTTCCTCACACGAGTCTGATTCCTCCTTAATATGAGTAGATGGATCTTCAGTCTGTATATGTTCTATGGGTGTATTAAGGTCTATGTGATTTACTTCCTCAGATTCTGTAGTTTCAGGACTCACAGATTTACTGCTTGGTGTACTGACTGCCACACAGTTTATTTTTTTATCACTTGTGATTTCGTTATCTCTGGTTACATAATCCGGAGAAGAAGCTGAAGTGTACAATTCACTGATTTCATTTCTGTTTATGGAACCATCTAGTGGAAAGAAAACACTTAAAATTAGAACATTTTCTTAATTGCAGTGGACTTACCAGGCTAGCTATAGATGTCTCAGGTGGTTACTAAAGCAGTGATCTCTCTTCCTGTTTTGTTTTATTAATGTTATTTAACTGCGACAATATAATGCACCACAATGGCATTGTGAATGAAAAGCAGGTACAATAACATGCAATAAGGACATTACACATGTGCAACTTAACTGCTGCTTTATAGTCTAAGACTGGATACACAGAAAAGGGTACTGCATAGGGCGTTTCTACACTGGAAAAATGAGAACGATTTTTATTGCAGGTGGGGTGCCCTACAATTTAAATATGATCTAGATCATCCATGACAGAATACATAGGACATCCATGATGGAATAATTCCGTCATAAATGGTTAAGGAATAATAAAGTTGTCATTGTTATCCCAGGTCCTGTTTCTGTAACGGGATGCTATGTTTTGCCCTCCACTTTGTTTTACTATATCAACTGATAGACTTAAGCATAGCCCTGGATCATGTAGAGGCACAGGTTAGATATGCAATGGAATCCTCCATTACATTGGTACTTGGAGAGGACACCACAGGTAAGCCTTCTTCCCACCAGGCCCTGGTCTGGAATGGGGTTCTGCTTTGGGGAGGCAGATAAATGAGGGCCATCTGGACTACTACCCCCCTGGTTTGGGTTTTTAAGTTGGGATATCCTTGTTTAAAAAGTGATTCTTTCAGGCCCTCCATTGTCCTCTGTTGGTGGAAACTTTTTTTTAAAAATTGTCTTTTCTACCCCCATAATTTTGGAAAATTGTAATTTTGTTATATATTTGGGAAATGATTATTGTTGATTGTTCTTCACTTTATGTATGTTTATATTTTAAGGACTAGTTCCTAAAGGCTAGTCCTAGTTCTAAATAAATTATTGTATATTCGTTCCAAAAGAAACGGAATGTCCAGTGTCAATTTTTAGGCATTCCAGTAACAGTCTTCGGACCTGTTGGCTGGCTGCACAATCCCTGTAGCCTGAGACAAGTCAAAACGAGAACTAGACCTGAGGACAGCAAGTGTCTTTGTAAAGTCAGGAGCAATCACTATAAGCAGAGCTGTTGATACCTGCTTGTGGAACTGAAGAGGCAGAGGGGACAATACGTGCCTGGAAGAGAGCTGCAGTCTGGTCATGTAGAAGAGTTTTAAGGAGACCTCAGTCAAGCTTCAGAAACAGGCATTGAAACGTTCCAGGGTTCCCTGCGGCAGCTAGAAAGCAAACCTGGCAAAGGTACTCTGTCAGAGTAGGGGAATTCCAGCTCAAGATAAATTTGAAGCAGAACCCCAGTTCAAAGTATGAAGGAAGGTGTGAAGAAAAGAGCCTTTTATTGCCATTCGTGACTTTTTATGTTTTATTGGTTCGGTAGCTGTAACTATCGAACACAACCAGCCCCCTGGCTCATTATTTTCAAAGAGATCTGTCGATTGAGCACTCTCAGTGGGTGGTCGCCGTTTGTATAACCGAACGCCACGTGCGAGAGAAAACGGCGGCCATCTTCATTGCGCGAAAGGAGGCAGCGGGACTTGGTCGTCGAGTGTCTGGAACTAAAATAGGACACTCAACTTCCCGAACACCGACATTTTCTTTCTACGGAGTGGACCTATGGAAACACTATTAGAGTTTTTTTTTTTTTCCCTACCATAAAATTCACAATAGAATATGATCCGATGCAGATTAATTTCTTGGATGTTGAGAAGATAATAGGAGACATAGGTTTTAAAATTTGACATCTACTCCAAGCAGACAGATAGAAATATGTATTTACATTTCTCATCGTTCCATTCGCCAAACTCAAACATCCGTCATATTCGCAGATATTACGATTGAGAAGAATTATCTCTGATGATGAAACCTTTAACAAACAGGTGGAGGGAATGATGAGAATTTTTTTCCGGAGTGTACTACAGAATGCAAAGGAAAGGGTCACATACACACTAACACAGGGTAATGGTTTACAAGAGATTAGACAACAACCTAAACGTATACCTTTTGTTCACACATTTTCAACCAAACCTAAACAAATGACATGAATAATTAGGAGACACTGGCACCTACTAAGTGGGGATGCGGATTTACACTAGACATTTGGAGTGGTTTCAATAATGGCTTTTAAAAAAATCTAAAAGACTCAGGAATGATCTCATACTAGCCAGAGCTAACAATGATGAAAGGAAAGTTGACTCGTTGATGCCCCTCCCTCCCAAGTGAATGTTTAAATGTGGTAGGTGTGCTAACTGTAATGACGCTACTAAGACCAATTCTTTTTGACATTTGAGTTTGGGTTACAAGATTGAGTTACAATCCTACATAAACTGCCAATCAGATTACGTGGTGTATTATATTAAAAAAAACAAAAAAAAAGACCTTGTGGCAAAGGATATGTTGGATAGACCACAAGAATTTAGATTTTACGCATAGGGGAGCACAAAAGTGCCATTAGGAATCAACTTATGACATGGTCTGTGGCCAGACATTTATAAGGAAATGGGACATCACCATTACAATTTCTGAGAATTGAACATGTCAAAGCCCCACTGAGGGGGTGTGATTGAACACAAATCTTCAAATGTAGGAGAGATGTATTGGATATACAAATTAAACACTATTTCCCAATGGTGTGGTTGAAGAGAAAGTTTATACTTGTTTTAGATAGATCAATAGGGACAGGTCTATCTTATAATTATAGCTACTGGTTTTGTTCTTATTTTACCCTTTTTATTTTAATCACAGTGTTCAAATACTATGGGTTGTATTAATTCACAAGAAGGGTTGGGTCATACCCATTAAAATTTGGAGTACAATCAAACTAGGATCAGTCAAGCGAGGACATCACAGAGGGAACCCTGCCCCTATGGATTCTAGGCTGACTGATTATCAGCCTCATCCTCAATGGATTAATGACACTGCTTATTTATATTATTATATTAGTATTGTTTTAAAACTTTTTTCTTGCACTAGATTCTCCCTGACTCCGTGGATCTGTGGTCACCCAGGCATCTAATTATTTATCCATTTCAATTGAAGTCGTTTTTGTTTTTATTAATGTTCTATATAATTTTTATATGTTACATAGTTTACATAGTAAACCTGCCCACAGACTATGGGCCCTGCAGGGAAACCTGTAAAAGACTACCAAACTTGACCGACTGTTAGCACTGATTTCCCTGGAACTGTTTTGGGCATGGGGCCATGCTTGCGGTCGGTCAAAACTATGACTTCCAGGAAATTCCTGAACCGATCTGGGTGATTTTTGGATATGATGTTCACCCAGATCGGGGCTCTCAGGGGATGTGACTTATGGGGATATGTTGGATTTTGAGGTACTTTCTGAACTTTGTGAAAATTTGGTTTTTCTGCCCGGAGATAATTGAGTTTCCTAACAGGACTTTACTCAATTATCTCCTAAGCAGAGGGGAGGGATTGTGTGCTGTACACGTGTCACAGACTGTATGTTTGTTCTGATTGGTTTATGTCCTTTGTGTTCCTGTGCCCTATCAGGTCCAGGGGGTGTACCTCTGGCCTGGAAAATTGTATAAAAGGCCAGTGTGTCCCATTAAACTAGAGCTTCCTGCTTACACTCTAAAACTGTGTGTCATCCAGTTATTGGAGGGAAAGAAGATTTGCATCTGTGTCTGCTGTTGCAGCTTGCAGAAGATTCAACGGGGAAAGTCCTTGTAAGGACTAGAGCAAATTCCCTATTCGGCTCCAGAGTTCCCAGGACTAAGTGTTGTCCAGTGCCTGGAGGTGTCAGAGCTAATTTTCCCATCGGATCCAGGAAGGTGGTGGTTCCAGGGCCCCAGTCAAGCTACGGCGAATGAGGGCAAGAAGTGCTGCAGTTTGTCCTCTGTTCCTGCTACGCTCTCTGAACTAGGAGAGGTCTACCCACTGGATACTGGTCTTGGGTCCAGGGTGGATGGAGGACGGCGAGACCCCAACCAAGCTGCGGCGGTTCGTGGGGTCTACAGTGGTTATGGTGTTCAAGTGGAGTGATTATGGTATTCACAAGTACTAGAAAGCAGCAATAGACGGAGGTACCCGGTCGTGGTGCCAGACGGTCAGTCACACTATCCATCCTGTCTGATTTTTCCTGCGACTACCGCAGGATTAAGAGTCCTTTTGGGGAGAGGGAGAAAAGGAAGAGGAAAATTTAGGATCTTCAGCAATCTGAAACTCTTTTGTCCTTAATATCTCTCCTCATTTATTACTCTGGATAACCAAAGATTGTATCAAAGAGGAGGAGGGGAAAGAGAAAAGAAATAAATAATATTTATAATAAATTCTCCTTAATTGTTGCCTCTGTTGACTCGGAATATTCAATATGTGGTTTTATCTTGATTTCTTTTCAAGAACCACCATAGTGCCAGGAAAACATACTCGTAGTATTAGTGTATAGATCATGCCACTCAGGTTTCACTGCTCAATTCACTGTCATTTAGGAGTTAAATCACTTGTTTCTGTTTATGCAGATTATGTCTTATCAAATCATATTATTTTACAGGTTATCAATTCGGAGCATCCTTTGCATTTCAGAGCTTGGACCCATTTGTCAGATATCCAATAGGATATTGACTTTCTGTCTGAAAGTTTTTACACTAATAGGTGAATTAGGATATAGATAAGTTGCGATGCCACACGTATCAGACATATTTTAACATCATTATTATACTAAAACAGATCATCTTTAAGTTGAGCCGGCCCTACCTCGTACTCATAGAAGTTGCCATAACTTTTCCGGTTCTCAACCCTTTCTACTCTATTATTTCCCCTATATAAGTTGGTTTGTCAACTTGGCCCTCGCTATAGAAACATAGAAATGTGACGGCAGATAAGAACCATTCGGCCCATCTAGTCTGCCCAAATTTTCTAAATACTTTCATTAGTCCCTAGTCTTATCTTATAGTTAGGATAGCCTTATGCCTATCCCACGTATGCTTAAACTCCTTTACTGTGTTAACCTCTACCACTTCAGCTGGAAGGCTATTCCATGCATCCACTACCCTCTCAGTAAAGTAATACTTCCTGATATTATTTTTAAACCTTTGTCCTCTAATTTAAGACTATGTCCTCTTGTTGTGGTAGTTTTTCTTCTTTTAAATATAGTCTCCTCCTTTACTGTGTTGATTCCCTTTATATATTTAAATGTTTCTATCATATCCCCCCGTCTCGTCTTTCCTCCAAACTATACATGTTAAGATCCTTTAACCTTTCCTGGTAAGTTTTATCCCGCAATCCATGAACCAGATTAGTAGTCCTTCTCTGAACCCTCTCTAAGGTATCAGTATCCTTCTGAAGATACGGTCTCCAGTACTGTGTACAATACTCCAAGTGAGGTCTCACCAGTGTTTTGTACAATGGCATGAGCACTTCCCTCTTTCTACTGCTAATACCTCTCCCTATACAACCAAGCATTCTGCTAGCATTTCCTGCTGCTCTATTACATTGTCTGCCTACCTTTAAGTCATCAGAAATATATTAATCACTTATCTACGTTCATCTGTCTCTGGGCTATCCCATTATTTTCAGGCAACGGGGGCTTATACGCGACAGGTTCCCGATTCACTTACTTTCCAGAGTTTCTGCATTATTAGAATTTTGCCATATGCCTTAATGCTATTAGTTTAAGTTTGACGTCATATGCTGGTATTTTTATATTCATGCCACCTGGTTTAGTCTAAGTTGCTCGAGTTACATCAATTGTTTGCAAGGTATATATTGGTTGTCACTTACATGTTTACATCTATTTCCTTAGCCCTCATAGGGCTCACGTGACTGTCAGAATCCGCTATTTCAGTGTATACAGTATTACTCCTCCAGGTTCCAAGGTATTTCAAGTTGTGCCCTTAGTGGTCTCCCAGCAATTGCTGTCACCAAGTCTTTCCATTACTATTTTTGTCACAGGTAAGTGGGCCTTCATTACATAATGTTGGTTATTACGTCTCTGGTTGTGTTCGCTACTTGTTTTTTCCACCTTCAATTAAGGCTCTCTCACTATACCATCAAGTTACGGCTGACTGGCATCCAACATCACGTTTCTCTACTTTCCTACAAAGCCAGTTTCCTTTCATCCTATCCAATCTGACTATACTTAAGGGTATCCAAAATATGTCTACTTTGCTAGATTCAGCCCCTTTCAAACACCTCACTAACTCTGAAACCGCCATTTACCTGGCCTTTTACGGCTTCCTGAGGCCACGAGAATTCACCATCAGTGGCCAACATAACGCACAAGGTTACCTTCGAAACTCTTACCTAATTAAACATGCTGCTATAGTTTATGCACTTCAATGACAACACTAAGTGCCTGTAGGAAGGTCATCCGCAGTATGATATTTAAAAAGGAACACTATAGCATTAGGTATACAAACCTAACGATAAAGTGCCCCTGTTTTTTGGTGTATATATAGGTCTCCCCCTTTTTCCAATAAATGTAATAAAATAAATATATCCAGTGATTAAACTCCCTCTGCGCTGCTCATCTCTCCGCTTCGTCATCGAGGAGGCATGGCCTTCTCCATCAATGACCCAGTACAATATTTCTAATAGAGGAGTATTGGAGACGAGATGCGCATGCACACAGTTACACACATGCATTTATTTCTTCATAGGAAGTTAAAACAGTGATAAAAGTTCACAATTAACTTTATTCCTGATTATGTGAAACCACACAATAATAGTAAGTGATTAATTGAGTATCCAATAGCTATGTTTAACTAGGATGGTAGACAAGTGTTTTAAATCCACTAATTGTATTTGTAATTGGATCACCAGTTGTTTGCACTTGACGTGATTTTTTTTCAAAGGTTTTATTTGGATGTGATTATATAAATATGCACTACTCGCACTTGTTATTTAGTGCTGAAACACGGTCTGTTTTGGGCTCCTTCAATAAAGACCGCCTTATGAGAAAACCGCGGGTGGGCCCAGACATTGTATACTTTGTTTGTATTCAGTGTCCAGTTGCTGTTGTGTTATTTGTTTTGAGCCCTTTGCCTTTCTACACCTCTCTGGTTGTCCTTTCAGCCATTTTTCCCTACCTTTTTTTTAAAAAAAAAACAAACTTTCTTTTCTGCCTTGTCACCTGGTGTTCCATTACTTCTGCTTTGTGTCCGCGCGATTGGTTATTGCCATTCTGACATTATTTTCTACCAGCCCAGGCTGTCTAGCGGAACAGGTAAAACCATTTTTGTCTATTTTTTCCAATGTGAACACGTATGTTTGCCACAAACTCCTGGAGGAGTGTGGAAGCTTGCCTCCTACCCACCGACTATGATCCAGGTCTGAGACAGCGTTTGAGAGTTACCCTGCCCAGCCACCATTAACAGCTTTCCCTGGGTGCCGCTGGTGCGGCACTTTCCCTTCATTGAAATGGAACCGAACGCTAGCTCCCTGGCGGTCGTTCGCATGAACCAAACCCATTAACAGTCCTCAGCGGTACTTAGCCGCGGCCGCTATGGAACTAATTTTGTCATGAGGACTTTGTGGGTTCCCGGTCACCTCAGTATGACTTAGCTGCGAATATTATGGAACTATTTTCAGCATGAGGTGACCATGCGGTTTCCAGACAACTTGGTCTGGGGTTTTGAACTACTTTTAATTCCGCCAGGAGAGCACTTTTTGGAGGGAAGGTTCCTGAGACTAAAGGGAACAAACGCTACCTAACAGCCAGGTGGAGGACCCCATATTGCGGACGCAGGAGCTCTTGAAAGCTGACCGTCAAAAGCACCAAACGTCCTGGAACTATTTTGGGCATAGGACAACGTGTGTAGCAGTTTAGAACTTTTACACGTTGGTGTTTCCCCTACACTGCATGGATCTGAGCGCTATTTGGACAACCTGGGCGCTCAGATCAGGGCTATTTGGGGATGTATGATATGTGGGGTTAGTTTAGGTTTTTATTATGTTTTGGGGTACTTTTATGTTTTTATATTTTGTGTTGGGCTCTCTGTTCCTGGGAGATAATTAGCTTACCGTTTTTTTACTCAATTTTCTCCCAGGCCCAGAGATTCCTGGGAGGAGACCCCCCTCTGGGGTCTGTGCATAAAAGGCTGAGTTTGGCCCATTAAAATCAGTTGACACCCAGAACTATGTGTCGTCTGGTTGCTAGGGGGGAAAGGGTTATTATTAGAGGAAATTACTGAAAATTACAGTGCTTCTTTCAGCTTCGAAGAAAGAATAGTGGATGTGACGGAACGCTGGCTCTCCGACTCAGTACCTCCGCCAATCGATGCTCCTAGCGCTTGCCGAGGACTCCAAGCACTCCAACCGACACCATCAGCACTGCAGACCCCACTTCCAGCGATGCAACTGCGCTGGGGTCTCTGCTGTCTCCACCCACCCTGTACCCAAGGCCAGGATCCAGCTTCCAGTGGGTGAACCTCTCTTTCCCCAGAGAGCAGGAACAAGCTCTTAGCAGAACTTAGTGATCATACCCTGGGGAGTATAGTGATTATAGCAATCCCCAGAGTGTATTTCTCCAAACCCCCAAACATGAGCCAAGGCTTAATGCTGGAACAAGACTAATTTACTGGCACACAGAACTCACAATTTATGCAACACAAAACTCCTCCTCTGGGCCAGGCTAGATAATTGAGTTTCTACAATACACAAAGCTCAATTATCTGCTGGCCAGAAATTATACAGTTTCATAAAACACACAGGGACCCCAAAACATGCAATAACCACATAAAAAGTATATCCTTGGAACCGGGGGATCTGGGTGAACCACATATCCAAAATTCACCCAGATCCGTTCAGTACTTTCAACACAAATCCATTATGCCCAAATCATGTCTTTAAAGGGCAATACATCCCAGGGGCCATAGTCACAGGGCAAGAGGCGGGCAAGCAGTCCTCTCCAGGCACAAGTGGCGAAGGGCACTTCGTCACAGTGGAGATACCTTGTGGTATCGGAGCTCCACTACAGCGTCCATCTTGGATCTCACGTGACAGCGAGGTTCATGGTGGTCATCTTGAAGCCTCATTTCTCTCACCCATGGCACTTCCTCGACTGGAAATCTCCCTCTTCAAATACTGCTACTCACTGGCATTATTTTACAGTTTTATTTACCTGTCACACAGCCATTAAATACAGGGGTGAGCCAACTTTTGTTTCTGGCAATTTGCTCTGTAATTTAAGGATATGAGTGACCCCCCTGGTGTAAATCTTTAGTTTGCCCTCAAGTTACTACTGCACAGTTATCCATAGTATATTGTCCTGGGTATTTGGGTTGAGCCCCCTAAATTAATTAGCTTAGCCTGGCGCTGCATTAAAGTCATGTTTTTTTGAGTGTCTTTTAGTATGTGTGTAGGGAAGGAGGTTAAAGAATAATGTTAATAGTACACTATTCAAAGAAAAGAAAAAAAGGGTTGGAGAAACCCTTTCTATTTATGCATTTTGGAATAAGTAACCCCAAGCCACTTATACATTAAATAGGGTTGAGTTAGGGATAACGGTAAATGAAAAGGACTTGGGAACCATTATAAATAACAAACTAGTAATGCATGTCTGCCATTGGATAAGCTACAAAGGTGCTTTCATACATAACAAAACTAGTAAGGGGGATTGAAAACAATTGTTATGGAATTCTCAGCCTGAAGTGGTGGTGTTATCAGATTCTATAGAGAATGCTTCTTTTGCATAAACAGAAAGTTTAAGAACATAATTGCTGATCCAAATAGAATTCTGATTGCCATTACGCTCCCCCCCTCCCCCCCCTACACTTGTGGGGGGGGTTGCCTTATTTTGGATCAACAACATAAAAGTATGGGATTCAGGGTTGAACTTGGACTTTAGTAATTTTTTTTTCAACCTAGACGACTATGTACTTACGTAAATGCCACCGGGCAAATGATGAGAAGGAGAGTTCTTATCATAGGGATCTAAAGTCATAATCTCAGACTAGAATTGTTCAATTTGAAAAGATCTCCATTTTTTAACCTCAAGCAATCCATTAATATTATTGTACTACTTATCTATTGCCGTGGCAAGTCTTCATTGATTTGCAAAGTGAATTTCTACCTAGAATGCATAAGAACTTGCAGAGGCTGGATAAACCAGGATGGCTTCTTGTCCAGTAGGCCTCAACTTTCCTGAAATGTGCAGCACTGTCCAGGAAGAATACCCTATGACTGAACTAGTAGCTAAATCAATCAGAATTCCCAATGACTTCAGAGAACATCCTAACTGGAGGGGAGGAATTGCAAACATTCAGTGGCCACCACATGTGACTTGTATAACATCATCTCTGTGATCCATATAAAAGATGATAAAATAATTCTGTTCCTGCAGCTTACAAAATAATAACCGTAATAACTAGAGATCTCACACTGTGTACCGGGTGTTTGATGATATAAGTGAATGATATCTGATCTATAACCAAACAATAATGCTGATTAAACTTTGTCTCACCCAATGAGATGAGGGGGTGGTGACTCTCCATGATCACTTCCTTGTAAGTTTCCTTGTGACCTTTTAAATGCTTCCAAACCTACAAGAAATAACAGACAGTGAGATCCCAACATCTTTATCCAGTCACCATCCACACACAGCCCTTGGTTTTACTCTATGATGTCCCATTCCCAGCAGCCTCACCTCTCCAGTCAGCAGGTGGATGATCTGATTGGTCAGTTCCAGGATGTTCTGCTCATTGTTTCCCTCATGTATCAGTGAGTGAGGTGGACACACCATGTTGGAGCTCTGGGTCCTGCAAGATCCTTTTAACAGACAGGGACTTCTCTGTATTGTAGGATCGTCAGATCTCTTCACAACAATGTAATCCTACACATAAAGTAACATGTATTAAAATATCTCTCCTATAAGCCTATACTTCAGTCGTTACACAGAACGTCACTTTGTTACCTTGGAGTTATTTATAAAGTTGTTTCACTTTTTCCTGGAAGGGGAATCACCTTAATCCTGCTATTATGTGCTTCTACCACCCACCTCTGTCACTACTACCCCTGTCTGTGTGTGCGATGCCGGCCTTCTCCATCATAAAGTTCTGTATAGTGCACAGGACTGAGAAATGCTATGCTAGGGCTACCTGTTTATAATCAGGTCTTATAATCATCACATTCCCCACATTTATAACATTACCAAACTTTAACACCAACAGAAAAAAATTCCACAAATCTCAGTAGGGCAATCCAGCACCGCTAACGACCCACAATCTTGTATGTTATATTTCTACAGTCACACAGGGTCTACCTGGCTACTATTATAGATTTATCAATCACATGTTTATTAAATATATACCCAGTATCTACTTCACAGATTTCTCCATAATAAGTCTCAGAAAATTCATGTTAAAGCACAGGATAAAAGTGTGTAGTTGCTGTGACATTCCCAGAATCCCTCACCTCTCCAGTCAGCAGGTAGTTGACCTCCAGGGTCAGATCCAGGATCCTCTCGGTCATCTGATTCCGGTTTGTGTTTGTCATCATTAAGCCAATCAGGCAGCCTGAGAACAGGAATTAGAATATTCTGTAATTACAGGTACATAGTGTATTTCAATGGATACAATAAATACATTATATACACGGCATATACCTGGGGCTGTATATTTACCTCCTATACATTTTATATACTTTATAATTTATTATTTATAAAGCGCCAGCATATTCAGCAGCCCTGTACAATGGGTGGACTAACAAACAAGATTTTATAACAAGGTGAATTGGACGCACAGGAAGACGTGCTCCAGCGATCTTACATTCTACAGGGAGTGGGATAAAGGGACACAAAGTAATGGTAGGATATACAAGTAGGATTCTAGAATAGTTTACGATGAAAGTCTAATTATTATTTTATTTTTTGGATGACTTGCAGGAGACCAGGGTAGGTTACCAAGGGGCCGGGAGGTAAAGTTTTTACATTTTTTTTTGTTTAATTTGCTTTTTATTGATCAAGATTTAACAGAAAGCAAAGAGAAAATATATACATGATACAGCATAATACGGCACATTCATACCAATAATAAAAGTATACAGTTAGTGTAGATATTACACGGTATTTCACTAAATCCAATGGTATTTGAACGTAGTATGGTAGGAATGCTACAAATAAATATTATGAATCATACAAGTAATGCAAAGCAATAACATGATGGAAAACGAAAGAGTAAGATAACATTAGGTACCAGTCGTGTTGGTTCAGTAATTTCCTAGAAGGTGCATCTCATAGAACGTTGCATAATATAAGGCCTAGGATGAGAGCGGCAGTAACTATGTAGGTAGGGCAGAAGCGTCTTGTTTGAGTGGTAGTAAGTTGGGTGCTGTCAGAGTATGGTTGACTCAGTGCGGGTGTAGCAGATTGAAATGGCCACAGGGACCTATGATGGGTTATTACGATTAAGTGACCGATTAACTATACAGGGTTTCCACGGCCACAGCCACCCACACCTCCAGTGCAGTTCCTTAGTCTAGGTCAAGCATGGGCCACATAAACAAGATTTAAGTTTATGTGGGCCGCAAAAAACAAAACAAAAAAAACCCACCCAACTTAAATTTTCATTCCCTTCTACTAAACCACATCACCCCTCTACTAAATCCCATTCCCCCCCCATATACTAAATCCCAGCAACCCCAATAACAAGCAGACTCCATTCACCTCTAGGTACTCCACTGTCCAGTCGCAGAAAATGCAACACTGACCAACACACAGACAGACACACACTCACTCACTCAGACAGACACACACATTTACACATTCTTGCACTCACATCATTTTATTTATTGCTCCCTACTTTTGGGAGCTGGTGTGGGGCCTCTTCTATCTGGAGATCTCCTTCCTGCTCTTCACTGCTCCCTCGTGTGCAGTTTAGTGATGCCGGGCGCCGGAAAATGACGTCATATTCCAGCGCCCGGCATCACTACAGTGAGGAGCAGGAAGGCTGAGCTCCCTCGCTGCATCCACCTTCATCTCCTCCCCGGCCGGGTAACTTTCAGCAGAGTAGGCACCTGCAATGTGGAGAAAGCAGGTGCCTACTCTGCTATAACGCTAAGCATGTACTCGCGGCTCGCAAAGATGTCTATTGTGGGTCGCATGCGGCCTGTGGGCCACGAGTTTGTCATGCTTGGTCTAGCATTGGCTTCATTTAAGAGGAACCATAATAGCTTTTATTTAGCAGGATTTTGGAAGGCATTAGGTAGCCCAATAAGATTTGCGAGGGACTGAGAGTGTAATTGATAGTATTTGCTTTATGAAGTCCAGTACCTGTTTCTAAAACATTTGTATCTTCAGTCAAAACAACCAAATGTGTTCTAAATGACTCTCTGCTGAGCCACATCGCCAGTAATTGTTACTAACATTGGGGAAAAGTAAATAAACTGCTGTTGGAGTACGGAACCAACTCGTAACTTGCTTATAGAAGAACCATTTTAGCTTGAATAAGTGGTGTAGACCATACCCTTTGGAATAAGTGTAATCAATCCTTTTCGGTTAGCTGTATATTTACCCCATACATTATATACACCGTATATACAGGGGGTGTATATTTACCCCCATACATTATATACACAGTATATACAGGGGGTGTATATTTACCCCCATACATTATATACACAGTATATACAGGGGGTGTATATTTACCACATACATTATATACACAGTATATACAGGGGGTGTATATTTACCACATACATTATATACACAGTATATACAGGGGGTGTATATTTACCCCATACATTATATACACAGTATATACAGGGGGTGTATATTTACCCCATACATTATATACACAGTATATACAGGGGGTGTATATTTACCCCATACATTATATACACAGTATATACAGGGGGTGTATATTTACCCCCATACATTATATACACAGTATATACAGGGGGTGTATATTTACCCCATACATTATATACACAGTATATACAGGGGGTGTATATTTACCCCATACATTATATACACAGTATATACAGGGGGTGTATATTTACCCCATACATTATATACACAGTATATACAGGGGTGTATATTTACCCCATACATTATATACACAGTATATACAGGGGGTGTATATTTACCCCCATACATTATATACACAGTATATACGGGGGGGGGTGTATATTTACCCCATACATTATATACACAGTATATACAGGGGGTGTATATTTACCCCCATACATTATATACACAGTATATACGGGGGGTGTATATTTACCCCATACATCACATACACAGTATATACAGGGGGTGTATATTTACCCCATACATTATATACACAGTATATACAGGGGGTGTATATTTACCCCATACATTATATACACAGTATATACAGGGGGTGTATATTTACCCCCATACATTATATACACAGTATATACAGGGGGTGTATATTTACTCCATACATTATATATATATTTCCCCCATACATTACAGGCAGTTCCCATTGATCTCACATTAGATACATAGAACATTATATTTGAACATTTCCTTTGTGTAACTGTATAGGAAGCTCATCATATAACAATAGTCACCTGACTGCCAGCTCCTCCCTGTGTTTCCCAGCACTGTATCCACTACCTCTGCACACAGCAGCTGCTCAAACCTCCAAACACAGATACTGGGAGCTAGAATGTAATGTGCGCTTTAATATGACGTCACTGGAAACACACTACTGGGCGGCCATCTTTGTTTAGGGCAAATCTCCCATCACTAGATACAGTAAGTGAGAGCAGATCATGATATTAATGATGTGTAATGTAGCAGTATACATGATTCATATGCTCTCATTGTAAATGAATCACATTATTCATGGTAAGTAGTCTGTCTCCCCCCCCCCATGCAGTCAGACAGAAATAAATAATTTATTACATAAAATAGTAAATCAGCTCAGTCTGGTCTCAGTTTATACTAATTATATTATTACCACACAGAGAAATGTCACACTTTTATTTCTACAAATCTATCTCATGATTTCTACATATTGACCTCATGTTTCATAGATCAGCCCTGTGGCCCTAAGGAGAAAAGAAGGCGTTTTGCCCTAAACAAAGATGGCCGCCCCTAACCAGCTATACAGTGACGTCATGTTAAAGCGCCCGGTTACATTGTAGTTCTCAGTTCTCGGGCCTGCAAGTTTGAGCAGCTGCTGTGTGTTTATCCTGAGAATCCCCATTACTGTGAGATCGTGCAGAGGTAGTGGATACAGTGCTGGGAGACACAGGGAGGAGCTGCCAGTCAGGTGACTATTGTTATATGATGAGCTTCCTATACAGTTACACAAAGGAAATGTTCAAATATAATGTTCTATGTATCTAATGTGAGATCAATGGGAACTACCTGTAATGTATGTGGGAAATATATATACATATATAATGTATGGGGTAAACATACACCCCCTGTATATACTGTGTATATAATGTATGGGGTAAATATACACCCCCTGTATATACTGTGTATATAATGTATGGGGTAAATATACACCCCCTGTATATACTGTGTATATAATGTATGGGGTAAATATACACCCCCTGTATATACTGTGTATATAATGTATGGGGTAAATATACACCCCCTGTATATACCGTGTATATAATGTATGGGGTAAATATACACCCCCTGTATATACTGTGTATATAATGTATGGGGGGTAAATATACACCCTCTGTATATACTGTGTATATAATGTATGGGGTAAATATACACCCCCTGTATATACTGTGTATATAATGTATGGGGTAAATATACACCCCCTGTATATACTGTGTATATAATGTATGGGGTAAATATACACCCCCTGTATATACCGTGTGTATAATGTATGGGGTAAATATACACCCCCTGTATATACTGTGTATATAATGTATGGGGTAAATATACACCCCCTGTATATACTGTGTATATAATGTATGGGTTAAATATACACCCCCTGTATATACTGTGTATATAATGTATGGGGTAAATATACACCCCCTGTATATACTGTGTATATAATGTATGGGGTAGTGGATACAGTGCTGGGAAACACAGGGAGGAGCTGGCAGTCAGGTGACTATTGTTATATGATGAGCTTCCTATACAGTTACATAAAGGAAATGTTCAAATATAATGTTCTATGTATCTAATGTGAGATCAATGGGAACTGCCTGTAATGTATGTGGGAAATATATATATATAATGTATGGGGTAAATATACACCCCCTGTATATACTGTGTATATAATGTATGGGGCAAATATACACCCCCTGTATATACTGTGTATATAATGTATGGGGCAAATATACACCCCCTGTATATACTGTGTATATAATGTATGGGGTAAATATACACCCCCTGTATATACTGTGTATATAATGTATGGGGTAAATATACACCCCTGTATATACTGTGTATATAATGTATGGGGTAAATATACACCCCCTGTATATACTGTGTATATAATGTATGGGGTAAATATACACTCCCTGTATATACTGTATATATAATGTATGGGGTAAATATACACCCCCTCTATATACTATGTATATAATGTATGGGGGTAAATATACACCCCCTGTATATACTGTGTATATAATGTATGGGGTAAATATACACCCCCTGTATATACTGTATATATAATGTATGGGGTAAATATACACCCCCTGTATATACTGTATATATAATGTATGGGGTAAATATACACCCCCTGTATATACAGTATATATAATGTATGGGGTAAATATACACCCCCTGTATATACCGTGTATATAATGTATGGGGTAAATATATACCCCCTGTATATACCGTGTATATAATGTATGGGGTAAATATACACCCCCCTGTATATACCGTGTATATAATGTATGGGGTAAATATACACCCCCTGTATATACCGTGTATATAATGTATGGGGTAAATATACACCCCCTGTATATACTGTGTATATAATGTATGGGGTAAATATACACCCCCTGTATATACTGTGTATATAATGTATGGGGTAAATATACACCCTGTATATACTGTGTATATAATGTATGGGGTAAATATACACCCCCTGTATATACTGTGTATATAATGTATGGGGTAAATATACACCCCCTGTATATACTGTGTATATAATGTATGGGGGTAAATATACACCCTCTGTATATACTGTGTATATAATGTATGGGGGTAAATATACACCCCCCTGTATATACTGTGTATATAATGTATGGGGGTAAATATACACCCCCTGTATATACTGTGTATATAATGTATGGGGTAAATATACACCCCCTGTATATACTGTGTATATAATGTATGGGGTAAATATACACCCCCTGTATATACTGTGTATATAATGTATGGGGGGAAATATACACCCCCTGTATATACTGTGTATATAATGTATGGGGGGAAATATACACCCCCTGTATATACTGTGTATATAATGTATGGGGGGTAAATATACACCCCCAAAAGGAAATGTTCAAATATAATGTTCTATGTATCTAATGTGAGATCAATGGGAACTACCTGTAATGTATGTGGGAAATATATATATAATGTATGGGGTAAATATACACCCCCTGTATATACTGTGTATATAATGTATGTGGGTAAATATACACCCCCTGTATATACTGTGTATATAATGTATGGGGTCAATATACACCCCCTGTATATACTGTGTATATAATGTATGGGGTAAATATACACCCCCTGTATATACTGTGTATATAATGTATGTGGGTAAATATACACCCCCTGTATATACTGTGTATATAATGTTTGGGGGTAAATATACACCCCCTGTATATACTGTGTATATAATGTATGGGGTAAATATACACCCCCTGTATATACTGTGTATATAATGTATGGGGTAAATATACATGTATATACTGTGTATATAATGTTTGGGGTAAATATACACCCATGTATATATAATGTATGGGGTAAATATACACCCTGTATATACTGTGTATATGGGGTAAATATACACCCCCTATACTGTGGGTAATGTATGGGGTAAATATACACCCCCTGTATATACTGTGTATATAATGTATGGGGGTAAATATACACCCCCTGTATATACTGTATATATAATGTATGGGGGTAAATATACACCCCCTGTGTATATAATGTATGGGGGGTAAATATACAGCCCCTGTATGTACTGTGTATATAATGTATGGGGTAAATATACACCCCCTGTATATACTGTGTATATAATGTATGGGGCTAATATACACCCACTGTATATACTGTGTATATAATGTTTGGGGTAAATATACACCCCCTGTATACTTGGCTTGCAATGAGGTTCCAGAGGTAAAGGAAGTTTTTGTGTTTTTGCCAATGATATACGTCAGGTTGCTTCCACACTGTCATTCTCTGAAGTTCTGCCTGTGCATAACACTCAGAACGACAAGCGGATGCGTATTAGGGACTTTAACTTGTGGCTTGAATGGTGTCGGGAGCAAGGATTTGGCTTCATTTCTTATGTTAGCTCTCTTTGGAGTGGAAATAAACTGTACGAAAAAGATGGTTTGCATCTTTCTCAAAAGGTAACAAATGTTCTCAGTGAGCAGTTCAGAGGTTTTGCTAGGATGTATTTAAACTAGGAGGGGGGGGCAAAAGGGTATAAAACATCAATCCAATTTCCCCCAAAACAAGGACAGAAGGTGCCTGTAGCAAGTGTGTTTAAAAAATGATTAGCTTAGAGTCATGTCTACAAATGCTCGCAGTTTAGGGAATAAGATCCATGAACTTGTGGCAATAATGGCAATTGATAATGTAGATTTAGTCTCTGTTTCTGAGACATGGTATAATGAGAAAAATTACGGGGACATAGCAATACCAGGGTACTCTTTTTTTATATAGAAAAGACAGGGAAGGCAAGAAAGGGGGAGGTGTTGCCCTATATGTGAAGGATAGCATAAAATCTTGCCTAATAAGTTAGTGAGGCGAACATACAGTCTGATTGGGTTACATTAGAATTTGGTAATCGCACAGTAACTCACGTAGGTGTGATTTATAGGCCCTCAAGACACATAGAAGAGTTAGATAATCTATGTGAAGAAATCCCTCATTATGTTCAGTATTTCTCCCCTGTTCATTCGGTAGATGTAACTACCGAACAGAGACCACCCTCTCCTCCTCCCCCCCCGGCTCGTTAAACTTCAAAGCATGCCTCAATTGAACCCTCTACCTGTGCAGCCGTCGTTCGTATTACCAAACGCCACGTGGCTGAGAAAACGGCGGCCATCTTTTTTTATGCGAACAAAGGCAACGGGACTTGGTCATCGAATGTCTGGAACTAAAATCGGACACTCGACTTCACGAACACCGGTCTCAACATACGGACGCTGGATCTTTATTTCCCGAACAGCTAGAAGAGCGCTGTTCGGTACTTTTGTGAATGAGGAACAATCACTGCTAAGAGCCAGGGGAAACCGTGGGATTATTAGTTTTTTTTTCTACTTAACGAAATAGACTGGCAAAACTACCCAAACTCGTGGAACTGTTTCGGGCAGCAAAATCGCGGTTAGCCGGTCACAAAAGACTTCCATACTTTTTGAGAACCACAGAACCGATCTGGGTGAAATTTGAATATGTTGGTCACCCAGATCGGGGCTATCAGGGGACATATTGTTTGTGGGGATACCAAATGCCTAAAGTGGTGTTCTGAGTATTGGGGAAAACTGTAATTTTTTTGCGTGGAGTTAATCAAGTTATTACTTTATCAGACTTGATTATCTCCAGGACTAGGGGAGGGAATTGTATGTTTGTGCTGGGAGTGTTTTACGTTTTTCCTGTAAATGATTGGATGTACTTTGTCCCTCCCTGTGGGATGTCCCCTTGCATGGGGACTAGCATAAAAGCCAGTGTGTGGCCATTAAAAGCCAGTTCTGTTGTACCCTTCTTCTAGACTTCGGCTGATGTTTGGGGATTCGTATGCTTTATTAAAAGCTATTGTATTCATATGGATTTCATTTATTTAATCTACCGAACGGAGAGCTATAATCACTGATGCTCTGGCGGTTCGGGAGGAAACTACCGAATGAGGATTGGATATCCTAGGTTTCCTTACAATCTACTGGTTGAGGAAATGGCTAAAATGACAATGAAAGGGGGAAGTTATCATCATGGGTGACTTTAATCTTCCTGATGCAAACTGGAAATCCCAAATAGCTGCATGTGCCAGGAGCACACTGTGACGGTAGTAAGATGTCCCTTTCTCCTAATAGCAGAATAACAATAGTCCACAGGGTAAAATAACGCTGGTATCGCCAAATAATCCATACATGAGCCAAAGCTTACTGCTGGAACAAGACTGATTTACTGGAAGCAACAGGCATTCAATTTATACAGTACAAGCTCATCCTCTGGGCCAGGCTACATAATCGAGTTTCAGCAACATACTAAACTCAATTATCTGCTGGTCAGAAACATTAACCATTTTCCACATTTAAAAAAAATATACTTTATACATATCATAGAAATATAAAAACTACATCCCTGGATAGCTGAGGATACTAGGAGTAACATATCCAAATTGCACGAAAATCCGTTCAGCAGTTTTCGTGTCGCATCGTGTGGAAGTTTGACCGGCTCGCCATGTGGTTGTATCCGAGTTAGAGTTCCATGAAATTGGTAGCAAGAGCCGGTTTCTGTTCATGCGGAATTACACGAAAACTACCACAGCTATATGGCATCTGGTTCCATATGAATGCTCCACTCATTCGGTTGATTGAAACTCCCGAACGCCAGTTTGATACTGTAAGTGGAAATCGCTCAGATGGGACTTACATAGAGAACGGGTGTTCGTGTGATTGCTATGCTGAAAATGGTTCCAGGCAATCCACGAGTAAGTCACGCTGACCGCATTTGGGAGATCTAAGATGGCCGCCATTCCTTTGTTCTTGCCACGTGTTCGTATGCCGAATGGCAGCCACCTAGAATCACTCAATTACCTTGCGGTTTTCGTGGTTACTTGGTGTTCTAAGTTCTGATTGCTACCCAGGGTGGTCTCCGTTCGGTAGAACGAATAAATGACCCGAACACAGAAAAAACAACAAATACTTTACAGTCACTTAACTACCAGGGAGAGGAAATAACCGAATGGGTACAGGTAAACACAAGGAAATCCTTTACAATGGCCCCCCTTTTTCTCCCTGCTCTGGCAGACATCTTTAAATGTTCTACAATATGACCTAAAGTGGCTAGGTTTGCCACAATGCTCCCCCAGAACCAAGCCGGCATACACAGTCTGATCCCAACGGATCGGCTTGGGGATGTCCGGAGGAGTACTCACAGATCACTTTTCAAGTTCAGTTTGTCGGGATAACCCGTCGGCGTTGCCATTTTGCTTCCCAGGGCGGTAGTGGATGGTAAAGTCAAAAGGCTGCAGCGCCAAACTCCAGCGCAGCAGCCTGGCATTGTCCCCTGACACCCGGTTCAGCCACACCAACGGGTTGTGATCTGTGACTAGCGAGAATGGTTGTCCGTACAAATAGGGCTGCAGCTTCTTGAGGGCCCACACCACGGCCAGGCATTCCTTTTCGATGGCGGCGTAGCTTACTTCCCGGGGTAAAAGTTTTCTGCTTAAGTAAGCCACTGGATGCTCACCGCCATCTGCTCCGACTTGGCTCAGTACTGCCCCCAATCCAAACATAGAAGCGTCTGTATGGACGAGAAAACGTTTTGTTGGATCAGGAGCAGCAAGTACAGGTGCGTTAACAAGAGCAGTTTTTAGTTGCTGGAATGCCCGTTCACACTCTGGGGCCCATTCTACTACTTTAGGGAGGTTTTTGCGGGTTAAATCGGTGAGGGGTTTGGCCAGGGTGCTGTAATCGGGCACAAACTTCCGATAGTACCCTGCGGTACCTAAGAACGCCAGGACCTGGGTTTTGGTACGCGGTGTTGGCCATTTGGCTACGGCCTCTACCTTGGCGGGTTCTGGCTTTTGCTGGCCGCTTCCTACCCGGTGCCCTAAATATTGAACTTCAGCCATCCCTATATGGCACTTACTGGGTTTAAGGGTTAACCCTGCCTCCCTAATGCGGTCTAGTACGGCTCCTATATGGGTCAGGTGTTCGGTCCAGGAATCGCTGAAGATTGCTATGTCGTCTAAATAGGCGCAAGCGTACTCCTGGAACCCATCCAATAGCCGATCCACCATCCTCTGAAAGGTAGCCGGAGCGTTTCTCATCCCGAATGGCATGACCTTAAACTGGTACAGGCCGAACGGGGTTACAAACGCCGACTTAGGGATGGCGTCCTCGGCTAAAGGAATTTGCCAATAGCCCTTACAAAGGTCTATCGTGGTGAGGTACTGGCCCCTGGCCATTTTGTCTAGGAGCTCGTCTATCCGGGGCATAGGGTAGGCATCAGATACTGTCTTATCATTGAGCCTTCGATAGTCTACGCAGAAGCGGGTAGTTCCATCCCGCTTCGGCACCAGAACTACTGGGGAGGCCCATGGGCTATCAGAAGGTTCTATAACCCCCAATTGTAAAATTTCCTTGAGCTCCTTACGCATATTCTCTTTTACAGACTCGGGGATGCGGTAAGGAGGTTGGCGGAGGGGTGTCTGCCCTGGGGTTTCTACACGGTGGGTGGCTAACGGGGTATACCCAGGGAGGTTAGAAAAGGTGGCCCCTTTTTCCCTAATTAAGCTTTGGGCCTGGGCCCGCTCCTGGGGACTCAAGCGCTCCCCTAGCTGTACTGCTTCCAGATCCTCATTTTTGTCTTCTTTCTCTAGGAGGTCTGGGAGGGGCAAATTATCAAAATCCTCTGCAGCGGAAGCACAAATCGCGGTCACCTCCTCTGTGCGCTCGTGGTAAGGCTTCAGCATGTTCACATGGAGCATGCGTCTGCCCCCTGCTCCAGCGCATGGGCCAATTACATAGGTGGTATCACAGATTTGCTCTACCACCTTGAATGGGCCCTGCCAGGAGGCCTGCAGCTTGTCATTAGGGACGGGTCGTAGGATTAGCACCTTCTGCCCGACCTGAAAGCTGCGGTCCCTGGCCCCCCTATCATACCATCTGCGCTGTCGTTGCTGGGCCGCTTGGAGGTTGGTACGTACGGTCTGGGTCAAAGCCTCCAAGCGTTCCCGGAACTCGAGCACATAGGGTACAATAGGGGTACCATTAGTGGTCACTCCCCCCTCCCAGTGCTCTCTGATTAAATCTAGGGGGCCCCTCACCCTCCTTCCGAACAATAATTCAAAGGGAGAGAACCCAGTGGATTCTTGGGGAACTTCCCTATAGGCGAACAGCAAGTGGGGTAAAAACCTCTCCCAGTCCTTCTGCGTGTCTATGAACATCCGGATCATCTGCTTAAGTGTTCCGTTAAACCGTTCACAGAGACCGTTGGATTGAGGGTGGTAGGGTGAGTTAAGGATAGACTTTACCCCACAGACCTTCCAGAGCTGGTGGGTGACCTCTGCAGTGAATTGGGTACCCCTATCCGAAATAATCTCCCGTGGGAATCCCATGCGGGAGAAAATTCGCATAAGGGCATCTGCTACGGTCTCTGCATGTACATTCGTTAGAGCCACCGCCTCGGGGTATCTAGTGGCGTAGTCCACTACGGTCAAGATGTACTTCTTGCCAGAGGGACTGGGTTTTTTCAGGGGTCCGATTATGTCCACTGCTACTCTACTAAAGGGCTCTTCTATTATGGGCAGGGAATGGAGTTTGGCTTTGCAGCGGTCTCCCCTCTTCCCTACCCTCTGGCAGGTATCACAGGTGTTACAGTATTGCCTAATATCCTTGGAGATACCTGGCCAGAAGAAGTTCTGCGTCAGCCGATGTTTAGTTCGGCTGATCCCTAAATGACCGGATAAGGGTATGTCATGCGCTATGCGCAGTAACTCCTGTCTATACTTTCGAGGCACAATTAACTGCTTTATGGGTATGGGAATAGACCCGGCTACTACCTTCTCTGCATACCGGTATAATAACCCTTGATCCCAAGCATATCTCTCTCCTTCTAAGCCTGCCTGGTTCTTGTCAATTCGGTCTTTGTAAACCTGCAGGGACGGGTCTAGAGCGACCTCGCTACCAAATTCTAGGGGGGCATCCCAGGAGAGGGCAGTGTGGTTATGGGGTTCATTGCTTACCTGAGCCTCAGAGTCACTGGATGGGACCGTGGTGCGGGCCTGCAGCCTGGTGATGACTGGGTAAGCTTCCTGTACGGTGGTTCGCGGAACAAAAGCGGAAGTGAGCTCCCCCAAGTCATTTCCCAAAATAACATCTGCGGGCAAGTCTTGCATTATCATCCCCACCTCCACGTTCCCTGACCCCGCTCCCCAATTCAAATGTATCTTGGCAGTGGGAACCTTGTAGATCGCTCCCCCTGCCACCCGTACTGCTACACAATCCCCCGTAAGCTGGTTCTTTGGGACAAGGTGGTTTCGGACCAAGGTGATGGTGGCCCCGGAATCTCTCAGTCCCTCCATAGGCTTCCCTTCTATGTGGACGACTTGGCGATGGCTTTGGCGGTTATCGGACGCCGCTTGGACGGGGTTAACTTCATGGAGAGTGCCTAGAGGTTCCTCTACCTGGGTGGCTGTGGAGGGCTGGATGAATGATTCATTCTGATAGCAGTGTACCGCAGCCCGAGTGCCTGGAGGTTGGCCTTGGTTGGGCCATGATGGTCGTGCCCTGTTTCGGGGGCATTCTCGTTGTACATGCCCCAGTTGGTTGCAGGTGTGGCATCTGATGTGTGCCCGGTTGGGGTACCTAGGTTGGTATTGGTTGTTAGCTCCCCCAGATCGTGGGTGAGCTGTTTCGGCCCAGGCAGGCCTGTGGTGTGTTGACTGGGGGAATACCCTGGTTGGTGGGCGCTGCTCTCGTCTGGTGTCTTGATGTTCGTCCGCTAATTTGGCCGCATCTTGTAAGGTGCGTGGTTTACGATCTCTTACCCAGTTCTGCATATCAGTAGTTAGTCTCCGGTAGAACTGTTCCAACAAAAGTAATTGAATGAGATCTTCCCGGGTAGTTGCTTGCGCCGCATCAATCCACCCCGTGGCTGCTCGGTGTAAGCGGTGCGCAAACTCTGCGTGGGAGTCCTTTTCTTGTTTTTGCAGGTCCCGGAATTGGAGTCGGTATGCCTCGGGGGTAATGGCATACCGGACTAGGATGGCCTGCTTTACCTTCTGGTAGTCTCTGCTATCCTCATCAGGCACTGCCCGGTAGGCTTCTGCTGCGCGGCCAGATAATCTACCGGCCAGCAGTGGTACCTGGTCTTGGGGCCCAATATCATGCAGCTGGCACAGTCTTTCAAAGTCCTGCAAATATCCATCAATATCGCCCTCTGTGTCCGTAAAGTTTTTAAAGGCTTGGTAGGGAATTTTGGGTTTTCCCTGTACAATGCTGGGTGGAGCCGGTGACCCCTCTCTGGATTGCTGGTTTGGTTGGAATCGTTTGGCCATGATGTATTCTTGCACATCTGCCATGATCCTATCGAAAGTCTCTTGGGGTGGTGTGGTTGGGTACAGTGCCATCCTGCTCCTGAACTCTTTCTGAAATTCTGTTTGCTCTTCCTCCATTGGAGGTGCTGCAGCAGCCGCTGCTCTGTCTCCTTCCATGAGCTCAGCAATAAGGGTAGCCTTTGTCTTGTTGCTGGCTATTGTTCCCCTTGCCTCTAGTAATTCCTTCAGTGTACTCCGTTTCAAAAGTGCATAATTCATTTCCATTCACCTGCTGTTCGTGTGATTCCACTTATTCCCGAACTCCGGTTTCATCCGAATGGTTGTTTCACGAATTGCTGTTTCTTTTCCTCTGCTCACATCAATCCCTGCCGAACGCTGCTTTGCTGTGTGGTTTGAATCCCGTCGCTTGCCACCAATTGTAGCGGAGTAGTGGTATTATCCACGGTATCTCCGCTGGTAGGCAGGATGAAGCAGGTAAAATGCAGGTAGCGTAGTTACAATCCTTTTCTCCTAAGAACTAGACGACACATAGCTTGGAGGTTAAAACACTGGCATCTCACCAGGCTGAGTCGAAACTCTTTAATGATTACATCTTCCTTTTAGCACAGACCTCCGCAGGGGGGTCTGCATTCCACACAATACACTCTTAAATATAAGGGCTAGATATATCAATTAAACACACTGCCACACAAACACTAAATAAGGAAAATTAAGGTGAATAACATAAAATCAAATTGTGTAAATTGTAATGTCCAGAGATCGTCCTATAACAGGATTTAACAATAATATATGCAGTTTAATACTGACAGGTAAAACTGGAATACAATTATTATAGAGGTTCTTCAATGTAACCTAAGTGGACAAAAGTAAGCCAATGAGAACAGGGCTGTAATTTGATAGTTAGCGTGGTTAACCATATATCTAAATGTTTTGTGTGTAAAACATGTTGTTCCAAGCAAGAAAATATGGAATGTTAGGTTTCGGCAGGATAACCTAAATCACTAACTGTTTAGTGTCCCCATAGACTGCCAGATAATTGATAACATTGTCAGCCATGGAATTTAAGTTCTGGTGTCCGATATTATTCCCTTAGAGCAATCTGTCACAGCTATCTCTAAGAGTAACTGTGTAGCAGATACAGCTGAAATTCAAGATAATAGTATCAAGGTAATTGTAACAAAATCCACTTATCCATACAACAGCGGCAAGCTGCCGAGAATGTACGGATCAGACAGCCCATTTATGCATACAGTATGCTAATGTGCAACCTCAGGTTTAAAGGACCACTATAGTGCCAGGAAAACATACTAGTTTTCCTGGCACTATAGTGCCCTGAGGGTGCCCCCACCCTCAGGGACCCCCTCCCGCCCAGCTCTGGAAGGGGGAAAGGAGTTTAAACGTACCTTTTTCCAGCGCTGGGCGGGGAGCTCTCCTCCTCCGATCCTCCTCTTCTCCTCCCATGCGGCTGAATGCGCACGCGCAGCAAGAGCTGCGCGCGCATTCAGCCAGTCACATAGGAAAGCATTCATAATGCTTTCCTATGGACGCTGGCGTGCTCTCACTGTGAAAATCACAGTGAGAAGCACGCAAGCGCCTCTAGTGGCTGTCAATGAGACAGCCACTAGAGGAAATAGGGGAAGGTTTAACCCATTCATAAACATAGCAGTTTCTCTGAAACTGCTATGTTTATGAAAAAATGGGTTAACCCTAGCTGGACCAGGCACCCAGACCACTTCATTAAGCTGAAGTGGTCTGGGTGCCTAGAGTGGTCCTTTAAGTGTGGATAGTGGCAGGCTGTAAAGCTTTAAGAGGAAGAAAAAATATATATACTGCAGATCTCCCAAAGAGGAGAGAGGATCTGCAACTGATTGCTACAGAAGTGAGTGTAAGGTAGCCCGTTTCAATTTACTTAATGCTGGTGAGAGACCTTTAGGGTGCTCTAACTAGATCATAAATGGCCCCATAACGATTGCCCAGTTGCAATATGCAGTATCCTGGTTTATAGCCTTAGAGTGCTTAACATAAATTAGCACCTCATTTTATACTGAAAAACATAACAGGTTACACAGACAGGGTATAAGGAGGGAGAAAAATAAGTAGTTGTAATATGTCTCCCTACTGTGCCTTTGAGGGCACCCCTTACACAAACACTTTCCCTGACTGATAGGTTACCAAAAATGATGAGCTTATGAGCGAAACACGCATCCGGGGGATCAGGGCTTTATCACCCTGACGGGCTTTGTTCCATACATTTCTTTATCCACCATACCAGTGATTCCCTGGTTTTCAACAATTTAGTACTATTACCTCCAATTTTCTTTTTCTTTATTGTAATTCTTTCATTACACCTGCTTGGACATTGCCAGCTCCAGCGCCCCAGTCTAGATGCACATGTGCGGTAGGAATCCGATACACTGCCCCCCTGCCACTCTCACAGCAATAGATTTTCCCGGTCTTTCAGAGTTATCAATAAGATGCCGTTGAACTAGGGTGATAGTAGCGCCACTGTCCCTTAGGCCCGGGCTGTCTTCCCGTTGACCATTACCAACTGACAATGGTGTTTTTGATTGTCAATTATGGTAGATTGGACTAGGAGAGCTTCATATAGGGTGCCCAGGGATTCCTCACGACTCAGCTCCTTGGCGTCCCAGGCAGAGGGTACCGGATAATCCACACAATGGGCTGCTGCCTGGGGTTGATGGCATCCAGGGCGAGTCCAATTGGACCTGGGTGCTTCCAGTGGGCAGTCGTTATGTAAATGTCCCACTTGGTTACATCGGAAGCAGCAGAGCTCGTTGCCAGCCTGACGTGGGTAGCGAGGGTTGGAGGCTACCTGTCGGCTAGAGCAGTGTTTCCCAACCCAGTCCTCAAGGCACACCTACCAGTCCAGGATTTAGGGATTACCCAGTTGTGTCTAAGGTGTTTTTTTTTTTTTTCTTCTTTGTAAAAACACCTTAGACACAACTGGGTAATCCCTAAATCCTGGACTGGTAGGTGTGCCTTGAGGACTGGGTTGGGAAACACTGCGCTAGAGGGTTGGTACCTGGTTACTGTTGGGGTTGATGGTACTCCAGGTCGAAGGGGTTGGACCCGTGGGGTGACCCGTGTTGTCTTACGAGTATCCGCATACTCATCCGCGAGATAGGCAGCCTCCGGTCTCTTACCCAGTCTTTTGACATCTGTCTGGATGTGGTCGTAGAACTGCTCCAGGAGTATTAACTGTAAGATGTCATCCGCGGTGGTGGCCTGGCTACTGTTGACCAATTGGATGCGGACAGTTGTAACTGGCAGGCCCATTCTGCCTAGGAATCCTTGTCCGTTTTGCGTGAGTCTCTGAACTTTTGGCGGTATGTCTCCGGGGTCACCGCGTACCGAGCCAGGAGTGCTTCTTTAACCCTTGCGTAGCTGTGAATCTCCTGCTCTGGTACTGCCCAGAAAGCATCGGCGGCTTTGCCTGACAACTGCCTACCAATATTGAAACCCACTCGTCTGCAGCTACTCTGTGCAGGTTACACTGTCGCTTGAAATCCGCTAGATAGCTATCAATCTCCCAGTCCTTCTCATTAAAAGCTTTAAAAGGCACTGAAAGGAATCTTCCTTGTATCTACTGTGCTGTTCTCTCCGCTCGGGGAACTTGCTGCTGCACGCTGGGTTTCAGCCAGCTTCATCTGCAGCTCTATTTCTCTCTTTTGTTTCGCCTCTTCTGCTACAATGTTCATTACCTGCAGAACAATGTCAGCCGTTGGGTTCGGACCGAACCATGCCAATCTTACCAGAATCTCCCTGTTTGGTGATTCATTTTCGCAAATCACCGGTGTCTCCATCTCCCGAACGGTCGGTGTTGCCGCAACCAAGTTCTCCCGGTCTAGCTCCATTAACTCAGCAACGATGACCCGCTTGGTTTTGTTGCTGGCAATCCTTCCACGAACCTCCAACAGTTCCTTTAACGTGTTTCGTTTAAGCAATGTGTACCAGCCTTCCTGCCAGCCGTCCCCAGTGTCTGCTTGGATTCTTGGTGCAGGAAAAAAGGAAGATCCCGCTGCTGCCAACCAGTTGTGACGGTAGTAAGCTGTACAGGTGAGGCTGTTTGATTGCCCTGCCGAAAATGGTTCCAGGCAATCCACGAGTAAGTCCCGCTGACTGGTTTTGGGAGATCTAAGATGGCCGCCATCCTTTGTGTGGCGAAACCGACCTCGCCACTGGGCATTGGAGAAGACTGATTGCCAGCCTCCTGCCATGTGACTATGGCCCCTGGGATGTATTGCCCTTTAAAGACATGATTTGGGCATAATGGATTTGTGTTTGGCTGCTGCTGGCCCTTTAAGAACCATCTGGGGACATACTGTGGAGTTACTGGGTGGCCACCATTTCATGTATCAGAGGCACATGGTGAGAACAATGGATGGCGGCCATTTTAACTCACAGACACTGTTTGGACTTTTCTACACGGTGCCATCTCGCCGGTATTTGGTGCACAAAGACATTGTGCAGTAGTTTTAAACTATACAACAGGGGACACATTATACAGTAATTATTTTTCATATAGACTGTATATGTTCTGCGGAATCTGCATTTAACTGTATCTTCCAAACTACTGAACAGATCTGGGTGAATTTTGGATATGTGCTTCACCCAGATCCCCTGGTTTCAAGGCTTATTGCATGTTTTGGGGTCCCTGTGATATGTTTTATAATACTGTATTTCTCTGCCTGTGATAATTCAATTAACCATTGTGTTCAGTAATCATATCACAGGCAGAGGGGAGGATTTTGTGTGGGAGTATCTGTGTATATTGTACGGATTGATTGGATGTATTTCAAAACCCTGTGGGCAGTACTGTGTTTGTGGATTGTGAATAAAAGCGGCTGTATGTGCCAGTCCAGGCAGTTCTACTTCACCCTCAATTTGGAGTGCCGTCTCTTATTGGGGGAATCTGCTACAAGGGATTGCTATGCTTGTCATACTCCTTTGCTAAATCACTACTAAGCTCTTGTAAGAGCTTGTTCCTGTCGTGCTCTCTGAATGAGTCCACGGTGGTTCTGGTGTCAGCTGGAGTGCTTGGAGCTCTAAGGAAGCGCTAGGAGCATCCTTCAACGGAGGTACCCAGTCGTGGTGCCAGGTGATCCGTTACACTTTGTTCTCGCCACGTGTTCGTATGCCGAATGGCGGCCACCTAGAAGCACTCAATTACCTTGCGGTTTTCGTGGTTACTTGGTGTTCTAAGTTCTGATTGCTACCCAGGGTGGTCTCCGTTCGGTAGAACGAATAAATGTCCCGAACACAGAAAAAACAACGAATACTTTACAGTCCCTTAACTAGCAGGAAGAGGAAACAACCGAATGGGTACAGGTAAACACAAGGAAATCCTTTACACACACATATTCTAAACTCCCTACTAGGATTGTCTCTAAAACAAGTCGTTGAGGAGTCAACTCGTACAGAACCCATACTAGATTTAGTGTTAAATGGAGATTCGGTATTGGTATTCGATATTACTGTAGGTGAAAGTTTAGGATCCAGTGATCATCAGTCAGTGTGGTTTAATATAAGAACAGTGACTGAGTCACATCACACAAAAACAAACGTTTTAGACTTTAGAAAAACAGACTTTTCTAAAATTAGAATGTGTAAATTAGTCATTATCAGACTTGAGCAATTTAAATGGAGTCCAAGAGAAATGGGATTATTTAAAAGTTGCACTGCTGAAGGCAACAGAAAATTGCATTAGGCTTGTCAGTAAAAGCAAAAAATTCAAGGAACCACTGTGGTACTTTGCAGATGTGGCCAAAATAGTAAAAAACAAAAAGTTAGCATTTAGTAATTATAAAAAAAAAAAAACCCAGAGTGAGAAAGACAGAATGATATATAAGATTAGGCAGAAAGAGGCTAAGCAACTTATAAGAGCTTCCAAATCACAAGCAGAAGAAAAAATAGCACAGTCCGTAAAAAAAGGGGGACAAAACCTTTTTTAAATACATAAATGAGAAAAGGAAAGGAAAACAAGGATTAGTTAGATTAAAAACAAAAGAAGGAAGGTATGTAGAAGAGGATAAAGGTCTAGCTGACTGCCTTAATGAATAATTTTTGTTCAGTATTGACAGATGAAAATGAAGGAAAGGGGCCTCAGTTAGGAAAAAGGACACGTGAGTCATTTGTTACAAAAGTAAAGACAAATAAATCAATAGGACCTGATGGAATGCACCCAAAGCTATTAAAAGAGCTTAGTGGTGTACTAGCAAAACCATTAACAGATTTATTTAACCAATCATTGTTAACAGGAGTATGCCCAGAAGATTGGAAGTTAGCGAATGTTGTGCCCATTCACAAGAAAGGTAGTAGGGAGGACTCTGGCAACTGTAGGCCAGTAAGCCCTACTTTAGTAGTGGGGAAAGTAATGGAAACTATGTTGAAAGATAGGATTGTTGAACAACTAAAATCACATGGATTTCAAGATCAGAGACAACATGGGTTTACTTCAGGGTGATCATACCAAACTAATCTTATGGATTTTTTTTAATTTGGGTAACTAAAATAATAGATCAGGGTGGTGCAGTAGACACTGCTTACCTAGATTTTAGTAAACCTTTTGACACTGTTGCACATAGAAGACTTATCAATAAACTGCAATCTTTAAGTTTGGATTCCAATATTGTTGAATGGGTAAGGCAGTGGCTAAGTGACAGGCAACAGAGGGTTGTAATCAATGGAGTATATTCGAAGCATGGTCTTGTCTCCATTATAGTACCTCAGGGATCTGTACTTGGACCCATTCTCTTTAATATTTTAATTAGTGATATTGCAGAAGGTCTTTATGGTAAGGTATGTCTTTTTGCTGATACTAAATATGTAACAGGGTTGATGTTCCAGGAGGGATAAGTCAAATGGCACATGATTTAAGTAAACGAGAAAAATGGCAACTGACATTTAATGTGGATAAGTGCAAGATAATGCATCTTGGACATAAAAACCCAAGGGCAGAGTACAGAATATTTCATGGTTCATGCATTACAGGATAAAACTTACAAGGAAAGGTTAAAGGATCTTAACGTGTATAGCTTGGAGGAAAGACGAAACAGGAGGATCAACACCGTAAAGGGAATCAACACCGTAAAGGAGGAGACTATATTTAAAAGAAGAAAAACTACCAAGAGTACATAGTCCTAAATTAGAGGCGCAAAGGTTTAAAAATATCAGGAATCGAATGATTCTTATCTGCCATCACTTTCTATGTAACTCATCAGAGGGGAGACTCTTAGTATATACCCAGGGGCTGTATATTTACCCCTCATACACTATGTACACAGTATATAGAAAATATGGTAGTGTGAACAGCACTAATGACAAAAAGATTATACGTGGGGAAAAGCATTGGATTGGTTAAAATCAGCAAGGGTGCTGGGCCAAACAGCGTTTTGGCCAATCAGCACCTCCTTATAGAGATGCATTGAATCATTGCATTTCTATGAGGAAAATTCAGCTTTCCTATGCAGAATGTGGGGTCACTGAATGGCAGGGCAGCTTACTTTGCAGCCCTGAACCAGAAAGCCCCTCCAGTGGCCACTTGGAGGTGTCCCTAGGGGCAATGTCCTTTCTCTGAAAAGACAGTGTTTGCATAAAAATGCCTGAAGGGAGCTATTCTACTCACCAGTACAACTACATTAAACTGTAGTTGTTCTGTCGTTGTTTAAATACGATTACTCACATAAACAAGTGAGGACATACAACACCAAGAAATACCACAACAATGGGAGATATACCCACACAAAAAATTACACCCACCATACAAAGGTAATCCTCATAGACAAAGACTTAAGTCTTATCACGAATCCATGTACAATAAACAATAATACCAATCAAGGAAATACTCCCCCACACGTTTAAACACAAGATCACCTAAACCCCCAAACATATATGCCAACAGAAGACGGAATACACTAAATAAAGAAAAAGATCTATTTCAAGAAAGGAGAACACTTCCAAAAACACTAGCCAACAAGACAGAAGTTCCACATTACAGATCAAAACCAAGAGGAAAAAACACCACTAATAGTAAGACCAAAAACACACAGATACACACAACGACAGGTATCTCCAAGAAGAAAAACCTAAAACAACAAATACAGATGGGGAAAAAGCAAACACCAAGACCTATAAGAAATTTGATAAAACTTGTTCCAGGTCATCAACTAACCTGTTGAGAAATAACCGATATCATACCCTATCCTTGTCTGAACACCTTGATGTGACCTCTTTTTTAGAAATTCCCATGAACCAAGAGACATACAAACCATCTTTCATTTACCCATATAGTAGGACAGAAAAGATCCCTAGAGGAAGAAGGGCAGGAAGAAGACATCACCACAATAAAAAAAAAAAAAGTAAGATCAGACTGATTCTAAAAAAACGAAAGAGATAAAAACAACAATGGTGTTTTTAATCTATCCAACAAAGTACTTACAAAGTAACCTCTTAAACAAAGGACTAAAATTTGCACCAACAAAAACTTTTAACAACTTCCAGGCTTTTCTAGATGTCAAGAAATTTATTAAAAATGCAGATGTAAATAATTGTACCAAAAAAGATTAGATTAATAATGGTTTTAAAAATGGCCTTTTAAGAAACAAATCTACGTTTTACCTATCTTACTATAATTCTGGGGCATTAGACATTTTCGAAAGTAAATAGGAATTTTAAAAAACTGAAAACAAATTACAAATATGATAAATTTAATCTTAACAAAAAAGAAAGAGAGGCCATTAAAGACCTCCAGAGAGACGATTCAATAGTAATGAAACCAGCGGACAAGGGAAGAGGCCTGGTCATTCAATCTAAAGAGATGTATGAAACAGAAGCATACAATCAACTCAATAACACACAAACATATGCCAAATTAAGACCCCACAAAAGACATTAAAATATTACTAACCAAACGTCTAAATAAAGGTAAGAAAAATGGAGTCCTTAACCCACAAGAATTTAGCTATATCATATCCAAAAAATTCCAGTGATTTTATTTCCTCCCAAAAATTCACAAAGATCCCATTAACCCACATGGAAGACCCATTGTCTCCAGTATAGTTTCAATCCTGGCTAATCTTTCAGAGCATATAGATATTATGCTCCAACCATACGTAAAACTGATCAGATCATACTTCAAAGACACTATAGACCTTCTCAACAAACTAAACAACATCACATGGAAAGACAGTTATGTTCTTATTACGTGTGACGTAAAATCCCTATTTACGATAATCCCACACAACAAAGGTATTTTGGCTTTTAGAAAAAATATAGACACATGAACCCCACCCAGAATTCATAATAGAAGGAATAGATCTTATTTTACATCATAACTATTTCTGGTTTGCAGATGCTTTTTATCTTCAAACGGTACAGCCATGGGGACCAGGTTTGCCCCCAGCTATGCCAACTTCTTTATGGCAGAATGGAAGAGCGACCAGTATGGGAGGGGCATAGTTGGACTGCAAACCTGGTCTCCATGACGACCTCCTGTTTATATGGGAGGTTTCTATATCTACAGCTAAACAATCTGTTGACTATCTAAACCAAAACACTGAAGGAATTCTTTTAACCGCCAATTTTAGCCAACAAGAAATCACTTTTCTAGACCATGATATTTATATTAAAGATTACACCCTTTTTACAAAAACTCATTTTAAAGAGGTCCATGCTAATACTTTTATCAGTCAGACAATTGCCACAATCCAGCATGACTTAATGGAGTACCCAAAAGCCAAATATTAAGGCTCAGGAGAAATTGTTCAGAAGCATCTGTTTTCCACGCACAGGCTTGAGATATGAAGCAGAAATTTATACGAAAGGGTTACAATTCTGAAAACATGGATAGCATAATAGAACAAATAAGCACGACAGAAAGGAAATCACTATTGACTAAGAAAATTCTCCAGAGTCATCAAGATAATAAGTTTACCCTCCCATTTATATTTGATTATAACAACAAAAACAGACATATCAAAAAAATAAATAAAATTGGCATTTACTGATGGAAGACCCCCTACTAAGTAAAATTCTACCTCATAAGCCAACTTTTTAGGGGTGCACCCAATCTAAAGTCACAACTTACAAAAGATTTCACTAAAAATAAGAGTACGCATAAGGACAGGTTTTTTTAAACACTTAAAGATTTCTTTAAATGTAATGTATGTAAAGCATGTAAAAAAAAAAAACAGACAAATTCACCCATTGTTTTAAATGTAATAATAAAGAAAGCAATTTTAATACAAATGACATAATCACGTGCAATAGTTAAAAATGTAGTTTACTTATTAGAATGTCCTTGTGGACTACAAGATGTCAGCAGAACAATCAGGCCATTAAAGACTAGATTAAGCCAACACTGTCACAATCTTGAAAAAGGGTATAAAAACCACTCGGTATCTGCACACTTTTTAGAACATAATAAAGATCCTAGTCTTGTGAAATTTACAGGCATCGCTAAATATAAACAACATTGGAGAGGAGGGAACAACATTAAAAACTTGGGAAAATTAGAAATGGAATGGGTTTATTGTTTGGATACTCTTCAGCCCAATGGGCTTAACATAGAATTTGATTTACATTTTTTTATTTATTTATTTCGCGTGTATGTATGTGTGTGTGTGTGTGTGTGTGTATATGTATATATATGTGTATGTGTGTGTGTGTGTGTATATATGTATATATATATATATATATATATATATATATATATATGTATGTATATATATATATATAATAAAAAGAATCTTGCCGCGGGCTACCCGACGTGCGTCTGCAGCCACGCGGCATCACACTCAATGACGCGGCCAGTCGTCATCCCCATGGATACCTGTATACAGAAATCAAACCAAAAAATGTAAATAACACCCAACGTGTAAAATAAAAGCACTATTTACAAACTGCATCATGGCAGGTGGATATCACATGTAAGCTTGATTGCTTCAAAACATGTGAGCAGAAAGATTTCTGTATACAGGTATCCATTGAGTGTGATGCTGCGTGGCTGCAGACGCACGTCGGGTAGCCCGCAGCAGTCCCAGTCCGGGCGTCCATGGAGTCAGATGTATCACAGGTGGGGGTGAGTAAACATTATTTTTATGCTATATATGTGGGTTTGTTTGTATGCACAGTGTGTCCTGATGAAAGCTTGAGGGGATCCTGTGATTATTTTTTTTTTTTTTTTATTTGAGGTAAATAAAAGTAAAATTTTAGATTAGTCCTTGGAGTGCTATCATTTGCAATTTATATATATATATATATATTTGTGTTCGGGGAAAATAGCCGTATATGGAGTAAGGTTCCAGCATAAGCTTAGGATAGTATAAAGGGAGCAAGTCGGTTGTGGTGTGCCGAGACCGACGATACGGTAGGCCTGTAAATAAAGAGGGCCCACCAAGGAGTAAGTAAAGTAAATGGAAAGAAAAGAGAAAGTGTTGAAATGAGGAGTGGGTGGGAGGGTCATTCTGATGCTGACCTCAAGCGATATGAGTCAGGTAAGGGGTGTCCCTTATATAGAGGAGTGAATTAATTTAAGCCCCTCCCACAAATACAGGCCAAACGGCCTTAAAACTTGTGTTCGGGGAAATAGCCGTATATGGAGTAAGGTTCCAGCATAAGCTTAGGATAGTATAAAGGGAGCAAGTCGGTTGTGGTGTGCCGAGACCGACGATACGGTAGGCCTGTAAATAAAGAGGGCAAAAAGAATAATCAAAGATTTACAGTCAACAATATATACAAGATTTTTACAGTCAACAATATATACAAATTGTGACGAGACCAATCTCGCCACATTGCATTGGAGAAGCCTGGTTGCTCGCCTGCTGCCTTTGGACTATGGCCCCCTGTTAAAAGACATCTTTTTTACCTGCAGAAAAGCTTCATTCGTGCTTTTCTGCCTGGGGTTCGGTAGATTTGTTTGAATGTGTTATACCCCAGATAGGAATCCCATGGAGCCCATTCGTATGAAACTGACTGTAAAGACTTTGGTTCCATGGCGATTAAACTGTATTCGTGTGGTCTGAGCGCCATTCACTTAATAATGTGCGCTCAGACCTGAGCTATCTGGGGATATGTTAAATGTATAGTTTTAATGTAAGGTGTCTTACCTGATGTATTTTAAAGTGTTTTACTGTCTTTGTGTCCCCATGTGCTCAATGGAGTCTGCCTCTATCCCTGGATAATTGGATTACTTTCCCCATTGTCCAGGATAGAGGGCTCTGTAAAACCTGTTTGAGCCAGATAGCCATGCTGCCAGCCAGGGTACAAAAGATACTTTTTACTAACTTTTGAACCCCTGGTCTGATTCATGCCATTTTTTAATATGTTGTTCCCCTGAATGGATTGATTGTGAATATTTAATTTTATGTGAATGTGATGTATGGTTTTAGGGTTATGAAAGTTGGGTAGAAAGTATGTTTTAACTGTATGTGTAATTGAGTTTCCTCTCAGGATAAGGGGAGGGAATATGTGGGATGTAACTGTGATGTGATTGGTTGTTTTATACCTCCCTGTGGGTGGTCCTGTATTTGCAAGACTGTAATAAAAACCAGGCTGGGTGTGCCAGCACCTCAGACCACTGCTTGACCCTCAACACGTTCTTGGGGGGATTCACTGTATGCTGTTAGAGACTGATTGCCAGGAGTGTAAGCTGATTGTCTGCTTTTCCTGTTCGTCTGCTAGCAGCTATTTGGGAGGTTCCAGTTTGGGAGTTGGAGTGCTATTTTGTATTCAGTTCGGGAGTTTGGTGTTCTGCAGTAGCTGTGCCTGTATCTCTGGAAAGGGGGCCGATCGCCTAAACGGTTTTTACCCCTTGTGTGCAAAACGGTCCGTTACACAAATTAACCAGACATTTCCTTAAATACATTACGGTATTTAATTCCTTGAAGGATTTTGAAGGTAGGAATCTAGGACCGCAACTGGACACCATTTGTTGTGGGTAGGATAGTATGTTATCTCTACTGTTGGTGCGTGTTGACTCGTTTCGGAATGTGGTAGAGCCAATAGGTAATGATATATGTGTTTACATACGTAGGATCGTTGAAGACAATGATCTGTCTGAGTGGTGGTTATGGTAGTGGATTCTCTGGCCTGAGAAAGGCATAAAAGGCAGTGTGCATGGCTGGTAATGGCCGACTTGGTAGTATAATTGAATGGTTGTAGCTCTAATAGGTATGATAAGGATGGAAAAGTTGGATGGCTATTGGTAATCTCTGAGAGGAACGTGGGGGGATGGATGCCTGAAAACCTCTGAGTATATTCTTGTCTGGTATGATAGCATGAAGTTATGGTAGTTTTGGCCATAGGTTATCCTGTGTTGGTGAATGCCTGTAAAATATATAATTAATGGTGTGTGAGATGGTTTTAGTTTAAGGTGGCAAAAATGAAGCAAAACCTAGGAGAAATGTTATGACACAGGTTGAGCTATGTCGTGTTCCAATGAGATTCTTTAAAGCCAGGTGAATAGCTGTGTTATGCGTTCTACAAGTATGGGATGAAAGTGCTAGGTGGGATAGTGCATGCTATGCTGCATGAGTATGTCTAATCCATGATTTTGTCTCTGGAACGAAAGAGTGGCAGTGACTGTATGGGCGGCTGTAGGAAGCATATGATGAACATGCCTGGAATATAAATTAGACAATTGTCGGCAGGGATGTATACCCCCGCCTGGTACATGAAAGTAAAAGAAATGTGGTAAGTGGCCAACCAAGTGAGTTCCCCAGCAATACCATGCGTAACAACGGATTGATGACCCTGACCATGATTTACCCCATGCCACAGCAGCTGCTTTTAGTGGGGAAAGGATTGCCCATTTTATGCCATGTAAGTGCCAGTGTGTAGGGTAGATGGTAGCCGTTTACTGCATTGATGATATTGGTCTTACTTAACCAAGCTTCAACCCATGCTTGAGTGATAGCTGTAAAGGTAGATCAATGGTGTTGTATAGTAAGGAAAATCCTCGGATGGTATGAGGGAGTTGAGACTTGGGGTAGCGGAGGTGTGTGGTGCCAATAAGTCTATGGTTAGTCTTTGTTTAAGGGAAGATTGCCTTGTGACAATACCAATGTGTTTGTGTTTGGCACCATGCTGTAAATGGTGGAGATTGGAAAACCCAAGTAAAAACCCCTCTGCAAATCTTGGCTATGAGTGTGTTTACAGCCGACGGTTCTGTTGTGCTAAGTGAGGGCATGCTATATTCCTTGAGGGTTTATTTATGATACCTGTATGGGAGCCCTTTGAAGCTCCAGATCCTTAGTAAATCTACTACAAGTCTGGAAGGGTGATGAGTCAGTAGTGTTGAAAATACATTGGTGTGTACAGATGGTGAGTACGTTATTTGTAAGCTGTATTGGGACACATGGTTTGTCATGTGTCCTGAATGATTTGAACATATATGCAACAGTCTATATGCAATGCAACTACTAATACCAATTGTCTCTGGTAGTTCAGATGTGCTGGTACCTGGAGCCTGAGAGTGCTCGTCCGTTTGTTTGGGAGAAAATCCCTTCTGAATGGGTACCTGCACAAATAAGCATCTCTACATATTCCAAATGCCAGCACAACCAAGGGATGGTCAGTTCCCAATTTACCTAGAATCCCTGGGTCTGACCATCATAGATACATCATCATACATATTTATGCCTCGTTTCCCCAATGTGCCGGGATCATATGTGCAGGGTTAACGTCTTGTAATTGATTGTACCAGGTAACCGAGTTTCGGTTGGTGCTAGTTGTACAGTAGCGTGAGGCCCAGCCTTGTGAGGGCTGTGACATACTCGAGATTGCCAGTCTGTCGTAAATTTTTTGGCTCATGAGTTTGAGTGAGGCTAGCATGGCCTGGGTGTCACCTGAGTTGGTGTTGCTGGGCCTTCCCCTGCCTCCGTGTTGTCCGTTGATGTATGGAGGAGTTTGAATAACTCTGCTTTCCTTGCTGTGGCAGGGTAGGGGATTTGTCGCCTCCTTAGGTCGGAGCCACATCTCCTCTGCTTGAAGGTGTATCACTTCTAGCCGGGGTGCCAGGAAGAGGTGATTCTTCACCATCTTTTTGAGAAATACTTAAATAACAATAAAGATTGCAATTATTATTTGTACCCAGGGGTCTTGTACTGGCTTGCTAGCTAAGCCGTAAGGCGAAACGATTAGGCTTGGTGTTTTTTGGTGACTGGTGAGGCCCTGCTAGTTGCCAAGTGGCTTGAGAGGCTCTATCTATGCTTGGCGCGAGGGGATTTTTTGTGGCCACCGAACGTTGTGGCAGGATGTTGGCCTCTCGGTGACAGTAACCAGAAAATAGGAAGGGGAGTGACAGGTGAGGCCCTCTCTATGATACAATGCGAGGCGGCTAGCTCACAAGTGGCCCGAGGGGTGTATGCCTCCGAGTGTGAGGCGGGGTGTTGGCCTCGCGGGACCACTAACCGAAGCATAATGCAGAGAAAAAAAGGGGGTAATACCTATTGGGCCCTAGAACCCTAATTGCCAGTACACTATTACTATTCCAGGGAAGGTAAGAGATGGATAACTACGTGAGCAGGTGTATGTACCTGGTAGTATGGTATTGAACCTGACAATCCGTATAGGTTTTTTAGTAGTAACTGTAACCTGAATGGATAAAATCGTATGGCATAAGGAAATATGGCATAGACCAATCTTATCTTAATACGTACAGTATATGTGAAAGTAAAGTGCTGTGATATGTAAATATTAAACATCATATCCATACTAGTTAAATATGTATCAATCTTAACCCATTAAGTGCTGTATGTATGTGAACCATATTACCAGTTACGTATATACAGATGCGTGTGCTACTGTGTAATAATATGTGTATTTATAACAGATGTTGATATACTGCTTGCAATGTGAATTGTTGTATGCCTTATTGAATGGTCAGTGAACATGGTGTTGCAAAATGCAAGTGCACTGGAGATCTGCCGAGTGCCCTATAGGTGGCAGTGTAGTTGATACTGATTGGTATGTGAAATGTTGTTTGTCTGTTGACCTATAGGGGTCAGTGTTTTGGTGTTTGTAAAACCCCATGAAAATTGTCAATGTACTTGACAGACCTGTAGGTGGCAGTGTTGATAGAACCACTGTTAGTCTTGATGTGAAATGTAAATTATTGTGAATTAAACCTGAAGTTGAGCCCGTGTTGGAGTTTAATTTATGGTTTATGGTTAGGTTTAAAACAATCTTATGTGTAATTTATATTGGCTGGTAATTGTATATGACATGTGAAGACAGTTTTGCTGTTGACCAGTAGGGGTCAGAAATGCTGATTGTATGGTAAAATACCCTTTAACCCCTGAAGGATACATGACATGTGAGACATATCATGATTCCCCTTTATTCCAGAGTTTGGTCCTTAAGGGGTTAATCCAAATGCAAGGTTAACGTGAGATCTGAGAGTGACCTGTAGGGGTCAGTGTGGTTTATGTGAAACATTGTTCGTGAGCTATGCCCCAAAACGAAACGAGCAGTGAGATTCGAAATGCATGCACAGAATTGCCTAGTATGTTTAGGCCATTGAAACAGAATGTGTTCCCGTTCGGGAGTTTGCTAATGCTAGAAATGAGCCAGTGACAGATATAAACAAGTGAGTTTAAACGAATGATATGCATGAACATCCAATGCTTTTAGGACAGATTTAGACAAAATGCAGCCGTAAAGTGAGGACCTGACCCGTGCATGGTGCCATGGGACTGATGCCTGGCGTAACGGGTAGGTCGACTTACGGTTTGTGAGTCACTTTGACGCCAACCACGGCGATGGATTGAAGAAAGAAGGTGGTAGGCAGGAAAAGCCTGTGGAATTATTATTATTTTTTTTTTTTATTTATTTACTGGATATATCCAGTTTCCCTTTCCAATTTCACCACATCACTGCTTCTATTTTATATTATTGCCTTTATAGCATTCGTCTGTGACAATTTTTCTCTAATTTCAATAGAGATTTCTAAATTCAGCCTTTTTATAGATAATATTAAAATTTTTCAAAAATAGATCTTTCTTTTTACTTTATTTACGTTTAAATACACCCTTATTGATGTTCCAGATGTTTGCCAACTTCCAAAATGGCGGCCGCTGTGTGTGTGTGTGTGTGTGTGTGTGTTGTAATACACAGACCCCCTTTATAAGTACTACTACAATGTGCCACATATTTCTACTGCCTTACCCAACTTAAATATTTATTATCTATATCTATAACTTCACTGCTATCTAGCTAATCTTTATCATTGTATGTTTTTTGGGATTGTTCCCGGATTGCCCCCTGGACTTTAAATGGCGTCCAAGGAACTTCCGCCTACGTCTCTATTAAGTGGGAATAAATATGACCATACCCGGAACAGGAAACATCATTGACGTAAACCAGAAGTGACATGCTATCCACACCGATATTGATTTACATCATTAGAGACCTTATAAAACACCAGAGACCCGACCAGCAAGCATTGACTTTTGATAAAGCTTTGGCATAACGCGTCAAGTGAGGAGGAGTAAGGACTACGGCAAGAGACTGTTTGTTTGTTTTTTTTGTTAGGATTTTTTTATATTTTTTCTATACCACTTGTTTTTATACTGTTTAATTGTGATAAAGTACTTTGTATATTCTTATATATAAGAATGCCCTACTCACCTCATATCCAGTTTTTATGCTGCTGATTCCGGGTCTATGATATCCCTAGGTGGGGATTGTTCCACCTGACGTCCTTTTCACTAGAGCAGATCATTGCTGTAGTAGATGTAAGTAGGTTTATATCTTTCTTTTTTTATACACCTACATACTACACCATATGGTTTATCTCTTTACTTTTGTGCTGCGCTATTATTGTGTCTTTTTATTTTATTTTAATCTATACTTCTGGAAATCGTTCCAGTTACGTATCTAATATTTTTGTCATTAGCGCTGTTCACTTTACCATAGTTTCTATATACTGTGTAGTGTATGAGAGGTAAATATACAGCCCCTGGGTATATACTAAGAGTCTCCCCTCTGATGAGTTACATACAAAGTGACGGCAGATAAGAATCATTCGATTCCTAAAATTTTTAAACCTTTGCCACTCTAATTTAAGACTATGTACTCTTGGTAGTTTTTCTTCTTTTAAATATAGTCTCCTCCTTTACGGTGTTGATTCCCTTTATATATTTAAATGTTTCTATCATATCCCACCTGTCTTGTCTTTCCTCTCTATACATGTTAAGATCCTTTAACCTTTCCTGGTAAATTTTATCCTGCAATCCATGAACCAGTTTAGTAGCCCTTCTCTGAACTCTCTCTAAAGTATCAATATCCTTCTGGAGATACAGTCTCCAGTACTGCGTACAATACTCCAAGTGAGGTCTCACCGGTGTTCTATACAATGGCATGAGGACTTCCCTCTTTCTACTGCTAATACCTCTGTAGCGGACTGTGTTTTGCTACTATCTACCTTTCATATTTTTTGCTGTCCATACCCTTTATTGTTGCATTATTTTATATTATTTTCCACTGTTCGTTACGTATAGGAAACAAGTTTACAAGCTGTCTTTTATATCATTCACAAAGTGTCGTTCGGTGAAAAGAGTTATACGAATGAGGGTAATCATACGAACCAAGACAAAACCCATTATGTTGGACATTTTCGTGCTTTTTAACCTACGAATGGAGACCGACCGCAAGGCCAAAACACATGGAATTATCTTTGGCTTACACCTCGTGTGCGGTCGGTAAAACTAAGACATCCATAAAACTTTCGAACCCCTGAATCGATGTGAGTGATTTTTCAGTATGTTGCTCCCCCAGATTGGGGCTATCAGAGGATATGTAAATTATGGGTGTATGTTATTGTTTTGGGGTACATCCAAGAATTGGGGAAAATAGAGAAAATTTATGACAAACTTACCGTAATTTTCTTTTCCTGGCTATTTCTCATGGCAGCATCACTTATGGGTAGCTCCTCCCTTAGTAGTCACAGGACAGGAATTAATTAATCAGACTGATAGGTATAAAGAGTCCCTCCTCCCCTTACACCTCAGTCCAATTATAAAGCTGAAATAGAGAATGGGCGGAAACCCTAATGCTGCCATGAGAAATAGCCAGGAAAATAAAATTACGGTAAGTTTGTCATAAATTTTCTCTATTCCTGGCTAATCATGGCAGCATCACTTATGGGTAATACCCAAGCTTCACAAATCTAGGGTGGGAAATAATAACGTAAAAAATTACACCAAGCCGAACACATGCAGCAAAGAAAGTTTAATATCAACTGGATAAAGAGACCGTAGAGAGGACACTCTTCCCAAAGGTGGTGGAACGAGACTCCACATCAAGTTTGTAGTGCTTCATAAACGTCATTGGAGAAGACCAAGTGGCTGCTCTGCAAATATCATCGTATGGAACCTCTGCCCAGAAGTTGATAATGCTCTAGTAGAATGTGTTTTTATCACCTTTGGAGGTGATAGACCTTTAGAGACATACGCCTTCTTAATTATCAGAGAAATCCAACGTTTCAACGTAGACAAAGAGGCCGCCTCACCTCTCCTAGCTCCCAACGGCAAAACGAAGAGTTGGTCCGTCTTACGGAAAGACTCAGAACGTCTAAGATACGCAGACAAGCAGCTCATGACATCCAAACGTTGCCATCTAACCTCTTCCTGAGAAGAGGGGTTGGGGTAAAATGATGGAAGAACCACTTCTTGAGAGAGGTGAAACTGAGAAACCACCTTAGGAAGAAACTCTGGCTTTGGTTTCAGACATACCCTATCTTGGTAGAATTGTAAACAAGAAGATGATGTAGAAAACGCCTTAATCTCTGAAATCCATCTTGCGGAAGTAATCGCCACCAGAAACAAAGTCTTATACGTCAGGAGAGTAGCATCCAAACCTTCAAGAGGAACAAACGGATCCTCCGTGAGATAATTTAGCACCATAGGAAGGTCCCAAGGAGGGGTAGTAGACCTGGAAGGAGACCTCAACCTGAAGGCCGCTTTGAAGAACCTGGAAATTAAAGGATCCGAAGCCCAAGAGATGTTGCACAAAGCTGAGAGTGCCGAAGACTGAACCTTTAAGGTGCTGAGACTAAGGCCCTTGTCCAGGCCCTCTTGCAGAAACTCCAAAACTTCAGTATTGCTAGGATGTAGAAAGTCCACATTATTGGACGATGCCCAAGACTGGAACACATCCCAGACCCTATGGTAGCATGAGGAAGTGGAAGCCTTTCTAGAGAGCAGAAGGGTATTGATCGCAGCCTCCGAGAGACCTAGTACTTTGAGTCTTTCCTTCTCAAGATCCATACCCCCAGTTTGAGGCGTTCTGGATGAGGATGGAATACCCGGCCCTGTGTAAGCAGATCCTCCATCACTGGCAGAGGCCAAGGCTGTTCTTGGCTCATCGTGGTCAATAGGGGGAACCACGGTCTCCGAGGCCAAATTGGAATTACGGCAATGACTTTCCTGCCTTCCGACCAAACCTTCCTCAGGAACCTGGGTATCATAGGTAGGGGAGGGAAAGCATACCCCAGATCGAACGACCAAGGGAGAGAGAGAGCATCTTGGCCCAGAGCCTGACGGTCCGGGTGGAGAGAGAAGTAATTCTCCACCTGGTGATTTTGAGATGATGCCATCAGGTCGATCTGGGGCATGCCCCACCGATGAACAATTTCTGCAAAGATCGCCGGGTGAAGATGCCATTCTCCCGGAAGAATTTCCCTTCTGCTGAGGAAGTCTGCTGTTACGTTCTCCGAGCCTGGGAGATAAAAGGCCTTTAGACCTTGAAGAAACGTCATGGCTATAACCATTAAGGGAGCGAGTTCTAACAGCAGCAATCTGCTCCTTGTGCCACCTTGGTTGTTCACATACGAGGCCACCGCTCGGTTGTCTGTTTTGATTAGGACCCAAGAGTTCTTTAGCCTTGGTAGGAACCTCAAAACGGCCTTGTAAACCGCTCTTAGTTCCCTTAAATTTGAGTGTAGGCGACTCTCTTCTCGGGTCCACTTCCCTTGAGTCCATACCGAACTGAAGTGGGCACCCCACCCAAAAGAACTGGCATCTGTCGTAATAACCTTCCAAGGGGGGTCTTCCAACGGGAAGCCAGTCGTCAAATTCTTCTCGCTCCTCCACCAGTTTAAGGTGTTTCTTACCGGAAGGGGAAGAGATCACCTGTTCCCAATTTGCTTCCACTCTGTTGAACTGGAGAAGGAAGCAGTTCTGAACCGGACGGAACTTCCACTGGGCCCACTTCACCAAGCCTATTGTAGACATCAAGGAACCTAGGAGGCTCATGACTACTCTTGCAGGTGCAGCTTCGAGATCTTGTAGGCCCCTTACTTTGTCTCTGATCTTCTCGACCCTTTCTGGTGACAGGAACACGTGTGCAGACACGGTATTCACTACTGCCCCCAGGAAAATAATCGTTTGCGCAGGAACCAGGGAGCTCTTTCCCAAGTTCAGGAGCCAACCATGGTCTTGAAGGATGGACATTGCGACTAATGTATGTTGAGCCACGACTCCTTGAGATGGACCCAGGATAAGAATGTCGTCCAAGTAATGGAATATCTCGATACCTTTTTCCCTTATAAAGGCTATTAAGGCAACCAGAACTTTTGAGAACGTTCTTGGGGCTAGACTGAGGCCAAACGGTAGACCCCGGAACTGGAAGTGCCTTCCTAGCGCCCAAAACCTGAGAAACCGTACATGATCTTGATGTATCGGAATATGATAGTAGGCGTCCCTTAAATCTATAGAGGTCATCCAGTCTCCTTTCTTGACACACTACAAGATGGTCCTCAAGGATTCCATTTTGAATGTCCTTACGTTGAGCAAGGAGTTTACGCCTTTCAAATTCAAGATGAGACGCCATTTTCCCTGATGTTTTGGGGCCAAGAATACCGTGGAATAAACACCTTGGAACCATTCTTTTTTGGGAACTTCTTCTACCACTCTTTGTTCCAGGAGCACCGAAATGCAGGATCTCATGGCCCTTCGTTTGATGCCTACCGGCACCTTTGATTTTTTGAAGAATGCACTTTTTGGGTGAGATGAGAATTCTATTCTGTAACCTTCTTTCACTATAGAAGTGACCCATAGGTCTGAAATGTTGCTGGCCCATCTGGGGTAAAAGAACTTCAGTCTTCCTCCCACCATCCCCGAACGGGCCTGGAGACCTTCAGAAGTTTTTTCCTGAGATTCTAGGACCCCTACCTCTGGAAGCCTTATTGGAAGAAGAGTGCGGATAGGATTTCCATGTGGAATTCCTGGAAAACTCCCTACCTGGCTTATAGCTTCTGCTGTCCCGAAAGGACCGATCCTTGAAGCGCTTGGTCTTCCAGGAGGAGGAAAAAGTCTTCCTGCCAGATTGAGGTAAGAACGCCTTTTTCCCATCAGCAGCTTTTTGAATAGCATCTTCCAAAATCTTTCCAAAGAGGAGATCCCCTTGAAACGGAAAAGCACACAGGGAAGCCTTAGATGCATAGTCAGCACTCCATGAATGCAGCCACAAAGCCCTTCTAGAAGCCACAGACAGGGCCATGCTTTTAGCAATCATGCGAGTGATATCCAGGGAGGCTTCTGAACAGAATTCCGTGGCTAGATTAAGGTCCTTGAGGCTTTCCAACAGATGCTCCCTTCGGATACCTCGTTCAATGTCATCCTTCAGATTAGCGAGCCACACTTTCAAGGCTCTGGAAAGAGTCGTCAGTGCCACTGCCGGATGAAGGGCGGACCCAAGGGCCAAGTAGGCTTTAATTAGGTCTCCATCCAAACGCTTCTCCATAGGCTCCCTGAGATATGCCATAGAGTCTATAGGCAGTGTAGTTTTCTTAGCCATATGGATCACTGCCGCGTCAATTTTAGGAACAGAGTTCCACAGACCGCAATCCACCGCAGAGTACGGATAAACCCTCGCAAACTTACTTTTTAAGGTGGACTTCTTTTCAGGTTTATTCCATTCTTGAAGGATCATATCCCTGATTGACGTATGTACTGGGAAAGTAGGTCTGTTAGGCTTTAGGTCCTCAAAAAACCTGTCAGCCTCCTTCAAATCAGATCTTTCTTCAGTGAGACTAAGCGTGTCTCTAAGAAGGGCAATAAGTCTATCCACAGACCTGGAGTCCAGAGACCTGGAGGTATGATCAGCTTCCTCCTCACCATCATCCGAAACCTCCCAGACATCAGGGTCCTCATCAGAGCTGGAAGACTGAGGTTCCGCTCTGCGTCTCTTACTTGGACCACTAGAACCCGTGGTGGTCCTAAAGCCCTCAGCAATAGCCTGAGAAATCCAGAGCTTAAGGTCATCTTGAGGAGAGCTCCTACTAGGGGCATCAGCGACTTCCAACAAGCATTCCCTGCAAAGGTTCCTTCCACTCTGAGCGGATGAAGAACAATTAATGCATTTATTTGACTTATCCCGAGATTTTCTCGCTGGAGAGTCCAAATGAACGCTGGGGCTGGAAAAAAGCCATATATGACATATATTACAGGCTCAGTATGGCACTCTTTTAACAACCCCCCCCCCCCTACACCATAAATAAATGGCTCACCTATGTTTTCTAGAGAGGGATCTTGCAGAGGCAGAGGGAGAATCCATACTACAACAAGAAACAAAACAAACTTCAGGACCAAATTCCCTAAAGGGAAAGAGGCAGACTGACCAGAAAAACTTCAACAATAAGCAAGAATCAGTAATCCTACCTTAAGAGCAGAGCAACCACTATGCAGCCAGAAAGCCAACAGGAGCTGAGCCAGACAGGTATTCCAAGCTGTAGAGAGAAACCCAGATACTCCAAACTTCAGTGTGAAAAAAGGGCAGCATGAACAGCACTAAGGGGCTGAAATAATCCCCTTAAATATGTCCGGGCGGCGAACAGCTGACCGCCCGGTTCGCGCATGCGCAGAGCGGTGGAACGCACGCTATGCGTTCCACTTGCTCGCGACCGGCAGAACACTCCCGGTTTCGCCGGAACTGGCTGCAAAACAGCCGGCTGGAACGCAAATGCGTTCCAGCCCCCAAACCCCAAGCCCCAGAGGGGGCCCCAAGGGGCAGGGAACCCTGAGCACGTCCCCCCAAGCCAGATAACCGGAAAAAGGGGGCAAGAAGGAGCAACAGAGGAAGGGAGAGACCCTTCCAGCCCCCACTCATCATGGATTCCCCAAAAACTGCCAACAAGGTATGAGGGGGGGGGTATAAAACCCCAATTAGTAGGGGCAGGTAGTAACAGGGGAATTTTTAAGGCTTAACCAACCCCACCATAAACCAGAAGCATTAGTGTTTCCCTCAAACACTTACTTTCCCACGGTGCAGTTCAGTACTTACACTGAACCTGACCCAGTTAGTCCTGCTCATGCAGGCTGTTTACTGGGTCCTTCAAATGAAGAGAGGCTGAACTTCATTTGGAACGAACCCACGACAAACGCAGGAAGGTGAGCCATAAAACAAAATTGTAAAAAAAGTCCTGTAGAACCTGCTAAGGACAGGAAAAAAGACTGAGGTGTAAGGGGAGGAGGGACTCTTTATACCTATCAGTCTGATTAATCTAATTAATTCCTGTCCTGTGACTACTAAGGGAGGAGCTACCCATAAGTGATGCTGCCATGATTAGCCAGGAAATATGTTTTATAACTTCTATGTAATTAAGTTATCTCTCAGGCTGAGGGGAGGGAATATGTGTACTGTATCCAGCTATTGATTGGTTCATGCCTAATTCTCTGTGGGTGTCTCCCTTGCTTGGGAGAAATGTATAAAAACTGAGTGTGTGGATTAAAAGACCAGTTCTGCTCCTGATACTGAGTGTCGTCCAGTTATTGGGAAGGGTGATGGGAGATCCGTGGAATTATTTACTGCTTATGCTGAACTTCTTATAATATCCTGCTTGTTCCTGAGTAATTGTTGGAGTGACCAGCGGAGAATCAGCCCTGCTACCACTGCTCTCCGCTACAACCTCTCCCTATACAACCAAGCATTCTGCTAGCATTTCTTGCTGCTCTATTACATTGTCTGCCTACCTTTAAGTCATCAGAAATAATCACCTCTAAATCCCTTTCCTCAGATGTTGAGGTTAGGACTCTATCAAATATTCTGTACTCTGCCCTTGGGTTTTTACCTAAGATGCATTATCTTGCACTTATCCACATTAAAGGAACACTATAGATACCTAAACAACTTAAGCTTCATGAAGCAGCTTTAGTGTACAGAAAATGCCTCTCAGGTTTCACTGCCCAATTCACTGCCTTTCAGAAGTTAAAGGACCACTATAGGCACCCAGACCACTTCAGCTCCATGAAGTGGTCTAGGTGCCAGGTCCATCTAGTGTTAACCCTGCCTGCTGTAAACAACTGCTATATTTACACTTGGGCTAATCCAGCCTCTAGTGGCTGTCTCATTGACAGCCGCTAGAGGCGCTTCCGCGCTTCTCACTGTGATTTTCACAGTGAGAAGACGCTGCCGTCCATAGGAAAGCATTGAGAAATGCTTTCCTTTGGACTGATAGAATGTGCGCGCGGCTCTTGCCGCACATGCGCATTCGGCAGATGACGTCGGAAAAGTCCTCGACGCTGGAGAAATGTAAAAATTTAACTTCTTCCTCCTATTAATACTATAGTGCCAAGAAAATTAGTGGTCCTTTAAATCACTTTGTCACACCTTCCCTGGCTCTGATTGGCACAGCCTGCATGAAAAAGAACTGGTTTCAATTTCAATCAGATGTAATTTCCCTGTATCTCTTGTATTCTCTGTAAATTGAACTTTTTTTTTTTTCTTTATTTTGTTCGTGCATAGGTTAAACAAGCAGATTTGCTCTGCCACAACAGCTGGTGCAAACAGATTTTTAGACCATTGATAACAGTAGTGTGGCATCAATAGCATTGCACTTTTTTTTTACATTTTTTTTTTTTTTTTTAATATGGAATAAACAGGATTAGAACGTGAGCCTTCAAGTCAATAAACGGTAAATACTTGTGGACTGAATATGACACAGTAGCTAGACAAGAAGGGGTTAATATATCGATGTAGCTGACATCGCCCCCGTAAGGCTGAGGCATATAAGGTAAGTGTGTTAGCGAGATTAAGTGAAAACATATGTACCCGAATGATAACGCTAACTTTTAGGTGTGTTAATAGGCATGTACAGGCAAGGTGGCTTTAAACAGGCATTTTGTGTGCCTAGTGATTTGGGCACTTGTGAGGTAAGCCCGCAGTCAGCCAACTCCCGACATCGGGATGCACAGAGGATGTGTAAGGCAGTTATGAGGCATGTTGTACCGGAGTTAATCTCCAGTGGGTCTCTACCCGCGATCTGTCTTGCATTCTAAACAGTATAAGTGTGATGCAGGTGTTGAGACAAACAAACGAAAATAAAAAGGAGACAACAGGTCAACAAAAATTAAATAAAATGAGTGTTCATGCTATAATGCAGGAGCCATCCCCAATACTCGGGTGAGGTATCTTGGCTACAGTCCTCTTAGTAATCCGAAATCAGCCGACGCCTGATCTGCTAAACCTCTGGGGCTGCGCGTGAGCCGCTAGGATCCAGGCAGTGTCCAGAATTGCAGGTATCTTGGATGCCCCTGGGGTCCCTCCATGCCACTTCAGCACTGTTTCGGCCCCATGATAAGTGGACATTGAGGATTGCAGAGATTTTGGGTAGTCCTTGGCGTGAGAGCGTTTGGTAGTCACTTTAATCCCGTTTGCAGGAGCTCTCTGTTGGTCGGCAGGTCCTGTTGGTCGGCAGGTCCTTCAGCCTCTGCGTGTCCCGTCGAATCTGCGCTTTGTTGGGCACCTGCCAGTTTGGGATTCCTTCTGGGTCATCAGCAGGTGAGGGGCATTGTGTGAACAGGGAAAAGCCTCTCAGTCTCATCTCCAGATGAAGCCAAAAAGCTGCAAAGATGGTGTTGATTCTGAGAGGTGAGACTGCAGGGACTTGATCTATACACCAAAACTGCTTCATTAAGCTAAAGTTGTTTTGGTAACTGTAGTGTCCCTTTTAAATGTCAGTTGCCACAGCTCTGACCATTTTTCTAGTTTACATAAATCATTTGCCATTTGGCTTATCCCTCCTGGAACATCAACCCTGTTACATATCTTAGTATCATCATCAAAGACATACCTTACAATCAAGACCTTGAGAGAATGGGTCCAAGTACAGATCCCTGAGGTACTCTACTGGTGACAAGACCATGCTTCGAACATACTCCATTGACTACAACCACTGGCAAAACACGTGTCAGTGACTCTACTGACTTTCTTCCTAGGATCTTAAAAGGACACTATAGTCACCAGAACAACTACAGCTTAATGTAGTTGTTCTAGTGAGTATAATCATTGCCTTCAGGCATTTTCATGTAAACACTGCCTTTTCAGAGAAAAGACTGTGTTTACATTGCCCCGAGGGACACCTCCAAGTGGCCACACCTCAGATGGCCACTGGAGGTGCTTCCTGGTTCAGTGCTGCACAGTAAGCAGCCCTGCCGTTCAGCGTCCCCACGCTCTGCATGGAGGTGCTGAAATTTCCTCATAGAGATTCATTGATTCAATGCATCTCTATGTGCAGGTCCTGATTGGCCAAAATGGTATTTGGCCCCACCCCGTTCCGATTTTAGCCAATCCAATGCTTTCCCCATGGGAAAGCATTGGATTGGCTCAAAAGCAGCCATTTCGATGTCACAAAGGGGGCGGAGCCAGTGCCGGCGGACCCGCCCGGCGCTAGAAATAAGGTGAGTTTTAAACTTTATTTATAAGGGGGGGAGGGCAAGCCACCTAAATGGTGGGTTTAGCACTATATGGTCAGGAATACAAGTTTGTGTTTCTGACCCTATAATGATCCTTTAATATTTTCAGTCACCATACGATACGAATATACTTGCTGACTTATCACAGAGCAAAGGAAAGTCACTAGATCCATTTCTATTTTTTAGCTTGTTGCTTTTAGTTCGGCTCTTGTGCCGTTCTCGATTTTGGTAGTCATGTTAGCCAGCACTTTTAGATTCAGTTAGAATCATGAGGATTACTAGGAACAGGCGATAGTTGGGGGTGGAGGGGATGGGGCTTTGTGGTATCTCAGGGTCCCCTCAAAGGCACTTGTGGGCATCTTAGTCAATTTTTTTCCTCCTGCCGTAGTTAACCCCTTCTGCCGGTCAATATCTATTTATCTTTTACTCTCTATTTAGAGTTGCTGTGCTAAGAGGCCAGGCTGTGAGCTTTAGTCTGAACCTTGGGAGAGTGTGATTACCACATTCGTTTTGCTATACAGGTTATTTCTATTTGTAACTAATAATTTTTTTGTTAAAGCAGTTGCGATTCACTGCATTTACTTTGGATACAGTGTATAGTCTCCACAATCTGGGCATTAAATGGGATAACTCGTATAGCATCTCAGTATATACTTCATTCTTAAATAGATTTACTGTATACATTTTTATTTAGAATTACTAAAAGTTTTTTTTTTTATTATTAATTGCTGGTATATGGTATATCAGTTTCAGTATATTCTTGTCTTTTCACTATGGTAGATCAACCCCCAATTGTTGGTGTTGTATATATTTGCTCCATTCCTCTATCCGTGTGTGAGTATTTGAGGTAAATATACAGTTCCTCTGTCATTTTTAGTGATTTAATTAATTTTCAAGCATTATGCATTTTACATGTGAAGTGTTTGAAATGTATTATATCTCTAATTTACAGAGCCATAGAATATTCTAATTCCTGTCCACAACCCCAGAGCCTGTTCTCAGGCTGCCTGATTGGCTTAATGATGACAAACACAAACAGGAATCAGATTGTCAAGAGGATCCTGGATCTGACCCTGGAGGTCAACTTACTGCTGACTGGAGAGGTGAGGGATTCTGGGAATGTCACAGCAACTACACACTTTTATCCTATGTTATGACATGGACCTGGAGATAATTATGGGCGTGATTTTTGAAGTAAATACTCGGTAAATATTTACAGGCAGACTATAGTTACTAGAACAATTACTGATTAATGTAGTTGTTCTGGTGTTTTTCAATATAAACCCTACCTTTTTCGAAAAAAGGTAGTGTTTACATTACTGACTAGGATCACCTCAAGTAGCAGTCACTCAGATGGCCATTTGTGGTGCTTCCTGGGTCAGTCCTTCACAGTGTGCAGCACTGGCATTCAGTATCTCCATGCTCTGCATAGAGGCGCTCAATGTTCGCCATATTCAATGCATCTCTATGAGGAGATGCTAATTAGCAAGAGCGGGGTTTGGCTGACTTCGCTGCCTGATTGACTGATGTTCTAGGCCTACGTTGCCATTTATACTCTATTGTAACCTTGGGAGGAATATTTCCACCAAAATGGAATATCATTTTCAAACGTAGACAACTCTGGTTATGGCACATTGGGTGTATTGTGTATCCAGTTTATCATGACCTTAGTGTAGCCGTTCTTAATGTAAATAGGGACAGGCCAAGTGTCAGGGGATCCAGAAATCAGAGTGGTCAGGATAACGAGCCAATAAGGCGATACAGCAATTGACAAAGAGTAATCCGGAAAAGCCAGGGTTAGGAAGCCAGAATTACCGTTAACCAGCAACTTGTGACCTTATAGTTTAACCCTTTATTGTAGACTTTGAAACCGTCAGAAACACACAAGCCTGGTAGATATGGACATGAAGGGACTCTACACTTTCTCTGGGTGACCTTTCACAGGCTGTGGTGGGGCATTCTAGAAGGTAACAGCCTGCTGCAATGTCTCTGGGTATCTTCTGTCTTAAAGGGACATGCATCACTTTGTAATCATTTTTTTTATACCAGCAATAAAACCCTTTTAAAGGACCTCTATAGTGCCAGGAAAACAAATCCTGGCACAATATAATCCTAAGGTGTGTCCCCCCCACCCACCCTCAGGGTCCCCCTCTGGCTGGGTTGAAGGGGTTAAAACCACTTCAGCCACTTTCCTTTATCCAGTTAAAACCACTTCAGCCACTTTCCTTTATCCTTTATCCCTCGGTGCTGATGACCTCTCCTCCCCATCCGACGTCAGCTCACGAGTGGAGCCGCATGCGCGGCCAGAGCCACGCGCACATTCAAACCACCCATAGGAAAGCATTACGATGCGGAAACACCTCTAGCGGCTGTCAAGAAGACAGCCACTAGAGGCTGGATTAACCCTGCAATGTAAACATAGCGGTTTTTCTGAAACTGCTATGTTTACAGCTCCAGGGTTAAAACCTGGGGGACCTGGCACCCATACCACTTCATTGAGCTGGGTGACTATAGTGGTCCTTTAAACAAAAATAAAGAAAGAAAGTCTTTAAAAGTATGTAATAAACATTTATAAATTTACTGTGAACTCCTCTTGGCTAAGGCAGTTTCTTCAGACTCCCCCCTCCCTTTATCCCACCCAGTTCAGTTTCAGATCAGTGCACTAATGACAGAAACAGGTCATTGTACAGCAGCGGGAGAGAGAAACCTGATACTGGAGCCTTCTCTGCATGAACACACTGATCAGACTCCCTCTCTTCTCCCCCTCTCAGGATGTTGCAAGGTGAATAGAGTTTCCAGCTGTGCATGTGTAAATCTGTAAGGCACGCACATTGCACTTTTCAAGCATTCTTAGGGATAGAATACTGATTGGTTTGATCAGTGTTCTTCCACCCCCTCCTCCCCCCCAGTCTACAGGGTGAAACAACTGTCTCATTCAAAGCTACAGCTTTACAATGAGAAATTAATTTCAAAGTGATGCATGTCTTTTAAATGTGAATGGATTAGGGGGCTGGATAAACAAATTCTCTGCTTAACGCTTAAGTGTTAATTTCAGGTTATTATATGATTTACCTGTGCCTGCGTTTTTTGTATAGCACATACAAATTGTAGACTGCAATCTGGGTTAGGTATATGACAGATTTGTGTGCCTGGTTTTGGTTTTGCAGTGAACCAGATATGGCGCAAAGCTGTTGTTGTGCTGTTACGGTTTTTGCCATAGCTTAGCTTCCGAGGGTAACCTTTACAAATTTTGCACCATGTGCCACAGGCTAGGGTGTCAAAGTACAATTTTTAAAATAAGTCTACACTAGCATGACTAGTTGTCAACCCATACATTGTAGCCTTTGTTCATCAAGGGTAAAAGATCCCACACAATTTTGCCGTTTAGGCCCACAGAATCAGGGCAGCCTCATGGACGGAGTTCGCAATCTTTGTTTTCATAAATGTAAAAAGCCAGGTACACTCTATAGTGTATTGTAGTGTCGGTTATGTAACGGATCACCTTGCACCCCGACTGGGTTCCTCCGTTGAAGGATGCTCCTAGCGCTTCCTGAGGGCTCCAAGCACTCCAGTCGACACCATAACCACCGTAGACTCCTCCAGAGAGCAAGGCATTAACAAGCTCTTACAAGAGATTAGTAGTGATTTAGCAAGGGAGTATGACAAGCATGGCAATCCCTTGTAGCAGATTCCCCCAATAAGAGACGGCACTCCAAATTGAGGGTGAAGTAGAACGCCTTTACTTGGCACCAAAGGGCCTTCTTTTACGGAGGTCTTACACATACAGGACCGCCCACAGGGTTTTTCAGAACAACCAATAAAAACATTACAACACATACAATAAAGTAAACCACTCACAGCAGAAATCCTCCCCTCTGCCTGTGATACAATTATCTCAAGACAATAGACTAAATTAATTAGCACAGGCAGAAAATATACAGTTTTTACACAATTGTTATAACTTTATAAGTATGCATGCAATATTAATAAAAGTTACATATGTGAAATCAGCGTCCTTCAAATATAAATATACTCAAAAATCATAAAAATCCATCCAGTAGATGGACGTCCTTTTTGAATGACTGCAAGCATGGCTTTTCTGCCCAAAACCAGTTCCACAGGTCTAGCAGTGTCCCTGGGACAACACCCTGCTGGAGAACAATAGACTGTAAACGGGGCAGGGGCACACCTTCCCATGTATTCAAAGGGGCAGAAAAAGTGTTTCAAAATGCAATAAGCCCAAATAAGTTCCTTAAAGGGCAATACATCCCAGGGGCCATAGTCACATGGCAGGAGGCTGGCAATCAGTCTTCTCCAATGCCCAGTGGCGAGGCTGGTTCCACCACATTTCTCCCCTTTCCCAACATTACTAACAAGGTATCTGACCTCCTGTCGGTCAGTGCCTTGGTTAGTCCAATAACCCACCCACAAAACAAAATTAACAGAGTGGCCCACCCACAAGAATTGGTTACTGCTCCTGGGGTAGTGGGTAGCTTGTCCATGTCCAGTGGCTCCACCACGGCTCTGGGGGGTACTAGCCCTCCGGATCAGTAGGTTTCTGAGTGGGCAGAGACCAGCGGTACACTGTCCTAGTGTCAGCGCTACCATGGGAGTAGCCTGGTTGGAGCCCAGCTGAGGAGAAGGGATAGTAGGCTCCTCCCTCTAGACCTGTTGTTGCTGCTGGAGGGGAGGGGTAACGAGGCTCTCTCCTCCCGGTAGAGTACTCTGCCGCTGGGGAGCAGGACCGACTGTCCATTCTCCCTGTAGCTTGGGCACAGAGACCACAGTCCCATCTGGGGAGCTTAGTGTCTCCCCTGGGTGGGCTACGCTGCCGCTGGGAAGAGGGGGTAACAAGCTCCTCTCCCTTACACACTTTCAGCCGCTGGGGAGAGGGGGTAACAGCCTCCTCTCCCTGACACTCTCTCTGCTGGTGTCTGACTGTCTCCCCTTTCAATATACTGTCCCGCTGCTGAGAAGCGAGACCGACTGTCTCTGCTCCCTGCAGGACACACTGCTGCTGGGGAGGAAGGACGGCACCTTCGGCTCCCTGTGACTCACTGGACTGCTGGGGAGAGGGACAAACTGTCTCCTCTCCTAAGGACACACTCTACCGCTGGGGAGGAAGGACGGCACCTTCAGCTCCCTGTGATATATACTGCCGCTGGGGATCTGGGCCGACCGCCCAGCATCCCTGTAGGGCAGGTAGAGAGACCACAGTCCTATCTCCACCTGCCATCTGTGGGTCTTCCCAGGACCAGTCTATGAGGTCCGCTACCTCAGGTACCTCTGATTGCTGTTGGGGAAGAGGACTGACTGTCTCCTTTCCCATGGATACACACTGCCTCTGGGGAGGAAGGACGGCACCTTCGGCTCCATGGGACTCACACTGCTGCTTGGGAGGGCGGATGACACCTTCGCCTCCCTGCAACTCACACTGCCGCTGGGGAGGAAGGACGGTGCCTTCGGCTTCCTGGTACTCACACTGCCGCTGGGGAGGGAGGACAGCACCTTCGGCTCAGATTGTCTCCACTCCCTGTAACTCACTTGACTGCTGGGGAGAGACACCGACTGTCTCATTTCCCAAAGATACACACTGCCGCTGGGGTAGATCAAAAGTTAGATGGACATCCTTTTTGAATGACTGCAAGCATGGCTTTTCTGCCCAAAACCAGTTCCACAGGTCTAGCAGTGTCCCTGGGACAACGCCCTGCTGAAGAACAATAGACAGGAAATGGGGGAGGGGCACACCTTCCCATGTATTCAAAGGGGCAGGAAAAGTATTTCAAAATGCAATAAGCCCAGGGGCCATAGTCACATGTCAGGAGGCTGGCAATCAGTCTTCTCCAATGCCCAGTGGCGTGGCTGGTTCCGCCACAGGCTATTTGGATAGAAGTATCTCTAATGGCTGTCAGAGTGACATGGATAAATATGGACGTTAAGATGTGTCATTATGCCGAACATTTTAAAAGCCCATGTTTTCCAGGATGTAACACATTCTAACATCGTAAATGAGTGTGGGGATTGTGATGCTAAGACATTATTATAAACAGGTAGCCCTAGTATAACAATTCTCAGCCCTGTGCGCTATACAAGACTTTATGATGGAGAAGGCTGGCATCGCACACACAGACAGGGGTAGTAGTGACAGAGGTGGGTGGTAGAAGCACATACTAGCAGGATTAAGGTGATTCCCCTTCCAGGAAAAAGATAGTGAAACATTATAAATAACTCCAAGGTAACAAAGTGAGTTTCTTTGTAGACTGAGAGAGAGAGAGAGTGAAGTATAGACTTAGTTGGAGAGATCGTTTAATACGTGTTTCTTTATGTGCAGGATTACATTGTTGTGAAGAGATCTGACAATTCTATAATACAGAAAAGCAGTCCCTGTGTGTTAAAAGGATCTTACAAGAACCAGAGCTCCAGCACGGTGTCTGGACCTCACTCACTGATACATGAGGGAATCAATGAGCAGAAGATCCTGGAACTGACAAATGAGATCATCTATCTTCTGACTGAAGAGGTGAGGTTGCTGGGAATGGGACATCATAGAGTAAAACCAAAGAATGTGTCTGGATGGTGACTATATAAAGATGTTGGGATCTCACTGTCTGTTATTTCTTGTAGGTTTGGAAGTATTTAAAAGGGCAAAAGGAAACTTACAAGGAAGTGATGATGGAGAGTCACCACCCGCTCATCTCACTGGGTGAGACCGTTTAATCCGCATTTTTGTTTGGTTATAGAGCAGATATAATTCACTTATATCATCAAACACCTGGTACACAGTGTGAGATCTGTACAGTTATTACACACTGGTAAGCCGTAAGAACACATTTTAATTTTATTTTTTAATCTTTTATTAGGATCATAGGTCAGACATGATGTTGTACAAGTCACATGTGATGGCCACTGCATGTTTACAAGGCCCATCCTTCAGTTAGGTTGTTCTGTAAAGTCACTGGTAATCATGAGCTTACCAGTTCACTAATAGGATATTCTCCCTGGATAGCTGCTGCATGGTTTGGGAAAGTTGACCCCTACTGGACTAGAAGGCCTTCTTGTTCATCCAGCTTCTATGAGTTCTTCTTTGCTTGCATGCTAAGTAGAAACTCAACTTGCTAATCACTAAAGAAATTGCTATTGCAAGAAGTAAGTACTAAAATTGTTAAATAATCTTTTTAAATTGAGTCTCTCTATTCTGAGATTATGACTGTAGAACTCTCCCTCTGAACCTCTGCCTGGCAGCATTGAATCTATTTGTAGCGGAGCACTAGTTTCCCATAGGCTTTCTCCGCCTGTTGCTCTTGTAACGACAAACTTAAAGATTTTCAAGTATTGTCAATCTTCACAAGGAAGGGTTTCTAGTGGCTGTGTGATAGACAGCCACTAGCGGTATCCTTATTGTTTCAGCAGCTTCTCATTAAAGGACCACTGTAGGCACCCAGACCACTTCAGATTAATGAAGTGGTGTGGGTGCCAGGTCCATCTAGGATTAACCCTTTCTGCTGTAAACATAGCAGTTTCCAAGAAACTGCTATGTTTACCTATGGGTTAATCCAGCCTGTAGTGGTTGTCTCATTGAGAGCCGTTAGAGGCGCTTCCGCGCTTCTCACTGTGATTTTTCACAGTGAGAAGATGCCAGCGTCCAAGGGAAAGTAAAAGTAACAATAAAAAAGGCTGCGCCACATAAAATCAAAATAAAAATAAGATAAAAACCAATAAGAGAGTCCAAATTGTGAGTCCTTACGGATATTCTTATTGAGAGGCTGGTAGGATGGTTGATTCTTCAAATATAATGGTGGGTCCTCTTATATGAAAGAGAGAAAAGACGGACAACAAATGGTGCAGTATATCAAGTCCAAATTGTGACGTATTGAGAGATAATAATTGAACACTCACATTTACAAGAGCTTTTGTCCAGCTCTGAGATAAGGCGCACACAGCGGTATGATCCCCGCTTATGGGATATATGTGGTAGGATATCTCTCCGTCAAGGATGATCAGTTCTCGGAAGGAAGAAGAGACAGCCAATAGTGCTCACTGTATAGTGGTGATGGTATAAATTGAATAAAAAACGTACTTACAAATAGAGAGCAGGCGAACTGCTCTATGATGACAGCGTAAGTGGATTGATCCCCACTTAAGGATTTCTTGGGGTACTGGAATCTTCCAATTTGTTGGTACAAACCAATAAGTGGTTGAAAATAATAATAAAATAATTCAGTAAAATAACTATAAAAATAAATATGAAAAAGCCAGGGTAAAAATAAAAGAAATGTGTATAAAAAGATAATTGGCACAAATAAATAACCAAATTAACTTTAATATTAAAACACAATTAAATATCCATAACGCGTTTCGTCACAAAAGACTTTATCAAATGGAATAACCAATTGAGAATGATTTCCTATGGACTGGCTGAATGCGCGTGCGGGTCAGGGGAAAGGAGGCATTAAAGGGTTAAACCACCACTTAGTAGATCTTCCCCTTCCAGAGACACAGGCACAGCTACTGTAGACATCAATCCACCGAACCGGAGAAGCATATGAATGCTGTAAACAGCCGACCCGGAACCATACGAATGCTATAAACACCCGAATAGGAAAAAAACCATATGAAAGGTTTACACTCCTAGCAGTCGAATTGGAACAGCATACAATAAATCCCCCCAAGAATGAGACAAAGCTCCGTGTTGAGGGTCAAGCAGTGAACAGACAGAGCTGTGGGTTTATTGTTCTTATATACACATTCTTACACATTAGTAACACCCACAGGGTTTTGGAAAACAACCAATAAACACGTACAATACACTCAGACACTCCCACACAAAATCCTCCCCTCTGCCTGTGATACAATTACGTTACACAATGGGTAATGTAATTATCACAGGCAGAGAAATACAATTTTTCCACATTATTCATAATTTTTAAAGTATGCATCACATTCACACAATACTTACATTTTCAGAATCAGCATACTCCAAATACAAACATACGTCAAAATCATACAAATTGGTCCAGTGGTTCAAAAGATAGATCGTAGTCCTTTGTGACCAAATGAAGCATGGTTTTTCTGCCTAAAACCAGTTCCACAGAGTCTTCTATCCTGGATATAATTGGGAAGTAATCCAATTATCTCCAAGGACAGAGGCAAAACTCCATTGAACAAAAGACAATAAAATACATAAAAATATATAACTGTGCAGCCATTGCATAAAACAGGTACATTCAACATATCCCCAGATAGCTCAGATCTGAGCGCACATTATTACTGAATGACGCTCAGATCACACACATACAGTTCAATTGCCATGGTGCCAAAGTCTTTCCCATAGTCTTTCTGTAGCGGAGAGGTAGTATAATCCACAGTATCTTCGCTGGGTAACAGGAACAGCATAAAATAATCCAGATAAATAAATACAGCATACAATAATCCCGGTAGCGTTGTAAGAATCCTTCCCTCCCAAGAACTAGACGACACATAGGCTGGGAGTCAACTGAGGTTTTATTCACAGGTCACAGTATTTATGCAAGTCCCCATGCAAGGGGTTTCCCTACTGACATTGCAGGGGTTATACAGTAAGGGACTACATGGGGGACTTAACAACCTGGACATTTCTCCCATCATGCACTGCTGCACGAGAGGGACACTCCCACTAGAATATACCATTAAGTGGATTATCCCTCCGTGCAGCAGAACCAATATTTCACATTAAAATCTATAACTTTCACATTATTCACTCTATTTAAACGAATGGACGTTCGGTAGATAGCTGGGGTCTGGGCGTACAGTTCGTGAGAATACCGTTCAGATCCCAGCATAACTAACCGAACGCCGCGCGAAACACACATTATATTCAAGTTACATTCAAAGTACCGATTGACATTAGGGGAACAAACTACCGAATGCCTGGGGCTCCTGAACAGCCTGGAAGTCCAGCGGTATTCGTGCCGTCGAGTAGCCGATTTTAGTTCCAGGCGCCTCGACGACCAAATACCGCTGGGCTAACAAAGGATCCAAGATGGCCGACCGCCGCGTGGTTGGTAGCCGAACGACGGCCACCTAGGAAAGCACTTGCAATCGGTTAATGGGCGCCACACGACCTCCTGTGTGTGGTTGCCTATTCGGTAGTTTATTCGTTTCACGAACAGTGTTGAATTTCACTGTTCGTGAAACTATGGTATGAATGCTGGTGGCTTCCATGCCGCCAGCATTCGAATGCTCTTGTTCGCCTGAAATAGAGATATCTGAATACACTTGGTTCTAACAACCTTAAAGCTATAGAAACACAGTTATACAAATACAGTCTTAAGTGGCTAGTTTTGCCACACTTTCATTATACGAATGGGCTCCATGGCATAGCTATCTGGGGTATCACCGCTCAAACAGGGCAAGCTCCGAATGACCCGGCTTTCATGTTTTTGCAGGGGAAAATCAAGCGTTTCAACATGGGGCCATAATCTAAAGGCAGCAGACGGGCAACCAGGCTCCTCCAATGCATGACACTATAGTGGTCCTTTAATGGTAGTGTTAACATTTCAGTTAGTGCTGCCTCAGACAGTAAATGAGATTTACCCCCTTAAAGGACACTGCTTCTGTTTGCTTGTTTTGTACTTAAAGACACAAGGAATTTGTATGTATTCAACAGTAATGTTAATATATTAGTTTTTATAAAAACATGTAAAAATGACAAGTTCAAATAGTATATTTAATATGTTAAAAATACTAAAATCAATAGCAATTACATCCTAAATACACTACGCAGCGCTTTACAATGGGTGGACGAACAGACATGTAATTGTAACCAGACAAGTTGGACACACAGGAACAGAGGGGTTGAGGGCACTTCTCAATGAGCTTACATGCTAGAGGGAGTGGGGTAAAGTGACACAAAAAGGTAAGGATAGTATTAGACTAGTGACCGTTGCAGAAGAGGAATCAGTCAGGAGCTATTAACAGTTTAATTTTTTAAGGAGTGGAGATTGGGTGAGCATCTAACGGAGGAGGGAAGCGAGTTCCACAGCAACGGTGCAGCCCTCGAGAAATCTTGAAGGCGAGCATCAGAGGTGGGAGTACAGACAAAAGTTAAACGTAAGTCTTCAGCAGATCGTAAGGCCCTAGACGGGACATACTTGTGTAGAAGGGAGGATAAATAGGTGAGAGCAGCATTATGTAGAGATTTGAAAGCAAGAACCAGAATTTATTTTAATTGAGCTCTATATTTTATAGGAAGCCAATGTAGGGACTGACAGAAAGGTGAGGCGTGGGAGGTGCAGGCGGACAGGAAGATGAGCCTCGCCCCCGCATTCATTATGGACTGTAATGGCGCAAGTTGGGAGCACATAAGACCACTGAGAAGCGGATTACAGTAGTCAAGGCGAGAAAGGACAGTGGAATGGACCAGCACCTTAGTCGCATCTGGCATTAAGTATGGGCGGCTGCGTGCAATGTTTTTGAGATTGAAACAACAGGATTTGGCGATAGACTGAACATGAGACTTGAAGGAGAGGTCGGAGTCAAAGAGAGCACCTAGGCAGCGAGCCTGCATGTTGGAGCTGATGGTAGCACCGTTGACTTGGAGAGAGACAGACACAGGAGTAACAACACTTGAGGGAGGAAAGACCAGGATTTTGGTTTTGGTCAAGTTTAGTTTAAGGAAGTAGGCAGCCATCCAGTTAGAAACAGCAGAGAGGCAGTCAGAGACATTAGTCAAGAGGGACGGGGAGAGATCAGGGGAGGACAGGTAGATTTGCGTGTCATCCGCATAGAAATGATATTGAAAGGAGCTAATGAGTTTACCAAGGGAGGCAGTATAGATGGAGAACAGTAGGGGACCAAGGACTGAACCTCGGGGGACACCAACAGAGAGGAGTTGGGGAGAAGAAGCAGAGCCAGAGAAAGAAACACTGAAAGAGCACTGGGAGAGGTAGGAGGAGCACCAGGAGAGAGCAATATCTTGTAGACCGATATTGCAGAGTTTGAGAAGAAGTTGTTGATGATCAACAGTGTCAAAAGCCACAGACAGGTCAAGGAGAATTAGGATAGAGTAGTGACTACAAGATTTTGCAGTGAGTAGGTCATTGGATACCTTGGTCAGTGCCGTTTCCACAGAGTGCTTAGCGCGGAAACCAGACTGAAGAGGGTCTAGCAGAGAGTTGGACTTGAGGAAGTCTGTCAATCTCGCATACACCATTCTTTTAAGGATCTTGGATGCAAAAGGCAGTAGCGAGATAGGACGGTAGTTGGATGGGTAGTTAGGGTCAAGGTTGGGCTTCTTTAGAATTGGGGTTACAGTTGCATGTTTGAAGGGCGATGGAAATATACCAGAGGAGAGAGAGAGTGAGAATTTTAGTGAGAGGTGGAGAAAAAGAAGAGGACAGAGTACGGATGAGATGCGAGGGAATTGGATCTAGGGAGCAGGTGGTAGGGCGGGAGGACTGGAGCAGAGCAGAAACCTCTTCCAATGTAGCGGGTGTGAATGAACATAGAACAGCAGAGGGAGTGAAGTTAGGGGAAGTATTGTAAGGGGAAGACGAAAGATAAGAGATCTCTTCCCTGATTGTAGAGATCATGTCAGTTAAGTGAGTTGCAAAATCTGAGGCGGTCAAGTTAGTAGGTGGAGGAGGAACAGGGCGAAGAAGAGAGTTAAATGTGTGAAATAGTCGTTTGGGTTCACGGGAGAGTGTGGTTATGAGGGTATTGCAGTAATTTACTTTTGCAGAGGAAAGAGCCAAGCTGTATGAGCTCAGCATAAATTTAAAGTGGAGAAAGTCAGATGCACAGTGGGACTTTCTCCAACAGCGTTCAGTGGTTCTGGAGCATTTTTGGAGGTATCGAGTGAGCTTGGTGTGCCAGGGTTGTTGTTGTTTAGGGCGCCTGTGACATTTAAATATAGAAGGTGCCATGATGTCTAGTTTAGAGGAGAGGGTGGAATTGTAGAAGGAGGTTGCAGAACTAGGACAGGTGAGGTTTGAGATAGGTAAAAGGAGAGTTTGGAGATTAGTGGAGAAATGCTCTAGGTTTCTGTGAGAGTGATGTTCAGATGGTGGTGTCAATTGGGTCTTAGGTATGCCAATGTCAAAAGTCAGCAGATGGTGGTCATATTGAGGAAAAGGAATATTGGAGAAATTAGAGGCAGTACAGAGTGAAGGCGAGATCATGAGTGTTTCCCGCTGTATGGGTTGCTAAATTGGACCATTGCGTAAGGCCAAAGGAGGAGGTTACAGAGATCAGACGAGAGGCATCAGTGCATTTGGGGTTGTTTATTGGGATATTGAAATCCACAAGTATAAGGGAAAGAAGTGGGGAAGCCAGGAAGAAAAGTGCTCAATGAATAGTCTAGGATAACCGGGGGTCAGTAGATGATAGCAATTCTTAAAGGAGTGGGTTTAAATAGGTTGACAGTGTGAACTTCAAAAGAAAAAAAGGATAGGGCAGGGGGAGTTACGATTGCTTGAAAGGTACATTGAGGGGAGAGAAGGATGCCTACGCCGCCTCCTTTGCAGTTGAGTCTGGAAGTGTGAGTGAATTGTAGCCCACCAAAACATAGAGGCAGGAGTAGCGCTATCAGAGGGGGAAAGCCAGGTCTCTGTAAGTGCAAGCAGTGTGAGTGAGTTTGAGATGAAAAAGTCGTGTGTAGTTGATTTAAAAAAAATAAAAATAATATAAATATATATATATATATATATATATATATATATATATATAATATATAATGTGTGTGTGTGTATTATCATCACATTGTTACACACAGATCTGCACACCAGTCAAATCACAAGACTTGCTTGGCTCTCTACAAGGTCAGCAAGACAATAAGAGCCTTAATCTAGAACTCGATGGGCAAGTCAAAAGCAACTCTAGAAGCCAATTCCAGGACAATAACTCAAGTTAACATTAAATGTGGCATATACCAAGGAGATCCTTGATATCCCCAATGCTGTTCTGCATAGGCTTCAACCCCCTTAGCCAGATCATCAAGAAGAGTGGATACGGATACAGGTTCAAGAGTGGAGCTACCATCAGCCACCTACTCTACATGGACGACATCAAGCTGTATGCCAAGAGTGAGCGAGACATTGACTCACTGATCCACCTAACTAGAGTATACAGCAAGGACATCGGAATGTCGTTCGGACAAGAGAAATGTGGACGGATGATAGCAAAAAGAGGGAAGATGATCAGGACAGAAGGAGTTTAAGTTCCAGTAGGCCAAATAGAAGATGTAGATAACAGCTACAAGTACCTGGGTGTACCACAAACGCATGGCAACCATGAGGAAGAGGCAAGGAGGATAGCAACATCAAAGTACCTCCAGAGAGTCAGACCTGAAGTCCCAGCTCAATGGCAAGAACAAGATCCAAGCCATCAACACATATGCCCTACCGGTCATCAGATACCCAGCTGGAATAATAACCTGGCCAAGAGAAGAACTTGTCACCATGATCCAAGGTGCAGACTGTGCAAAGAGGACTGAGAGACAGTCCAGCACCTAGTAGCCGGATGCAAGATGTTAGCATGAACAGCATACACGGAGAGACACAAGTTCCTGGGATTGTGTACCGAAACATCTGCACAGAATATGGATTGGACCTGCCTAAGTCCAGATGGGAGATACCACAAAGGGTAGTTGAGAATGACAGGGCTAAGATCCTGTGGGACTTCAAGATCCAGACAGACAAGCAAGTGCTGGCCAACCAACCAGACATCATGGTGGTAGACAAGTAACGAAAGACTGCAGTCGTGGTGGATGTGGCAATACCCAGTGATTATAACATCAGGAAGAAGGAATATGAGAAGGTGGACAAATACCAAGGACTGAAAGAAGAACTAGAAAGGATGTGGAAAGTGAAGGCAGTAGTAGTCCCAGTTGTAAAAGGAGCAGTCAGGGCTGTGACTCCCAAGTTGGGGGAGGGGCTTCAACAGATTCCAGGTGGGACATCTGAGATCGCTGTCCAGAAGAGTGCAGTTCTAGGAACAGCTAAGATACTGCGCTGAACCCTCAAACTCCTGATAGAGGACCCGAGAATGAGGAATAAACATACCACCCAGGAGGGGTGAGAAAATCAATTATATATAAATTATGTGGTTGTGTGTGTGTGTGTATGTATATTAAGGCGTAGCCTGCAATTGTGGGAGGGGTTACCCGACTATAAAAACTCAGGCCCCCTCCATGACAAAACCATCACCACTGGGTTCATTCAGAACCCTAGACTTCCAGTTCACTCACCTGAGGCTTCGCTCCCATGCTGTCTCCAAGCAAGTCAATTTTTCACGGCAAAAGGCTACCCTACCCACAACCGCATTTACTTAAGCCCGATCGGACTACTCACATCGCGAATCCCAGCCTCCGTGCAGTCCATTCACCTTCTTACAGCTGCACTCCCCGCTCTACTCCCTGTTCTGGTCGGAGCCCGCCAGCATCGGCTGATCTCTTTCCTTACCACTGCTTCTGGGTTACATCCTCCTGTTTGGTCCACGAACCGTGAGTTTTCCCGAAAGGGTTCATACGTACGCTACGTTTGGCCGCCACCCGGCTCCCATTCATGCGAACAAACCCCTTTCGTGTCCTTGTTTGTATCAGTCCAACCGTACGTTCTGTTCGATGCCATTTGTTCATATAAAACTAACCGAACGCGGTGCTCTAGTTGGTGTACTTGCGACTCCTAGCGACTAAACTTCATTATGACAGTCAATGTCATTTCTATTTTATGTACAATTTCGTTCACATGTATTTACTTATTCAAATTAGACAAATTAAGGAGGACTGCATCCTAGGTTAAGTGTTTTTAATAACAATATGTTTGAATAAAAGTACATATTTCATATATAGATGTCAGGATTGCTAATGTCATTTTAGACAAATTTTAATAACTGTTAATTTAGCCTGTTGATATTTTCTCATACTGTATCAAGTGTGTAATGAAATAGGCTTTGCCACAGCACCTCTATTTGTACTAGGGGCTGTCCATATCCTTTTGCTGCTTTATTTTCCTGGGATTGTAGCTGTTCGTTATTTGTGGAAACAAGTAACAAGCTATTATTTTGTATCATTAGTCTGGTTGTTCGGTAGAACCCCTTTTCAGCTATTCTCACCATAGGGTTCGACAAACAAACTAAGTACTGAACAACCAGGCCACCCATGAGAGGAGCGTGGCGCCAATTGACCTCCCTAACCTGGTTCACACCCTCTCAATTGAAAACACATGAACCAACTGGGTGATCCCCTGGGTGGCCGCCGTTCGTTATGCGAACACGTGGTGGCGACCATCTTAGAATCCGAATTACACCAGCGGTGTTTTGGTCGTCGAGTGTCTGGAACCCAAATCGAACACTTAACTGCACGGACACCGCAGAGACTTCCAACCTTGTGTGAGTTTGTGTAAACTCAGGGGAACAGAGCGGCATTCGGTTAAAGGAGTCACACGAACAAGATGAGTTGAACGAACCAAGGCATGAACCATGTTCTTATGCACTTTCATGTTTTTCAGACACTCGAACGGAGACCGACCGCACAGCCCAAACAAATGGAACTATTTTCGGCTTACACCTCGTGTGCGGTTGGTAAAATTAGACCTCCATAAAACTGTCGAACCCCTGAACCGATCTGGGTGATTTTGCAGTATGTTGCTCCCCCAGTCCGGGGCTATCAGGGATGTCTGAATTGTGGGAGTATGATATGTTTTTGGGGTACTTCTAGAAATGTATAAAAATTATGATTTTTCTGTTTGGAGATAATTGAGTTGATACAGTAAATAACTCAATTATCTCCTAAGCAGAGGGGAGGGATTGTGTAAACTGTAATTCTGTTTATTGGTTGTTTTCTGTTTTTACCTGTGCCCAACAAGGTCCACCTGGGTGGTAACCTTTTGGGCAAAACCTGCATAAAAGACCAGTCTGGCCATTAAAAGTTCTGTTCTGCTTCTAATACTGAGTGTAGTCCAGTTATTAGGAAGGGTGATGGGATATTCGTGGGGTATCTTATGCTTATGCCTGCCGCCTTGAATTATCCTGTTTGTTCCTGAGCAGCTGTTGAAGTAACCAGCGGAGAAGAAGCCTTGCTACCACTAGCTCTCCGCTACAAAGTGTCCACATCTCATGTTCACGGTTTAACAATACTTTTATACCATTACTTGTTCCCCACGTTAGGTATATCTCAAATCGTATATATTCATCACAATCTCATTTCGACTGCCTTCACTTCACAAAAAAATATCACTTATTGACGGTTACTCTCCCCTTCACAGGGTATGTATGTTATGTGTTATTTAGTATGATCATTATTGTCCCTATGGCTATTTCCATGAACGCACTCCTAGGGATTTGTAGGCCCTAAGCTCGATTTATTGATTTGTTAACAGTAACCTAAGTAGTTGGAAAACCTGATGTAACCTTTTCTAGCACACTCAAGCAAATCCTTGCAGTATTTTGTATTTCCACTGTGCATGTTATGCATGCGTAAGAATCACCACACATTCTCTACATATCTCTACGGTAAGCTAGGTATGTCTCCATTTACATCGTACTCCTTTTCCGTCATAGGCTAGAGTAAATTAACTGGCTATTTAGTTACTTACATTGTCCCTAGTTTACTGTAATTAATCTACTCCCGTAAGGCCAACACCCATCCTCTCCGGAGGTGTATGCTGCTTGGCACACCGCATAGTTAGAACCTCACATTAGCCGCTGTCGGCTACTAGTCAGGGCACCACCAAGTCACGCCTACGTATATTATGTCTTGTTAAAAGTCACAGAGAGGCCAACACTCCGTTCAGTGGCTCCCGCCCACTCGGCCCCTCTTATAGATAGAGCCTCTCTCTCACCTCTTGGCACTAGTAGGGCCTGCAGTTTAGGTAATTCTTCACCTAAACTGCAGTTAAAGCCAGTTGGCATAGGTACTCCCTTATCTCTAAAGTTCTCATAGTTTAATCAAGTTTACCTTCTTAGTATGTCCCAAACCCCAGAATAAGACAAGGAACTCGTTAAGCCTCAGACCCAAGCAAGCCTTCTACCCAGGCCAGTCCAAGCACCCCTACTAAAAACCTGGAATCATCCAACCCGTATTCCTTACATTCCTGGACAATCCCTGAGTTACGATGTATGGGGGTCCCATTCCCGGCTACAGCACACAAAGCTTAACTGTATGGATTGTTTGTCACCAATACCTGTACCCCACCCCCCCCAGCCAGGAATTAATCTACAAACTGAGAATTTTACGGGACATACTAAGAAGGGTTTAATGTCTTCCCTGCACGCTTTGAGAAATTGGAATATCCTCAGCCATCGACATCCGACCCTCCCAGCCCAGCTCCCTCTCATGGTAATGACACCATCGTTAACCCAACACTACACCTAGCACTTCTACTCACATCATCACGCCCTCCCACTTTGTGTCCTCAACCATACGCAAAGACATCCTGGAAGGCAAGGATGTAAACCTAGTCTCCTTGCTCCTTGCTAATTGCCTCTCAGGATGTAGTTGAAAATAAAGCATACTGCTATGGTGATCTTACTGTCGTTTTAAAAGCCAGGGCGCAAAGGGCACTTTTACTAGAACTACAATCCTTGATAGGCACGCTGAACTTCGCTATGAGAATTATACCACAGGGCGGGGCCTTTTTTTTTCAGTCTAATATGCCTTCTTTCTCTTCTTCTTACTGACAAAAGTACTGTCCCCTTAGACACACACGCAGACCTATGCATGTGGCTATATTTTAAAACTCTGTGGAATGTGAAGGCGATGTTTATTCCCCCCATCTCTGAATCATCCCCAGTCATATGGACCGATGCTGCAGCCCACACAGGGTTCGCAGCTATTTTTGGTTACTCCTGGTTCAGAGATTCTTGGCCAGTCGAGACCCGTGGTCTACCCTCATTCCATACTACATCAACCCTATTTGAAATCTACCTTATCGTGGCAGCATCCAAAGCCAAGGGGTATCTGTGGCAAAGGAAAACCATCATGAGACTAACTGGACAATTGACATGGCTAGCGGCTAAACTACAGTTGCACATCACATGCGTACATATCCCAGGCCGCATTAATACAGCCGCTGATGCGTTGTTTCGTTCTAATATGCAGGATTTCGGCAGCCAACAACAGGCCAGTCAGCACTCCTTCATACCAAGACTTAACCCTTGACTAAATCACCGTATGGCTCACCACAGATACCTGGGCAGCTCTGCCCTCTCTTCCAATACCACTCAAGCTTACAGTAGGGCTTTTCACTCTTTATACTAAATTCAGTTCAGACTTTCTGATCAGCGACATACTTTCCCTAGATTCTATAGTGGCATTTAATTCTTTTTGCCATTTTAACCTAAAATTTGTCACTAAACACCATAAAACTCTCTACCTTACTGGAATACAACATCACATCCTAAGTGCCTACCTCAGCACAAATCCTTTCATGTCTACCTATCCCGTCAAGAATATGCTGAAAGCATACAACGTTTAGACAAACCCACTTCTACAACTAGACAACCTATTGACGGGCCTAAATTTCGTACCCTTTGAGAAATACTAAACATCAATCCATCTGAAACCAGCACTAATCTAATCATTAAAACACAGCCTACCTTGCCTTAATTAATTACCGATATCATCACACCCAACAGTCAACGCCTAAAAATTATGAGCCTACATAGAGGCACTGATCATTATGTACTCACCATGGCTCACACCAAGACAAACCAGTTAGACACCTACTAAAGTATGCTATTATCCCACCGATAATCACTGGTGTCCAGTTAAATTACTTGACACATATTGTGCAACACTATCCGGTATAAACCCAAATACACTATTACTCCTTTTACATGGCAAACCTCTAACCACATTAAATTTATTTTATATATTAGAACTCTCTTCATTAGACTCTGTCTTGACACCTCTACTCTTTCTGGTCACTCCTTCAGAATTGAAGCCCCTTCCGCGGCTCATATAATTAAAAGATTAGGGCGCTGGAAGTCATCAGCATATTCCAAATATATACCACATCCAGAACAGAAATTGAGACAAGCATTAAAAATTTTAGCTTTGTAACGTGTGTAATAAAGATTATTTGTATACATCAACTTTTTGCCCTCTTTTATTACAGGCCTACCCCATATGTCGGCTCTGGCACAATTTAGAATAAAGGGTCTACTCACAGGACTTGATAAATTCACTCGTGGTTTAATGAAAAAAAAAAGATTACATCTGCAACTGACATTTTGACCCTAAACTGGTCTTTTTCAAGATAACATTTTGTAATGTCTCACACTTTTTAAGAGTTTAAGTTAGGTTTCATATATAAATATTTGTTGTGAAATGTAAGCCCTATTCATCCTGAACAACATGATCTGTAATAAGTGTTGGTACACTTAATATGAAAGATGTAAAAATTGGTTTAGAACTGGTACAATTGGCTCTGTTCTTAAAGGGAAACTATAGGCTAGAAGTACAAACTTGTATTCCTAGCACTATAGCTTGCTATAGTGCCCCCCATGCCATGCTTTCCTGTGGGGTAGCCTAACAGCCCGGAAGTCCCTCTAGTGGCTGTCTGATAGACAGCTACTAGAGGTGGAGTTTACCTTGGATGGTAATTATTGCAGTTTCTCAATGCCGTAACTGCAATAATTACTATTGCTGGGTTTAGGGACTGGGACAATGCACCCAGACCACTTCAATGAACTGAAGTGTTCTGAATGCCTATGGTGTCCCGTTAAGGGGGTCAAACACCAATTCCAGTATGTAAACATTATTATTATTATTATTTATATAACGTCAACAGATTCCATATTGCATTACAATATTATAAGAGGGGGGATTTTACTATAAATAGGACAATTATAAGAAAACTTAAAGGTCAGATAGATAGTTGGGGACCCTGCTCAAACAAGCTTACAGTCTATAGGAGATGGGGTGTAAAACACAATAGGACCGGAAATGGCAATCAAATAAGGTGGGAGTGAAGCAGAGCTCGAGGAGAGATTAGAGTGCTGCCCTTTAGAGGAGCGCAAGGTATGTAAGGTAGAGGTTACTCTGGGAGGCCATAAACTCTCCTAAAGAGATGGGTTTTAAGGCACTTCTTAAACTATTAATGACATGGGGAGATTCTGATGGCGGAAGGCAAGCTATTCCATAGGAGTGGAGCCGCCCCCGAGAAGTGCTGCAAGCATGAGTTTGCTGTACGCATGCGAGCAGCGGACAGGAGAAGGTCACGGGCAGAGCGGAGAGACCGAGAAGGGGCATACCTAAGTATCTGTGAAGAGATATAAGAGGGGCTAGAATTGGTCAATTCTTTTTTAGGTATGGGTTAGCACTTTGAATGGACTCCTATAGGATACAGGAAGCCAATGTAATGACCGACAGATTGGTGAGGTGTGAGAGGACCGACTAGAGAGGAAAATCAGTCTGATGGCAGCATTCATTACAGACTGTAACGGGGCAACACGGTTTTTGGGAAGACCAATTAGGAGAGTGTTACAATAATCCATGCAGGAAATTGCTAGAGCATGGACAAGCCCCTTGGTAGCATCTTGCATAAGAAAGGGGCGGATGCTGGCTATGATTTTAAGATGGGATCTACAGGACTTGGTAACATGCTGGATGTGAGGCTCAAAGGTCTAGCTAGAATCAAATATGACGCCAAGACGGCGTGCTTGCAAGGATGGACTGATGTGGATACCACTAATTTGAAGGGAGAGCGAGAGGAGGATCAGTATTAGGAGGAGGAAAGTCAAGGAGCTCAGTTTTAGAGAGATTTAGTTTCAGAAGGTGGGAGGACAACCAGTCAAAGATGGAAGAAAGGCAAGCAGTGACACGTTGCAGGACGGCAGGGGAGAGGTCCGGGGAGGAGAGATATATCTGTGTGTCACCAGCTTACAGGTGGTAGTGGAATCCAAATGAGGTCACATGTTTGCCAAGAGATGCAGTATAAAGAGAAAATAGAAGGGGACCAAGGACAGAGCCTTGGGGGACTCCAACTGAGACAGGACGAAGGGAGGCTGTATCATTAGAAAAGGAGACACTGAATGAGAGGCTTCCTATCTGAGAGGCAAGCAAGACATATGGCAGATGTCAGCTCAGACTTCCTACAGAATAGCTCTGCTGGAGTCCAAGCTTCAAAGAGGAACTGGGGTTGTAAGCTAGGACATTCCATGCAATCAATTAACCCCTTTTGAAATTGGAAATGTACTTTTAGGATGTTGTAAGAATGTATGTTTTCTAAAGAGATAATGTAATTTAGATGTGTACTTTGCAGCAGTCTCCAGAATGCCCCGGAATGTGATTTAGGAAACCCCTTGCATGGGGAGTTACATCAAAGGCTGTGTGTGGCTTTCAATAAAGCAGTTCATCCACAGCATAGAGCCTCATCTCATGTGTGTGGGAGAAAGCTATACCAGCTATAATTACTTGCTATACTGCTCTTTGGATTGCTATACAGCTATACTCTGTTGGAGGAGAGGTCTTCACACTGGGAGCTGGAGGTGTTGGTCCAGGATGGAAAGGGACGGTGAGACCCCGGCCAAGCTGCATCGGCTAAGGGGTCTACGGTGCTTATGGGGTCCGGTGCGGTGCTTATGGTACTCAGTGATACTGGTAATTGGTGGAGGTATCCAGTCGGGGTGGCAGGCGGTCCGCCACATTACCAATCACAAACCAAGCTGGCATGCCATATTAAAAAATAATTTAGATTTTAAAAAATACATATTTTACAAAATGTGCGTATACTATGTCACTTGAGAATCCTCTAAATATAGCAACAAGGACAGAAAATCCAATAAACAAAATTAAAATATTAGTATTAATACTGCTTCATTTTAAGACCCACACACACGATTAAATAATAAAATAAAACAAATCACAACTAATCTTAAAATCTATTTAGTCTCCGCAGCCAATAATAACTTAACCCTGCTAGCATGATAACCAGTGGAGCCACCAATATATTTATAACTAGGTATTTGTTCAACTTATTTATGGCGGGGATATCTAAATGAGAAGGCCAGGTTTGTGGTTCAAGAACTTTAAAATATTTATATCCAGAATTCTAGTCTTCAAATATGCTTTAAGCTCCACTGAAGGTGAATATTTTTTTTTTTTTTTTTAAAGTATGGGAAGTATATGAAATCCCTATATTTAATAATCAAAATTAATAAGTTGAAATCATCCATATCACTATCCCAAATAATGAGGATATCATCAATAAAACAGCGGTAAATGACCAGCCAGTCCCGCCAAACGTTATTCTCTCTTCTACTTCCAATAACCCATGACTAAATGAGTGAAGTTGAGAGTAAAGCTGTCTCCCATCGCATTACCATTAATTCTAAAATAACATTTATTTTATAATTATGCAATATTATAAATCTTAAAAACTCCACAATGGAGCTAGCTTGATCCCAAGGTAGAAGGGATACTTAAATAATGTTCTGTTGTTTTTATACCAAAATGATGTGCCAAGTTCATATATTGGGAACATGCATCAATGTTTGCTTAATAAGTATGTAGGGTTTAGAAAAATGCTCCTCTCTGCCTCATTCGATATTTTCTTTTGCTTTAAGCTGAAGGAAGCTAGTTGAATTGTTAGTGTAGGACCCACCTAAGAGCTTTGCCCTTGATGTGGCAGGTGGGCTTACAATCTAATGGTCACTGGAGTGAAACGAAAAAATTCCATTTATATAAATATGCACAGGGATTTGGGATAGTGAGTAGTAACTTTTTTTCTATGGTTTTATTAAATGATTATGTAGACATAAGAATCTTTCCATTCTATACTGGATGAAAACTGTAACAAGTGACCTGTAGGGAGATGTAAGTTGAGTAAATCAGTGCATCAGCTAGACTTATAGAGTTGGAGATTATAACATGTGGGAAAATCTCGATAGAACAGCTGCTGATCCCAATTAACTAAGTCATTCACATACCTCCTTTCTCTCACAGAATGGCATAGACAGATACTCTACATGCAGAAATTAAACTAGTAAACATAGTTTACAGGTAATTATGCTCCACAGGTGCTTATACTAAGTCTAACTAAAATGTGTCTAGAACTGCATTACTATAAGGCATGCAAATTGTGTCAGGAAGGGTAGGTATTAATAGAACACAGAATGTGTTCTGATCAAGCTGTGTAGGTATTCCACCTGATCCGGCGCCATCTTCAGTGGCGCTTGGTAACACAGTCCAGTACTTACGTTGTGGGTAACCAAGCTAGCCCCTCCAGTTAATTTGCTGGGCAGTCATCTGATTCCCCTATGGGGGTCACTTGTTAGGTGTGGGCTCAGTACACTTTGGGGAGCAGTGTAGCGTTGTGAAGGCGAGGTGCCTCTCCAGCACTGGGGTTTTGGGAGAGCCCTTTTGCCACAAACCTGGAATCCTTTGGGGTCCAGGGTCTTTCCCTTCAGGATAGTATGGTGGGTGCTGCTGTTCTCTCACAGAGTCTGACCCTTCTCCCTCCTTCCCCTTTCAGGTATTGAGTTTCCTTAGACTTCAACAAGGAGTTGATAAGGTGATAGACAATTTCCCCACCTTCCGTATAATGCTCGAGCAAACTGGTGGATCACGGTGGCTGTCCTTTCACTCATGCAGTTTATCTATCCACTGCCACTTTCTCAGATTTTATACAGTTAATTATAGTATCTAGATCATTTTGAGGGTTCAAACTCTTTGAACCCCAGTTGTCCCTTATATTTCATTAAGGACTAATCAATGCTGATATTTTTGGGAGGAATATAAAGTTTTGCAAACTTGGAGTGGATTTTTTGTTATTGTTTGGGGGGAAAAAATGGGGCTACTGCAAATAGGATTTTTTTTTTACCAATATTACCAAATATCTGGCTTCTTAATAATTCCCATTAGAATTGTGAGTGACCAAAATTGTTTTAGTTCAGGAACACTGGTGGGACACCATGTCTCTTTTCTGGCTATAAACGACACCAGGTAGGATATTGCTTGACATAAATATTTGTCTGGGTGACAATCTCCTAAAGCATCATCTCACAGGAACACCTGCATAAACTCCAGTGACCTATAAATGGACATGTACGCCTGTATGCCATATGTTGCTGTGAAAGGAGGAATTTCTAGGATAAGGTTTTTAGGGGAGACCCAGTTATTTACATTAAGGGTAGTGCTGGGGAATCTGTGCTTTCTGCTGTGAGACCTACAGCATTAGGTGAATAATCATATTCATATGAGGCGCTATCTGTAGTCTTTGAGTCAAGCGTCAGAATTCTGTAAGCCTCCTCAGCACTGAATTTCCTAAACATTTTGAAGTTTTTTTTTTTATAAGAACTTTAAAAAGTAAAAATGTGTTTATAATGATGCATATTAAACTCTAAATCACTAACTAATGCCTCAATTTAATGTTTTTTGCATACGCTTTTTAAATACTAAAAACAAAAAACATAAATAGATGGCCAGGTAGGTCCACTGCGCTGATCACATATAGTCAGTGGTATAAAGTACTCCTGATAGTCCGGCTGAGTATCACTGTTACTTTCCACCTTCCTCTGCTATTTTCGGACCATCCATGTCAAAAACTCGGTGCCCTCTGGAACACTCAGAAGCCCTCCTCGAATCGATCCAATCAGCAGTTGAAGATTATAAATAGCCAGTAATTATTGCAGTTGAATATAGTAAATGATTATAGCTTTACCCCCATCAAAAGCGTAACTAATTTTATAGCGGGAGGGCTATTTATATCAGACAAGGGGTCATTTGCATCCAATAGTACAATAAACCAGTAAATACAGTTCCTCATCAAGTCCTGCTTGCATTCCTGCCGTAACAGCCTCATCTTCTCCAAACAAACAATCTAGTCAGATGTCCTAGCACCAATGCCTTTTTTGCCCCCTCTGGTGATAGTTCAAAATCGTGGTAAAACAGCCTTGATCTCCTCACCCTGACCAGTTACTTCCAAACCCAGGGTGTCCAAAGATAAAAAACATACAAACATTATTTTTTTCTATTAAAAGTGACATTTTAATATAATTAAAACAAGATGAAATACACAGACTTTATAACAACAAAAAAATGACTACCCTGTAAAACTCCCACCCAAACAATAGGAATTCCTGCCCTGCAACCCTGGGTCCATGACAAATTGCTCACATCACTGGAATTCAAAGTATTAAATAAATTGACTATATTGTTTATTAGGACCTCTAGACTTCTTGTTAGGATATTAAATAAGAAAATGTTCTAATTTTGAGTATGTTCTTTCCAATAGATGGTTCCACAAACAGAAATGAAAGCAGTGAATTGTACACTTCAGTTTGTTCTCCGGATTGTATAACCGAAGATAATAAAATCACATTTAATAAAAAAATAAACTGTGTGGCAGTCCGTACAAACAGTGAATCTTTGTGTCAGGAAACCACAGAATCTGAAGAAGAAAATCTCAGAGACATTAATATGTCCATAGAACATAGAAAGACAGAATATCCATCTACTCATGTTAAGGAGGAATCAGACTCATGTGAAGAAGACACAGACATTTTTATACCTACAGAAGACCTACAGGTAGAACATCCATCTGCTCTTAAGGAGGAAACAAACTCGTATGAGGGAGAAGATCTTGCACACACTTATACACCCACAGAAGATACAAAGATAGAATATTCATATGCTCATATTAAGGAGGAGTCAGATTCTTGTGAGGACAGCAGTCTCCCAGCCATAGACATTTATACACATACAGAAGATAATCAGATAGCATACCCATCAACTTATATGAAGGAAGAATCAAATTCTTGGGAAGAAAACAATTGTGTTGAAACTTCCATTTTTACAACCAAGATGGACTATAGATCAAAGTGTGAATCGGCATCAAATGAAAAACAAATTCTCATGAGCACTGATATTTATACACGCACAGACCATACACAGACAGAATATCCACCTGACCATATTAAGGAAGAATCAGCCTCATGTGAATCCAATGCTCTCACCAGCACCGAGGCTTATACATCCACAGGAGAACAGATGGACTATACATCAAATTTTGATTTGGTATCACACAAACAAGGAAATCTCAGAGACACTGACATTTATACACCCATAGAACATACACAGACAGAGTATCCATCTACTCATATTAAGGAGGAAATGGCCTCATATGAAGATGGAAATCTCACCATCTTAAACTTTCTTTCTCCTATGTGTCATACTGGAATGCAATACAATGGGAATAGTATCTGCATTGATGGTGCTAAGGTTTCATCTACCAATTTCGAGCTTCCTAAACATCAGAGTGTCAATAAAGGAAATAAATTGACCAGTGCAGTTGATATTGTACGTGAGTATTTTAAGCAGAAACCACATTTTATAAGACATATGGGAACTCCCAATGGAGAGAAGACAATTTCTTGTTCTGAATGTGGGAAATGCTTTGCGCAGTCAGCACATGTTAAAAGACATATGAGGATTCACACAGGAGAGAGACCATTTTCATGTTCAGAATGTGGGAAATGTTTCACTCAAATGACAAATCTTAAGTCACATCAGAGGATTCACACAGGAGAGAAACCGTATTCTTGTTCTGAATGTGGGAAATGTTTCACTTATATGTCGCATCTTAAGATACATCAGAGAATTCACACAGGAGAGAAACCATTTTCTTGTTCAGAATGTGGGAAATGCTTTGATTACATGTCAGATCTTAAGGCACATCAAAGGATTCATACAGGAGAGAAACCATTTTCTTGTTCAGAATGTGGAAAATGTTTCACTGACCTTTCTAATCTTAGGAATCATCAAAAGATTCACACAGGAGAGAAATTATTTTCATGTTCTGCATGCCGTAAGTGCTTCACTCTCATGTCCAATCTTAAGATACATCAGAGGACTCACACAGGAGAGAAACCATTTTCTTGTTCTGCATGTGGGAAATGCTTCACTCAAATGTCACATCTTAAGATACACGAGAGGACGCATACAGGAGAGAAACCATTTTCTTGTTCTGAATGTGGGAAATGTTTCACTCAAATGTCACATCTTAAGATACATCAGAGGATTCACACAGGAGAGAAACCATATTCATGTTCAGAATGTGGGAAATGCTTTTCTGATCGTTCAGCGCTTAAGACTCATAAGAGGATTCACACAGGAGAGAAACCATTTTCATGTTCAGAATGTGGAAAATGCTTTCCTCACCATTCAGCTCTTAAGACTCATCAGAGGATTCACACAAGAGATAAAACACTTTTATTACTCTGAATATGAGAAATATTCCAGTTAAAGTTCAGGTCTTTGTTCACATGAGCGGATTCATACAAAAATTCATTATTTTACTAAGAACATAGAAAAATATTTTTTGTAAACAGAAGGCTTTTTGCTCGTCAGATGATTCCCGCAGGATAGCAGTATTTCAGTGACTAAGTGAGATACCAAGTTGAATTCAAAATTAATTTTAAAATTTGAAAGTCAAAATGCCTAAACTGGAAAAAATCTCTCAAGCTAACTATGATTTTACTACTCTGGCATAAAATTTTAAATTAATTTTGGTTTATCCCATTAGTAAACAACCCTTTTTGCATTCTAATTATTGTACAAAACCAAAGTGAAAAGGAATGTATTACCAACATCTTAACCAATTCAAACTAGATATCTCTGCATATGGATAGTTACTTCTTATGATTTCTCAAAAAATTTCTTTCTTATAGGAACAAACCTTTATTTATAGCACTGAAGTATTATCTGGTCTCTACATTTCTGTCCCAATCCCCAAAACTCGTAAAAAAAAAAGAGGTTCATTTTGGCCAATCCACTAGCTTTCACAGAGAAACATTAGGAGGTTGGGTGCATGTTCTGCAATTGTCTCATTGTGTCTGGAATGATTCTTCTTCGAGTGAGCCTTAGGTGAGGAAAAACACCCTCCTGGCTGTCTGACAGCTTTAGATAAGTGCAAATTTCTTTATATATTATATATATTTACACAAACAATACTCTACACAAAAAAAGGATAAAACTAAACTTGCTATATATATATATCTTGGTCAATGTCTAAGTTAGGACTGAAACGTTGACGTTTACATTGTACTTATGCACTAATCTGATTCAATAAAGTTTTCTTTTTATTGGATATCTCTCTCTCTCTCTTATATATAACAAAAAACACGGTCCTGCACTAATTTATCAGTTTTGCTTGCCAAGGTGCCCCTCCAGCCTTTTAAACAATGTTTGCAAACTTTATTCACCAATATTCAGTAACTTTACAGTATCACCAACGTTTCAGTCTGTAGCGTTACTTACCTTAACCCGGGGGCCGGTCGCGGTCCTCTCTTCAAGCCGCGCGCGGTCCTGCGGCTGCATGAGCCGCGCGCGGCTCACCCGACTGCTTCAGATGGAAGGCGGGCAGTGACCGCGTGGAGCGGTCACGTGTCCCGCCTGAAACTAAGAGCGCGCCCGAGACAGTGGGAGAGACAGTGGGAGCCTAATTGCCAAAAGGCTCCCATTGGCTCCTGTCATACCACACTCCCTGTACAATTACCTATAGGGGGTGTGGAAGTGACAGGAGCCAATCACTTTGGTTTAAAAGCTATTTAACTTACCTTTTTCCCTTAGCTCGTTGCCCTATCGTGGTTTCTGTTTCAGTTACCTTTAGCGCTTGTGGTGTTCAGTTGTGTTTTCTCGTCTTGACTTTGGCTTCGTATTCTGACTTCGTTTTCGCTTTATCCTTATCTGTACTGTTTGCCGGCTTGCTGTTTTCCGTGTACCAGACCCCGGCTTGTCCTAGTTTACGCTGTCTCTCTGTGCCCTTGTCCTCGGTTTGTTCCTGGCTCTGTCTCCTCTCATATACGTCGAGTCCGGCCATTCTAAGGTCCGGTAGACGTATCTCTCCTCTGTATCTGCCTCTGTTTAGCTGGATCCTGCGTGTAGGGGTATATTCTCGTTACATTGTCCTCATCTGGACTTTCATCAGTGTTTAACGATAGAAAAATGTAAGTTAACTGTAACAAATATAGGGCAAGCAATATATAGGCACAAGCAGCCCTAAACCATGTGCAAATCCATGTGTGATTATGAGCCACTTTGCACATGTTTTAGGGCTGCTTGTGCCTATATATGGATTGCCCTATATTTGTTACAGTTAACTTACATTTTTCTATTGTTAAACACTGATGAAAGTCCAGATGAGGACTGAAACGTTGGTGATACTGTAAAGTTACTGAACATTGGTGAATAAAGTTTGCAAATTAAGAAGACCAGTGAGTGCCCTTCTTTGAGTGTGTGTGTGTGTATATATATATATAGTCCTGTATATAGTATATATATAAAGACATACACATGTATAGGCCTCTATATAAAGACATACAATTGTGAACCTGCATAAAGACATACAATTGTGAATGCCTCCATTATTTATATATATATATATATATATATATATATATATATATATATGCCTCTGTATAGGCACCAACAGCACAAAAGCTCTCTTTAGAGGTATATACATTCATATATATCTATATAAATGATAAAAATAGAACATTTCCTAGAAGTTAAATGGACACTTTAGTCACCAAAACAACTTCAGCTTCAGTTCAGATATCTGCCATTTAGGCATTAAATTACTTTGTTTATGCAGCCCTAGTCACACCTCCCTGCATGTTACTAACACAGCCTTCCTAAACACTTCCTGTAAAGAGAAATCGAATATTTAAACTTCCTTTACTTTATAATTTCGTATCTCTTTCTCTGTTATTAGCCTTGGAGACCATGCTGGCGCCTCATGTGTATGAATAAAGTTACATTCACAGAGCAGGTGATTAAAAACATCTAAAGCAACTTAACACCTATTTAAAAATGAAACAAATTTTTCCATGCAGGCTGTTTGAGTCACAGCGGAGGAGGTGTGGCTAGGGCTGCATAAACGGTAACAAAAATGATTTAACTCCTAAAAGGCAGATCATTTAGACTGGAGTGGCATGAGCTATACATCAAAACTGCTTCATTAAGCTAAAGTTGTTTTGAGCCCTATAGTATTCCTTTAATATTGGTAAAATATAACTTTTATTAGTATTCTTTAAAACAGCGATCAACCGATATTGATTTTTTATTTAGAGCCAATACCGATAATCTGTGAGCTTTCAGGCCAATAGCCGATAATTTACCGATATTCTGTACATTTACCATTTTGAAAAAACAAACTTTCTACACAAATCTATGGTGAACTGAACATGTTTATTATTTATTTATTTTTTTGCAGATCTTTTTTTTATTAAGGTAAATGCACAAAATATACATGCCAGTCAGAATTGTTTATGTTTTCAAGAATATATGTGTGTGTAGTGGATGCAGTGAGAGTATTTGATTAGTGAATACAGTATGTGCGTGTTTGTGTAGTAGATGCAGTGTGTGTGTTTGTGTAGTGTGTGTATATAGTGAATGCAGTGAGTGTTTGTGTAGTGTGTATATAATTAATGCAGTGTGTTTGTGTAATGTGTATATAGTGAATGCAGTGTGTGTTTGTGTAGGATGTGTATATAATGAATACAGAGTGTGTTTGTGTAGTGTGTGCATAGTGAATGTAGTGTGTGTATAGTGAACCCAGTGTGTGTATGTGTAGTGTGTATATAATGAATGCAGAGTGTGTGTTTGTGTAGTGTGTATATAATGCATGCAGAGTGTGTGTGTTTGTGTAGTGTGTGTATATAATGAATGCAGTGTGTGTTTGTGTAGGTATGTAATGTGTGTAATATATTTGTAACTTTTTAAACTAATTTTTCAGCAGCCTTAATTATGATAACCAGAGGAAAGAGATTAATTAGATACAACAATACTATTTAATTAGATACAACAATACTATTGAAAGAAATAGGAATTCTCTTGCAGCCAATAACCATCCATGGAAATAAGGATAATGAGGGAACAAAAATAATAAGTGCACAGTGTCGCTAAATAAAACTAGTGATTATGCATAACAAAAAGAATGTAATAAATAAAAGTAGAATTCTGTGTCTGTGTTAAATGACCTATTGTGCTTTCAGGGGCACCTGTCCACTAAATACTCAGTGGACAGGGGGCACTCTGAAGAGCCTGACGGGCACAACGCACGCGTCAGGGCTTGTCTACTGCCAAGTCTTCTGATTACATTATTTAGCAACTTTCTTTCCCTCGTCTAGTTACTAGTACCAGCAAAGCTCAGGGATTTTTAAAGGCAGTTTACACTATTTAGTGGACAGGTGCCCTCGCAGGCACGATGGGGCATTTTAGACTTAGGCACAGATCTTGATTTTTCTCTAAGGTTCACCTTTAATTTGTAAATTATTATTCTTAAGGCTATTCACTAGTTGTTTTCTTGTAGACACTGCACGTTATTCCTCTTCTTTTTTTGTTTCTTAATTATCCTAATCTCCCTGAGCTGGTATTGGCTGGTTATCAATATTAAGGCTGTTAAAATCCATCTAAGTTACAGAAGTTCTGGACCAACAATCTTGATAATTTCAGCATTCAGAAGTCTCCTATTTGTTACATATTTTTCTGAAAGACTCAATGAGTCACTAGCCCCATATCAATCGGTGATTAGACTGAGTTATAGTGATTCTTACTACTTTTTAGCTATGCTGATTATTTATTAATAGTTTGGATGTTTGTAATATTTTGAAGAATACTAATGAAAGTTAGATTTTTTTTCCATTTCTAAAGGATCACTATAGGGTCAGGAACACAAACATATATTCCTGACCTTATAGTGTTAACACCACCATCTAGCCCACCTGGGCCCCTCATGCCTCCATAAATATAGTAAAAATCTCACTGTATTCAAGCCTGAAGCTGTAAATCTGCATGCTGTTAGACTCAGAAAAACAAGCAGTCTGCTGACATGTGGTAGCCTGATCCAATCACAATACTTCCCCATAGGATTGGCTGAGACTGACAAAGAGGCAGATCAGGGGTTAGAGCCAGCATGATTCAAACACAGCCCTGGCCAATCAGCATCTCCTCATAGAGATGAATTGAATCAATGAATCTCTATGAGGAAAGTTCTGTGTCTGCATGCAGAGGGAGGAGATACTGAATCACAGGATGCTGTGCACAGTGCTGCCCTGTGCTCTGCTGACAGCAGATCTGAGTGGATGGAGGCATATTATGCCTCCGTCAACTCCAAAGTCCTTCTGTTTCACTCTGAGTGACTGCAACTAGAGGTGTTCCTAGCTTTCAATGTAAGCACTGTATTTTCTTAGAAAATTCAGTGTTTACATGAGAAAGGCTGCAGGGAGCTATAGTTCTCACCTGAACAACCTCATTAAGCTGAAGTCGTTCAGGTGACTATAGAGTCCCTTTCATTTTTTTCTCCTTTGGTATTTCATCTATAGTGAGTATTCCCAATCTTTAATTTTTTAGTATTTACCTTGATTAGTCCAAGTTTTTGTCATTTATATATATAAATACAGGCACAAGATATAAAGATATACAAATGTATGTCTCTTCATAAAATGTAGATGCCTCCATATAGCGATACATGCATTTACAAACTTCTATAAAGAGACATTTAGTAGCACATGTCTATATGTTTCTATATAGAGGCACACATGTCTATAAATGAATGTCTTTCTATTTAGGAATATGTATGTATATGCCTCTATGTAGAGATGTATGCTACTGCATGCCTCTATATAAAGTGTATGTTTGTGTAGAGGAATATATTGTAGCCTATGTTTCTATATATAAGTGTATGCCTGTAAATGCCTTTATATAGAGAATATGCATGTATATGCCATCACATATAGACATATATATATATATAGTAGAATGTCTTGGTAAAGGTTATAAAGGATCACATCAAATCATTAGCCTTACCTCTCCCACCCATATTTGATTTTATAATCCCGTCCTTTACACAGTATGCCCCCTATAGGTGTACTGTCATCAGCGGTCATGGCACACTTTAAGCTGCTAATCTGTAGGTACTAGTTCATTGAAACATTGTGTAATTGACACGACCATAAATTGTATATCTCTTTAAGTAGAGGCATATACATGCATGCAGCTCTATGTATTTCCATGCTTACGTCTTGATTCATGTGTTATCAGTATGCCTATATAGAGATGTATAAATGCATGTCTCTTTTTAAACACATAATCTCGCTATATATATATGCTAGAGAATATATCTGTATGTGGATACATATATACAGTGTGAATGCCAACAGAGTGAACAAGTCTATCCAATCTTATTAAATCAAGGCCTTGGTCCATTTGCTGCAATGCTAACGGGGATACTTTGCAGTCTTTGTTCATTGTGCAGTCCCATCATCACGTTCTGGACTGTGTAAGTAGCACAAAATGTAAATAAAATATATTCGATTATTTAACCAGTGTTATTGTCTTTTTTTTTTTTTTTTAAATAAAAATAAATAAAACTGATATATTCTTAGTAATATTTTACTGGAGAGTGACATTTACCTTCTTACCATAGCATCCACCAGTAAACTAGGGATGTTCTACCTATGGATAGGTAACCGCCTTTTAAAATTAAAACAATTTATTATTACCTCCCCCCTCAGGCCCTTTAATTATCTTGCAACTCTCCAGGACCCTCATTTCACACTTGTCCCGCCAGGACAGATACATTGGGAACCTTGAGAGTCCTCTCTCTCGATGTGGTACAAGGTGCGTGCCAACTACAGAAGTTGGCCTAGGATGTGGAAATTTAAGCCAATGTTCTAACACACAGGTCTTTATTGGAACATATGCTCGGGTAGGTCTTGCATTCTACGGCTTCTGTGTTGCACTACTGCACATATGGAGAGTTGTTTTCTGGCACCAAATATGAACCAGCCTGGGTATATAAAGGCTGTTTAACCTGACTGACAGCAGGGGCCTTGTCAGTTCATGAAAGACCATGTCCACCAGCCCTCCCACTAGGTTTCAGGAAACTTCCTATTTAACTTCAAAAGATACTCTGGCAAGATTTAGTAATTTAGCTTGAATTTTTTTGTCTCTCTACAGATGTCGAGGAGAGAAAAGTCTGTGGAGAAATCTAAACAACAGGAGATATCTTCATTCCTAGCCTGGTTTCAGGATAATTAACATCAACGTTTTCTAAATGATTAAAGTGGCACTTCACTGCCCAAATACAAAATTATTATGAATCAGTACAGTATAATCAGTATTATTTAAAATGTAGTACATATACCCCAAAATTAAAAATTGCATTCATTGTTTAAAATTAAAATTACATCTAAGAACAGTTTGCAAAAACTGCAGATGCCTTGTCTATACACAGGTGAAACCCCTTGTCTAGTAAGGGGTTGATAAGTTTCCAGACAATTTTCCCATAATCCTGATGGCTATCTTTTCCTTCGTAGACACGGAAGGTGTACACATAACCACGGGCACTTTCATAGAGTTTGTACAATTTTATCCCAAACCGGGATCTTTTGGCTGGAATGTACTATTTATATCCCAGTCTTCCCTTATATTTCATCAGAGACTCATCAATTGAAATAGTTTTGGGGGATATTAATTGTGGCAAATTGTTAAATGGGAAATTTGGGGGTATTTTGAATACATGATCATACTGCAATCTACAAAGGCAGATGGGTCACTTTATTGAATTGAATTTAGACTGTATTCACAAGAAGAGTTCCAGGTATTTGGTACAAGCACAAAGCACTTGATTAAGTATTTAATTAATTCGAAGTAAAATGCACTTTATGGATTTTCATACAGTATATAAAAAATAATTAATACTATAAGTACCCATATCACAAAATGTATTATTATATTAGTTAAACATCACAAATTATAATTTTGGGTTTCATTGTTATGTTTCAATAACATGTGCTTTGTGGTACCGGTGTCTTTATAAGATCATATCCAAATGGTGTAATGTATGTTTTGGGACTGGAGCTCTCATATATAACTGTGAGCCTTCTGAGCTCCCATAGTTTTTTTTCCCCCTAGTTTTCTCAGTGGCTAGAGTGCGGAGGTGAAATGCGAACCAGAGATGGAATGCAAATGTCATCATTAAGTTCTGGGCAGAAGTGGCTCACTGGAAATGATGTTGTGGAACAACCTAAAGTTCAGGAAACCCAGGAAGTCAACAAAGAAGATAGATCACAGCTGAACTAAAAGGTTTCCACCTACTGGTCCACCAATGGGAGCCAAGGACTAGCCTTATAAAACCAAGGACATGAGGGGGAGAATGTATTCTGCCTTTTTTCCTTTTGGGAAATTGCTGTTATTAGATTTGATTTTATATTGCTTTACTATTTGGGTCCCTGAACAAGTTCCACTTAAGGATGAAATGCGTAGGTCCAACTACTTTTATTTATTATTTGTTTGTATAATCCTTTTTTTTAATATATATACTGTTTTATATAAATAACTTTATTTAATTTATCTTTTGAGACAAATTTGGATTCCGGTTTTCCTTGGCATGTAGAGATTGCTGCCACAACTGTAGGAGACATGGGCAGGATTCCAAAGGGAGGCTCCTTAAGGCGATATTACCTTCTAGTGAGTGCATTTCTGACTGGGCCATATTTATGTGCTGTACTGTATCACACTATATTAGGGTTCTTTTTTGTAGATTCACAGCAGCACACTGTTGTGTAGGACATGGAAAGTGTAGCCTGAACTATACAGTGAGTTAAAATGTCACCAGGGGCAGCACTTTTAATGCCACGCTGAGAAGAGTGAAAATAAATATTTGACTGCACTAGAAACATAAAACTAAACTCCACAACGCAGAGCATATCCTGACTAAAGATACGTTGCATACTACTTGCCTGTTTAACCCTACTAGTCGGATGTACACAGCGAATAGGTCATATAGTGACTACCTAGCATGTTCCAATTTGTTGTCTTGAACGAGTACCTGTGCCCGATGTACTGCCAGGAATTGGGCAAATGCAGTTGACCGTTGCATAGTTAAGCTTACTCTATTTACAGTTTATCCTTGGAAGCAGGGCCGGACTGGGAAGAAAATTCGGCCCGGGCATTTTTTAATTACAGCGGCCCACTACAAAGGGGGCGGGGCCAGATAGGGTGTGTTTTGTCATCACCGATGACAAGCACGCCCCATCACAAAGTGAGCATGTTGGTTCAATGCTCTTCCAGGGTAGACCATGTGCAGAGCTCTGCTGAAGAGCTCTGGCATGAGAAGAAGACCCTGTATTTGTTCTGCACAGCGCAAGCAAATTCAATAACATGCTTGCACTGTGTTTGCTTGAAATTTGTCTCTGGTGTCTCCATAGTTGGGATACCAGGAGACAAAAATGCTAGGAAAGCATATTGTGCAGTGTGAGGGTGTTGTGTGCAGGGGCGTATTAGCCGCGAGGCAAACAAGGCATTTGCCTTGGGCGGCATTTTTCAGCGGGCGGCAAAAAACGCCGCCCCCCAAATGCCCAGGGCAAATGCCTAGTTAGCCTTGCGGCTAACTGACATCCCGAGCGGGCGGGCGGCGCTGGCAGGCGGGCGGCGCTGGCAGGCGGGCGGCTGGCAAGGGAGCACTTCCTATGAGCTGACTGCTCAGCTCCCTCGCGCGCCGCAGAGTGAGGCTGGGAGCCGGAAGATGACGTCATCTTCCGGCTCCCAGCCTCACTCTGCAGCTGGCGCGCGAGGGAGCTGAGCAGAGAGCTCATAGGAAGTGCTCCCTCGCCAGCCGCCCGCCCGCTCTGCAGCCACTGGACAACCAGGGAGAGAGACCTCCTCCCAGCACTCCCAAAGGTAAGGAGGTTGGGGGGGGATTTAAATAAAAAAAAAAGTTAATGTGTGTGTTTGTGTCTGACTGTGTGTGTGTGTGTGTGTTTGTGTCTGACTGTGTTTGTGTCTGTGTATGTGTCTGACTGTGTGTGTGTATGTGTCTGACTGTGTGTGTTTGTGTCTGTGTGTGTGTGTGTGTGTTTGTGTCTGACTGTGTTTGTGTGTTTGTGAGTGTGTGTGTGACTGTGTGTATGTGTGTGTGTCTGACTGTGTGTGTGTAGTCTGACTGTGTATGTGTGTGTGTGTGTTGTGTCTGTGTCTGTGTCTGACTGTGTGTTTGTGTCTGACTGTGTGTGTGTGTTTTTGTCTGACTGTGTTTGTGAGTGTGTGTGTGTGTCTCTGACTGTGTATGTGTGTGTGTTTGTGTCTGTGTATGTGTCTGACTGTGTGTGTGTGGTGTGTGTATGTGTCTGACTGTGTGTGTGGTGTGTGTATGTGTCTGACTGTGTGTGTGTGTATTTAGAAGGTGGGGTGGGGGGAAGGGTTGGGTGGGGGTGGCGCGGGGGGAGAGGGGGCGCCTGAGTTTTGTCCTGCCTAGGGCAGCACAAAACCAAGATACACCACTGGTTGTGTGTGTGTGTGTAAGGGGTGTAGTGTGTGTGCGAGAGGGGTGCAGTGTGTGTGAGGTGTGTAGTGTGTGAGTGATGGGTGCTGTGTTTGCGTGAGAGTGCTATGTGGGTAAGGGTGCTGTGTGTGTGTGCGGTGTGTGATTGGGTGCTGTGTTTGCGTGAGGGTGCTATGTGCGTGTGAAGAAGCTGTGTGTGTCAAGGGTGCAGTGTGTGTGTGTGTGGGTGCTGTAAGTGTTAGGGGTGCAGTGTGTGTGCTGTGCGTGTCAGGGGTGGTATGTGTGTGTGTGCTGTGGAGTGAGGGTGCTGGGAGGTCAGGGGTGCAGCGTGTGTGAGTGAGGGTGCTGGGAGGTCAGGTGGTGTGTGTGTGTGTGTGCCGTGAGGGGGCGCTGGGAGTGTCAGGGTGCAGTATGTGTGTGTGAGTGAGGGTGCTGTAAGTGTCAGGGTGGTGTGTGTGGGAGTGAGGGTGCTGGAGTGTCAGTGCAGTGTGTGTGTGTGTGTGTGTGTGAGGGTGCTGTGAGTGTCAGGTGTGCAGTGTGTGTGTGTGTGTGTGTGTGTGTGTGTGAGGGTGCTGTGAGTGTCAGGGGTGCAGTGTGTGTGTGTGTGAGGGTGCTGTGAGTGTCAGGGGTGCAGTGTGTGTGAGTGAGTGTTAGGGGTGTCTGTCAGGCTGCTGTGCCCTGAGTGATTATATCCTGCTGCTGGGGCTGCCATCCATCCCTGGTGGTCCTACTGGTGAGTGAACTCTAGTCTGTTGGGCTAGAGTTCACTCTCGCGAGACCCGGAGCATTGCCATGGCAACGCTCCGAATCTCGCTAGAGGAACCCGGCGGAGCTGTAAGTTAAAGCTCCGCCGGATTCCTATGCTGGCAGGCTGGCTCCCTCCCTCTCTCCCCCCGGCGGCCGCACTATCCTGCATGTGGGCCGGTGAGGGAGATCTCTGATCTCCCCACTGGCCAGCTGTAGACTACTGCAGGGCCGGCCCTGCAAAGACCGGCAGGAG